TCTCTCCTATCGATATTAGCATATATGGCTAATCCACGGCCATACAGCGGGGTATACTACCGCAGCATGTGTCACTCAAGCCCCCCTGTGCTCAAGCCCCGCTCGCCGCCCTGAGGAGAGTGTGTGTCAGCATCGGTGGGCTGGAGCGACTGGGGACGGTGAGGCGGCGGGGAAACGGGGAGAAGCCACGTCGCGTAGCGAAGAGACAGCAGCGGGGTCTTTATCCTCGACGTCACTGGCAGACCTAAAAGATACAACCGAGTAAGCGCGAATATTTGAACACAACTGCGATAGCCGCTTGAACAATTCACCAGAAAACGCGTGTCTCTGTCATTTTCTATTCCTGACCCATCTTCTCTCGAGCCTTTCACAGTATTCGAGCTGATTTGTGAAAGTACCTGACAGCTCTGTCTTTACAGTGTGCTGGATATCTTTCACGTCAGCTGCTGTTTCCAGTGTAGGTTCAGTTCAGCACCATAGTCAGCGCCCAACAGCGTGACACAAACTGCTGCGTGTTGTGCGCACAGGTGTCACGGCTGCAGACTGCTGTACACCACAGTTAACGTACAGGTCGTTTTATTTATTGCATTTAAAAAACGTCGGGAAAAGCCGTATGTTACTTTCAATACATGTGTTCATGACGAGCAGGGGCGGATTCAGACTTTTGAAGTGGGGTGGCCAGTGCCCAGTCAAGGCTTCTGCACAGGTGGCCTTAAAGGCATGCATGCACATTGACAATCAGTTCTGACCATAGACTGTAAATAGAATGGACAGCGTCAGCCTCCTCGCTGGGTGAAGCCACTCCGAGAACAGCACACTCTGGCGGCGGGCTGCAGTAGAGGTCATAAATCCTGCCTCCGCCAGAAAAGCTTATGGGGCTGTGGACAAACTTTAGGAATTTATCACGCAGAACATTATTTTTTCCCCGCTGCTTGTGATGTTGACATGTAGTTATAGTAAGACTGGTTTGTGCTCAAGTCCTCTTTTTTCTGTACAGCTCCATTTTAAAAAGTTATTAGGGTTCATGTTTTCTATGATTGTTTTCTATGTTTTCATTTGATACAGCCTATGGGCGTACAAAGATTGCGTAGCTCACCCGAGGGATACGCTGTTTGAGCCGAGAGTCATCACAGCGACTCTTGGCGACCCTCCCGCTGAATGCGTACAATGCTACTGCGCAAGTGGTGAAGTGCTTACAACGTTACTGCACAATGTTGGTTTCAGGAAATGGAGAAAAAAGGCGGAATTACCGAGAGCTTTTTGGCTTCAAATCCATATACTGGCAGAAGGTGGAACTAAGTTGTCCATAGTGTATACAGTCTATGGTTCTGACCATGTCTGTTGTAACTACAAGTGTAAACATAGTGTTTTAAGAAACTGGGACCTGATTTCACAACCCATGAGAGAAAATGGGACAATGTTTTACACAATGTTTTTTTTTTCTTTTTTTTTTTTTTTCAAGCTTACCACCATTTCTGTTGTAAAAAAAAAAACTCAAAAAGCCTGTCCTAAGTTTAAGTAGCCATTCAGTTTTGTTTTGTTTTTTTTTTCCTATGGGGGGGACCTGCCCTCTGGTTTTTTGCCCTATCATAATAAATGTTTCACTGCCATTGTTAAGTAAAACGTATACTTATGGAACAAACTCAACAACTCAACAATACTTGTCAATAGGAAATATCCATTTGACAACATTTTCTGCAATATTAACTTTTTTGTTATTATAAAATCCCTCTTAATGCCAACTTTCAATGTTTTGGATGAAGGTATAGAACAAATAGCCTGGAAATTTGATATATTGTTGCAAATATGCTCAGCTTCTCATATGATTATGACTGGATGATTAACAAACAATCTGTTATGCAAGATTAAACTCAATTGAGGATGACTGACTTCAATGTTAATTCACTTGACTCTTTACTTGAGGACTGTAAACAGTGATAGTCTGATCCTTCATGACCCACAGTTACCCAGAGTTGACTCACCATGTCAAGAAGGAGCCCACTCACTAAATTAAATAAACTCAAATGGTCCATAATCATGATACAACAGTGCCCTCTAGTGTTGATGCTGTGAGCTGGCACTTGCCCTCCCCAGTGTATGTGCTCTGCTTTTATTCGACTTCTTTTTTAAACACTTCATCCTTCTCTTCTCCTCTTCCATGCTTTTCAATTAAGTCCCTTGTCCTTTCTGCTTAATGATGACAAATGATCTACCGCTATTCTTTTCTCCATTGCCCAATTAACAGTCTGCTGAAACATGCAGTCTAATGACAACATACATATTTCAGTAGCCTCTGTAATATTCATCTAAAATATTGTAGTCAATTTATGAAGGCAATTTCCATCATCATCATCTATGTTATAACTTGAACTCTGCAAACCTCTCTGATGACAGATGTAGGCCCTGATCATGTGGTAAGTCCACACCATTTGACATCACTGCTTTAATACTGACAATATTTCATCGAAATGTCTTATGTATGTAGCTATGCTTTTACATCTACAGAAGCTGTATATCATATTTATTTAATCTTTTTTCTCAGGCAATAAGTATTGTTTATTAAAATCAGAACTAGCATATCTTTTTTGGAATTTTTTGGAAAGTGTGTTAAGTTTATAGCTCAGCCAGGACAAAATTCAAAAAAGCAGTTTTCTCTTTGAAGCATTACGGCTCTCAGTAAGAACCCAGAATCCTTTCATAGAGGGGCAACAGTGTCTACTACTAAACTACAAGTTTGCCTAGCAGTTCTTGCTTTTGAAGGTTTTTATTGCCTCTACTTTTTGACTGTGGAAGTTCAAAACAGCAGTTAAAAGCGCAGCTCAAACCAAATGTAAAAAAAGAATAGTCCTGGGTGACATTAAGTGCCTCTACTCTGGATTTCAACCCAGACTGCTCTCATGCAAAAGGCAGCAGCCTTTGACACTTCACCACAGGACTGCCTGGAGGTGCCTTCTTTTTTAGGGTTTTTATATTACCATTTGACTGTGCTTCTTTAAAAGAACATTTAAGGCAGGGTTTCTTTCTTGCCTCACAGGTGCAGCTCTGAAATTGAACCCACACCTTTATATTGGAAAGCAGGAGTCATCACCACTATGCCACAGTTAAACCTGATGTGTTTTGTTTTTTCAAGGTCTCTTGATCTCACCTTTTAGTCTCATTTTTTTGAACAAATTATAGAAAATGTTTCTCTCGAGGATAAAGTGCCTCTACTCTGGTTTTGAAGCCAGAACCCTTTCATTGTTAGGCAGCAGCCTTAACTACTACACTATTAGTATGTCAATACTTGCTTTCAAGGTTCTATTTGCTTTCGTTTTCATATTATGAGCAATAAAAATACAGCTAAACATCAATGTTTATTTCTCGGCTTACAAGAACTACTATGAAATGACTCTGTCCAGGTTCTGAAACCAGGATTCTTTGGTGAAGAGGCAACAGCCTTCATCACTACACTACATGTGAGTTTGGCAGTGATTTATAATTATTATTTTTACTTTAAAATTACAGCTTGACATTGAGATGAGTGCAGTATTTTTATTCCTGCATTGCATGTGCTATTAAATGTTTCAGTCCTGGATTTAAACCCAGAATTGATTTATTAAGAGGCAGCAGTCTTTACCACTATAAATTACAGGTTTTGCTGAGTGCTTTATTTTTCAAGGTGCTATTTACTTTGTCTGATCAGAAAGGTTAAAAACAGCTTAACTAAGATGCAAAATCAACCTCTGTTTTGCTCTCACTGCAGCAGAATCTAAAGTGATTAAAAGAACCAAGCAGTGCAACACCATCTGTTATCATCTATACTTTCTTCCCATATTCCCTCTTAAATAATATTACACCATTGTCTTATTCATTATTACTTCTCCATTATCTTCAGAGAAACCAAGTTTTTATGGGTGATAGTTCAGTGTTCATCCATTTCAACCATTTACTGCACAAAAGACTGCCCATGTAGCTTGATTGCTTGCTAGGTTAAACTGTGTAGACTATGTGCTATAAGATATTAACCCATGACAGACCATAAAAAAGGTGAAAGCATAAAATGCATTTTAAAGTACTCCATTGTTGAGAAATAACCTACTATTGAGGGCTTTGAACAGGAGGGTTAAATCCAACAACTTCAGCTTTAACTTTGTGTGTTTTCTGTTTAGGTGCAAAGACATCACATGAAAACAGTAGCAGTATCTGATTTGGCTATCGTCCACGTGGTGCAGAAATGGTCATGCTACATCCCAGGGAGACTTAACAGAAAACAGAGCCAGAATACATTTGTAAAATAATAATAATAATAATAATAATAATAATAATAATAATAATAATAATAAACTAAATAATCTTTGTTAAACTTGAAAAGATGCAAAGTTGTATAATGATTTAAAAATTATTAAGCTTTTATAAATGTAAAGCTATAAATGCATACAATAACATTTATCCCGGCTGTAGATAAAGCAGGATTTTTCATCTCACAAAATTTTAGATTTTAGATAGATTTTTGTTGGTTGAATTTTACCTTTAAACAACCATTTAAGTACTGTTTATCTATGGTTATGATTTCAGTGTTGTTTCAGTGTTAAAGTAAAGTTCAAAACTGTCATTGACACTGTCAGATTGTGATGTTGATTCGACATCAACATAGTTGACAGTTCATTATTGTTTTAATGACGTCCTACTCTCTGGAGGATGAGTTATTTAGGAAAGCGTTAATGCAGGTAGAATTGTAATAACCATTTTATCCACTAGGTGTCTCTGTTTTGTAACAAATCACACTCAAACTGACTCAAAGAACAGGTGCTTTTAAACAGTTCACTTAATTTTGTGGGTGCAACGACATCCAAACGTTAGCCTTCAAAATACCGTTTAATACCACGAAATACAACTTACCTTTCGCCATTTCAGCCACTTTATTTCCTCTCTGTTCGAGTGACACGCTGAAAACCTGTCACATGGCCTACCTGAGAACTGCAGCTGCACTGACTCAAATTGTGGGTGTGTATGACTCTTTAGGAACCAATCAAAGAGCGTAGAGCCGGCGCTGGGGTTCCCTATTGGTCCCTGTGCCCGTCATTCATTGCGGCATACCCCTGTAAAGCAGTGGTGAACACTGGCTGGCAGCAGAGCAGAAATGTGAAGATATATGCCATGCAACTCCACCGGGTAAGGATCTGTTTAGGTTTTACGAGTTGCTTCTTGGCTTATAGCCTACCTACTGCAGTTGTGAGTTCGTGAAACGCAGTTATCTTTTATATACTTATACAAATAGAACTAGTTTTAGGTTACTGTGATGTTTTTAGCAATGGCATTTTAATTTCTGACGAATTAAACTGAATATTTATTGATTTGTTTTGCCAATATGCTGCAGAAACCCTGCAGGAAAGCGTGTTTATGCTGCAGTTCAAACACTGATCATTGCTCTTGTGTTTGCTTGCAAGGTGACAATAACCCGCGGGATTATGTTATGATGTAAACAGTACAGAGGTTTTGCGGAATATCAGGCAGGAAAGCACTGAAGGACGTGCAAAGAATTGTGCTTGCTGTGCTTGCAAATGTCTGAAATGCCAGCGACAGCACTGGGGCTCTTCTCTGCATGTGTCGTCACCTTGTTTGACACTCAGCTTTTATGCGGCAGCTTGTGAAATGTTGATGAAATTGTGTTTCATGTAGTTGGACAGCAATGTCGAAGAGGACGAGGATAGGGGACAGGGTTAGGAAGAGAAGTTTTATCAGAATTACAAGTCAATCCATGTTGGATTACACAGCTTCAATTCTTGCTTATGAAATAGGTTTGTTTGGAAATGTAGAGGGCCCATTGATGCAGAAGAAGCAGTACAGTTTGGTAAAGCATCAAATCTAGCTTTAAAATGAGCCTTTAGGATGTCTACTATAGGCTATGTTGAATTTCAGTCTTAAACTCAAAGACTTAATCATTCTCCAAAGTGCATAAAAGTCAATAGAAGATTTATCATGTTATTGAGCATTTCAGCAGATTTACAGCTCTGTGCTACTTTCTCTCTGACAGCATATGGACAGGCCACATATCCTCCTCTGCAGCCCAAGCACAGTCACTCAGCCTGGGGCCTGGCCACTTTTCTTTCCCTAGACTGCTCCAGTGATTAACATGCCACCCATCATGGAGGGCACACACACCGTGTTGCTCCTATACGCACCCATCCGTGAGCTAAGCCACATCAGCTTGTATTTTCCCAAGAGGCGGGCCAGGGGTTTCAAGTACAAGAGCCGCGCCCCTCATTCAGAGAAGTTCACTAATGACCATGACTGGGGAAAGGAGGATCTTGCCATGTCCGAACAAAGAGGCCAGTCTTCAGACTTCTCAGGCAAACTGCTCAACTCCCAGGAAGCAATCGCAGAGTTCTGCTGGCTGGCGGCGGAGCATCACCAGTTGCTCGTGGATCTCTTATCGCTGTGTAGAGTTTGCGCCAATAAAGTCAGAATGGGAAACCAGGAAGGGAAACTCCAGGATTTCATGGAGGGTCAGGAGGTTCACCTTGGAGGTCAGAGTCTCAGTGGCACCAACGTTCTTCCCACAGGGCCTCCAGAGCAGAAGAAAGTTACATCTAAGAGCAAAAAACTAAAGAAGCTGGGAGGCAAAAAACTGGACAGTGCTGAGGATTTTCTGCACAACAAGATAAAGAAGAAAGTTTCAAGTGGAACTTTATCAAATGAGCTTCCATCTCAAAACGGTTTGTCTAAATCTTCAACCTCAAAAGTGAAACAGATCCCAGGTGCTTCTTCATCTGTCCACGTCTCTGACAGCTCAGTCACCGGCTCTTACGTCAGTGCTGTCAGTAACCCCATCCTCCCCATGGAAGAACCCTTCCAAATCGGGCGGGAGGGTTGGGACTTCATGGAGGATAATCGTGCTTTTGATCCTGACATGGATTTCTACACTGACTTCTCTGAGTATGACGGGGAGCTGGGTTACGAGTCATCATTTTGCAGCCTGATGGAGGGTCTGACCCGACGAGAAAGTGGCAGCAACCTTCGACCAATTAAAATGTTTGATTCTTTAGATGAGACTCTATCTGACAATGCATCAACTGCAAAAGAAATCAGCGTGGATAATCCAGGAGTCAGGGTGGTGGCCAAAGTACAGGAAGTGGAAGGGAGACTGCACCATGTCAATCATACAAGCCTAGACATGGAAGGGCCGTCCATGGTAAATCCGGGGCCCAGTAACTGTAAGCAGGCGTATGGCAAGTGGAAAGGAACAAATCAAGGGGATGTCAATAGAGAAAAGACAAGTCGAAAACTTTCTGAAGGGCTACGGCTGCCTCTGTCCCACACAAACGAACCTCACTCTACCAAATCTCATCTAAAGAGCCCCTCTTCACCCTCTCTCGCTGGTGTTTTTAACACTTCCTTCCCTGCCTCTAACAGCCTTCAGAGCATGTCCCCACTGTCCTCCAAGCACACAAGCCCACAGCTAAACCACCGCATCGTGCTGCTCTCGGATAAGGATGTAGACGCCGAGCAAGACAGCTCCAGCAACACAGATGAGTCTAAAATCTTCACAGAGGTTATTGACAAGAACGGCAACAAACGCACCATCACCCGTCTGGATTTGAACCTCAGCAGGCGGCCGAGCAGCACCAAGTGGAACTCCTCCAGCAACTCCACAACAACAGGTGAGCTATTAGATCTTACAATGTTCCTGTTTGAACAGTGGCACTTTCATCATCCTAGGAGTGTGAAACAGCTGTCAACACACACCCTTCATCTGGCAGGTGCTGGATTTCAAAAAGCAGAACAAGAAAAGGATTTCTTGAGAGTGTGTGTGTTAAGACCTGCTGCCTCAGGTGGTTTTTTAAAATACCCTAGAAATCTTCAACCCAACGTTGTTTCTTCTGAATATTTTCCTAGCAATGTTTTTAAGTCTGAATATCATCCAGCCCAGCCAATGAGTCTGATTTTGCACAGAATGTCTCCTGTAGTCTAGTTTTGGACTGCTGTGGCCAAGATGTGTGACCACAAATTAAAAGCTACCCAACAGAGTTGCACAAAGGGGCAACCAGGACCCTGAGAATAGCAGAGATTAGCTTGAGTGTCTCAGATCAAAGGCTCAGAGTTGACACAGAGTTTGACCTGATCAGGCTTCTTACGAGCGCCTTGTTAACTGAAGCATTGCCAATTTGGATGTCCAGTGATCTACTGCCCCTCCCTTTTAAAATCCACATCCAGTTCACAGCAAACTGACAAAGGATTAGGGACCAAGCAGGCTCAAGGGTATAAGTCTTTTTGCAAGACTGTTTCCCTTACCTTTATCTTACGCCAGCAGTGATAGAATAAGTTGTGTAAATGGTTTAACACACTTATAAAATACACACTTAAGGCTCGAAGTTTATGACCTTTTGCTTCTCCATCAGTAAGCAAAGTTAATGCTTGGGCTTGAGGCTGCAACATCATTGCAGTAGCTTACTCTGCATTGTTGTTAATCATCCTTTCAGCCGTACTGACACAATCTTAGTTTCATTCTGTACTGAAAACAGACCGCTCTGCATTGATTATGGGCAGTTTGACCCCCAATCACTGAGCGACAGTGTATTTTTAGTGATCCTCCAGAGTTTGTAATTTGTTATATCATAGAGAAGCACCAGCTGAACACATACAGGACATCCAGAAATGCTGAGCTCAGCAGCAGCTGGAGGGTGAAGGAGAGCTGAGCTGTGTGAAGCTAAGCTAAGCTAACAGTAGACAGGGCCCAGTGTTTACGACCCGGCTTTGCTCATGTTGATGAATTGGATCAATCCTCACTGAAATTAAACCAACCCTGTTGGTCCTCACTTAGGCATGCACACACAAAGATGCAGTCACTAGCACACACCCACACGTTTTAGATCGCTCCTCTTTGTTATGAAATCAAAAGCTATTTTTAATTTCCTGAGCATGGCTTCAGAAAAATGTACTGATCCTTTTTCAGATGTGCTGGTGTGTCATTATGACCCATAATCTGCTTGTATGAAACCCTAACAACCATGTCCACTAACATTGTTACTACCCTGATGTTTCATATTGCACAAGCTTAAACCTCAATCTCTAAAAAAAAGCCTCTAATCAATTCCGCTGCATTTTGGCGCTTTTCTTTGATTGTCCTTGTGTTGCTTGATAATTGAGCGCGCTTCAGATGTAAACACAGATAAACAGACATCACAGGGTCCAGCTGGAAGGACTAAGTGGGTCATTGTGAAGCTGGGTTCTTCATGGCTTGCAAATGCTGTACTAATTATGCGGGCTCTCTAATCTCCCAGACTTTTAGTGCTTATTAATGGATGCGATTATTATGCTGATAGGAATGGTTGTTTTGAAGTTATTAATGATCTTATTTGCTTCATGCGCTAATGCGGTTATGTCACAGTCTGTAACCTTACTAAAGGTGCGAGGCTATGTGTGTGGGAAATATGTGTGTAGCTGCAGTAGTAGCTAACAAAGGCCGTTAAATATGTGCAGGCTATATCTTTTAGCTAATAAAATCAAGCTAGAACACAATATTTTAGCAACTGTTTGAGATGGAATGTAAACATTTTCAGAAAACTTATTTTTATGCATCTATCAGGGACGTAGCAACATTAGCATTAGTCTAAAGTTGTTATTGCGGCTTCCTACCAGTTTAAGGACATATTTGGCTCTTAAATGTTGAATTTTCCACTATTTTCTCGTCAGTCACTAAATAGTAGCATTCCTAGTAGATTTTTTATCCTTTTATATGGTCTATGACCAAAAACAGATTTCTGAATGGTGATACTGAGCCAAGGAAATCCCCTGGTGAAGAGCCTGAGACCAAAACAGTGAGCTGTACAAATACTACAGAGCTCTAAGGAGCTACAGTCGAACCACTATCACTAATAGTGTCCCATGTCCCATTGAACTTGGTGATTTGGTCTGGTTGTAGTTTGAAAATACTGAGTACAGTTGCTGTAAAAATAAATCTCTATTTTTGACCCATCAGTCACTCTTTCTCCCTTTTATTGTCGAGCATATGCCTGGCAATACCATAATCAGATTACTCAAAAGGATCCAGCAAGGTCATATGGAACTGATCAGTGCAGCGCAAGAGTGCTTCTCCCTGCTTCCCCTGCTAGCTGTCAGTCAACACAAAATACCCCGCTATGCAACAATGTTCCTACCGACAAGAACAAGCGCCAGCTCTGTCCCGATAATGAAGTGGATTCTGCCAAAACAGGCTAAGAGCGTGTCCCTCCCAGTCTGTCTCACACTGTTGCTCTTAGCTTCATTCTGCATTCAGAGGAACAGAGCACAAAGGTCCTCCTTGTATAACAAGTAACTTGTTTTCTTTAATAAATGACCTCAATACCAACATAGTGGTAAATGTTAGCTATCCCACTCATGCGTCTTGGTACGGGCCGGCATCCAGTAACAGGTTTCTACATAATGTTTCACTGTTTCAGACTGGAGCAAATTTAGCAAAATTTCCTACCACTCCGTAATCTGCCAGGCTCAATAAAAGCTCAGCCTCCTCATCCTCAGCCCCGTATAAACCAGTCAGACTGTAGAGCTACATTTCCAGTGACTAACGGTGAGTCTGTGGGAACCATGTCAAGCTACATTACCACTGTGGCCCTCAGAGCATCACAGCACTCTTCCACAAGCTTCCAAGCTGCTGCTGCCCTCTACATGGGCTTTAAAACTGACAGCTAAACCATTAAGTCTATCAGTCAGCCTGACAGCCATACAGCCACTAACCCAGAAGGATGCTAAAACTAATGGGTGATTTGAAAGTCCTGCATTTTCATGATTAATGTAAAAATCTATGATCCTCCAGTCTGGCCAAAAGTGATAAAGGGTGGGAGTCTGAGCCTGACGGATACACTAAACATGCCACATGGCCCCATTTTTTTCTACTTTGACTGATGGGTTAATAGGTTTTGAGTGGCTGAAATATGGCATGCTGTTTGAGTGACTGTAATAAGAGAAATAAGGGTATGTATGAGAGGGAGGGGTTGGACTGTTTGGCCTGCATGTTTTGCACAAAAGTGCAGCATGTACTGGCATCATAGTGGAGTTTTGCACCAGGATTACCAGGTCTGTGTTTGATACAAACAGTATTGACTTGCAAGAACGTTGTCAAGAGAAAAGAAGTGTTTTACTTTAATACACAATCAAATGCAAAAATAAAAAAAACATACTTCAAAGTGCAACCAAAAGTCTCCTCTTGGACTGGCATGGTATTTCTCAAGTTACTACACTGCGTTCCAAATTATTATGCAATATATATTATATATTTTTATCAGATTTTCTAAATTGCCAATGCAAATGACAGTCAGCATAATTTTCAAGTCCTTAACCGTTACAGTATAATTTAAATGTTATTGAACAAACCTCCCAATGATAACAGTATTTTTTTCAAAAAGGTTGTGTTTCTGGGCCCACTGCAACCGTTTCTGCTTGTGAAATTTTTTTTAGGGGTGGCCATATAGAAGGTTGATGCATGACTGCAAGCCTCTGGAGGATCCTACAGTTTGATGTTCGGGGACTCCAGAGACATCAGCAGCTTCAAATATCTGTTTGCTGCTTTGTAATGGCATTTTAGCAGCTGTTCTCTTAATCCGATGTGTTTGTCTGACAGAAACCTTCCTCATTGTGCCTTTATCTGCACAAACCCGTGTGTGCTCTAAATCAGCCACAAATCTCTGATTATAAGTTTTCGTGAAATATTTAAGGTTTTCATACCTTGATCAAGGCATTCAACTATTTCATGCTTTTCAGCAGCAGAGAGATCCTTTTTCTTTCCCATATTGCTTGAAAATGGTGGACTGCTTAATAATGTGGAACGCTTTTTCCCTTACCTGGGCTCACCTGACAAACTAATTACCACAGGTGTCTGAGATTGATTTCAGTGATCCAAAGAGCCCTGAGACACAGTACCATCCATGAGTTTAATCGAAAAACAAAAAATATAACCTGTATGACACTTACAGACAATTTGCATAATAATTTGGAATGCAGTGTATTTAGACAGTAAACAAAGGTAGCAGGAGCTACCTGTCACAGGAAGCCCCAGAAAGCTGACTGATGCCTCCTATAGATCAGTAGATTTAAACAGACTGATTAGGGCCCGAGCGTAGCTGCTAAGCAGCTGCGAGAGCCCTCTTGTTCCTGATGGATTCTTCTTTCGTTATTTTTCCTCCGCTTTAAACTGGAAAATGGCCCACTTCCCACTGGCGAAAACTCAGGAAATTTGGCAGGACGACCGGGCCTGGTGAAAAATTCGATATTCTGAAGTCGCCCAAACAAAAAAATGAAAAATGGCTCCATAGCGCCCCCTATGGTGAAAACTCACCTGACGCCTGTACGCTTTGTCAAAATGACACAAAAATTGACACACATGTGTATCTCAATAAGATCTACAAAAAAGTCAGTGCGGGCGTATCTGTCAAATGTACCGTTAAAGGGCTATTTCGCATTTTTTGCCGATCCGCACACATTGGAATTTCGCTAACTCCTCCGAAGGCTTTCCTTCCACCGGCACCAAATTTGCTCAGGCCAATCTACACCCCATGGCCATTAAAAGTTGTACAAATCATGACGCTGCACCCCACGGTTTAGGTTCTAGGGGGCGCCAAAGATAACCCAAAAAGCCACATTCTTAAAAGTCTTATAACTTTTTATTTTTGTCCTCACTGGCCCCCAAGTTTTCTAGGATGATGCAATGTCCAGCCATCAACACATTTGTGAAGAAATTTTTACTCCCCAAAAGAGCGCCCCCCCATGGCAGTAGAAAAAAGTCCATTTTTTCTTGTCCCCTAAGGTGAAAATACACATTGTTGAGTGTCACGCCTAAACGCTTTGTCATATTGACACAAAATTTGACAATCATGTGTATCTCAATAAGATCTACGAAAAAGTCAAAGAGCGCGTATCTGTATAATGTACGGTAAAAGGGCTATTTTGCATTTTTTGCCGATCCGCACACATTGGAATTTCACTAACTCCTCCGAAGGCTTTCATTCCACCGACACCAAATTTGCTCAGGCCAATCTACACCCCATGGCCATTAAAAGTTGTACAAATCATGATGCTGCACCCCACGGTTTACGTTCTAGGGGGCGCCAAAGATGACCCAAATATCCACATTCTTAAAAGTCTTATAACTTTTTATTTTTGTCCTCACTGGCCTCCAAGTTTTCTTGGACGATGCAATGTCCAGCCATCAACACATTTGTGAAGGAATTTTTACTCCCCAAAAGAGCGCCCCCCCATGGCAGGAGAAAAAAGTCCATTTTTTCTTGTCCCCTAAGGTGAAAATACGCACTGTTGAGTGTCACGCCTGTACGCTTTGTCAAAATGACACAAAAATTGACACACACATGTATCTCAATAAGATCTACGAAAAAGTCAATGCACGCGTATCTGTCAAATGTACGGTTAAAGGGTTATTCCGCATTTTTTGCTGATCCGCACACATTGGAATGTGGCTAACTCCTCTGAAGGCTTTCGTTCCATCGGCACCAAATTTGCTCAGGCCAATCTACACCCCATGGCCATTAAAAGTTATTCAAATCATGACGCTGCACCCCACGGTTTACGTTCTAGGGGGCGCCAAAGATGACACAAATATCCACATATTTCAAAGTCTTATAACTTTTTATTTTCGTCCTCACTGGCCTCCAAGTTTTCTAGGATGATGCAATGTCCAAATATCCACATTCTTAAAAGAATCTACATCCCCCCCCCATCCCCCAAGTTTTTCCTGCCCATCACTCAATGGCTCAATCGCATCGCTCTCCCGGCAACACCGTAATGAGGAGCAACTTGCCGTTTGGATATATCCTAGCTGTGTTTGTGCCCTCACTCATGGTCCAGACTTTTTTCAAATAGGACATGTAGTTTGTCTGCAGCGAGTGTTTTGGTAGAAACTGCGCCTCCCATTCATTATAATGGGAAATGACCACAGACAAGTGCGCACACCATCTTTGGACCTTGAGTGTGACGCGATCGGGAGGGGGAGGCGGTCGCGCTGGGGGCGGCTCGACGCGGCTCGGGCCCGACAGTGCCCCACCGGGGCCCTAGTTTCAAGATTGTTTTTGTGAATTTCCAAGAAATGGTGAAGAAGTCATGATACTTGTTTGAAACTGAACAGGACTGCAGTCAGGGGTGTCAGGGATTGCCCCAAAGGTCTCTACTATGATTTGCTAATAGCTTTGTTAGAGTACAGATTTATGTCAAAACCAAAAGGTTGGACTGTAGTTTGGGACAGGGCTTGCTGTCTTTTGTTGGTATTAACAATTTTAGAAAAGTACTTCACACATCTATTTCATTAAACAGCTGCACAGAAGAGGTTGAGTCTGCAAAAATCTGCAAACCAAACCCCTGCACACTGTCTAAAATCAATATTTTAGGCAATATTTTGGTGGGATTATGAACAAATGTCATTTTGAAGGACAGTAAAGAACTTTCCTTGCATTTTAAAGTACTTTGGATTGGGACTTAAAGTCCTTAAGAGTTTAGCTTTAATTTGCTTCAATTGATATGTTGCTGCTCTACTGTATTATCCAAGTTCCTGAAGTCTATAGGAGAGTCATTATGCAAGTTCAATCAAGCATTTATTTAACTCTGAAGTAACTGGAATGATGAAGGGGTCAACAACATTTGAATATCAGGTATTAGTTTATACCATATGTGACAATTTGTAAAGGAAAAAAAACTGTACTAGAAATAGTTCAAGATTTGTTGTGATTTCAGAGAGCTTTTAGGTTTTAAAGATCAACTTTGTGTTGCAGTGTTTGATTTCTTGTGTACAGTGACAGCCAGAGTGACAGGTGGATTAATCCATCACCAGGAATAACACCCACCTGCCAGGATCAGACATGAGATGTGTTTCTGAGCTGCCTAGGACAGAGTTATTCCTCTGCCGAAACATTAATGCCAACGTTGGCACATGAACGCCGAATCTGTCTGACAGCTGCTCACTCACACGCCGTGATTTACACTGTCAGATCACTGAACTGTCAATCAACGCCCGTCTGTTTGCTCTAAGAAAAAAAAGGCACCTGTGTGCACTTGAGATGTCTTAAAGTCTCTATGAAAGTACAGTGATATCACTTCACTACAGGGCAGTGTTGGGGAGCAGTACTTGTTTTGAAGGATGGATGCTGAGTTGAGTTGGAATTATATAGTTAGCCCTGCATTAAACAGCACAATCCCATCTGCAGCTGTGTCCCCTCTATTATGGATGGACACTGTGATTGAGTCCTGAGCTAGCTTTTAGAGCAGCAGGGAGGGAGATTAAAATGCAATAAGCTCACAATTTTCCTCAGAGCTAAGCTCACTGTGTGTGCATGCAGACTAGCCTAGTGCCATTACATAATGCATTTAAATGTTGCTTCTCAATATCTGTTTACTGTCATTGCATGGCAGTGATTTCATATCTTAACCACGGCTCATTTAGAGTATGCAGCAGGACAGAGAGCTTCACTGCAGCGTGTTTGACAACAGGCAAAATGACATGCATTTCCCTGCCTCCCCATGTGAGGGCAGTGTGGGTCAACTTGTGCATATTTTAATCATTAACTCTGTGGCTGTTAATCAGGGTGCATACATAGAAGTATTCAGTGGAAAGACAATTTTTGCTAGTCATTAAATGCTACAGCAAAAAGGCACTTACTGTTGTTCGTGCTGTTTGCTTCATGTAATTAATAATTTAGTCACCACAAGGAGTTGTTGAGAGAGCTGTTTCTGATCAGCCATGTCTTTTCTTGGCATGCACTCAGCCTAACTCTGCAATTGGAAAAGGCCCAGGCAACAGTCAGCAGTTCCCACTGCAGGCCCGTGCAGCACTGCATTATGATAATGAAAAGTTATTAATCTAATCCTGTTTTTTTCTGCTGTCCAAGTCTGAGATAACTGGAGGGACTGCGGGTGCTGCTGCTGCTCTTTCCTAATGACTGATAGTGATTGAAGCTGAATTTCAATGCTTCCATTTTTTTTAACAAAGCACCCCCCACCCACCCCCTCCTCTTCTGTAGTCTCTCATAACTGAATTAAAAGCATTTGGCTGGGGCTCAGACTCTGTGAAGCTGCACAGGGGAACTTCCAAGTCCTGCTGGGCAGTATTGCAGGGATACTGAATGCTCTTTTCAAGGATACTCACGGCAGAGGAAGGTTAGCAGGTTATTGAACAGAAAGTGACATGCCTTTTTCTTGTGTTTTCAGCTCAGATTTCTGCTCAAGGTGCTCAAGGTGTTGTCTTACAGCTGGAGGAAATTGAGGTCATCTCGCCCCAAGATACATTCCCATCCCCCTTCTCAGTCCCACTTTGTTCTCTCCTCCCTCTTCACCTTCTTTTCATCCTCCATAATCTTTCACTTCCCTCATGGTTATCTCCAAATCTATGCTATTTTCTTTCTGCGTGACTTGATAGGTAATGAATCAAGGCATGATTTATCATGTTTCTATACATGTGAGAGGAATGTGAAAGCAACTACTCCTCTCTAGCATCAGCAGCAGAGCTTCTTTCCTGGTTCCTGATGTTAATTCCATGTGATTTGCTCAGGGGCCTTACACATGGGGAAGGCTGTGTCTGCAGTGTCACTGAGCACTAAATATTAAAGGCCTGATGCTCTAAAAAGCAAAAAGCAATCTTCTCCTGCTTACTGCTGCAGACCTTTTGATATGAAATCACCTCGTTTAAGCATATTGTTCAGCATCTTTCATCATAATTTTTTCTCATTATCCTCTGCGTGAGTGCCTGGCCAGAAGAAAGCATAGTTTTTTTGTAAATAGATGGCTAAAGGCACACCCATCAGCCTCCAGCTTCAGTGTAGCACAGTGTTACTGCTGAACAACAGCATAGTACACATTTCTTGAGCACAAATCAATACCAGTCTGTGGTATTTGCTTTTTGAGGCCAGTGCTCTCTGGTCATTTTTACATTTACTGGATCAGTGTGGCTCTCTGCTGGTGATGATAAATGGAACTGGGCCGGTTAAGTGCAGATAAAAATAGCCGCGTGCCCTCAAGCCTCCAGCAAGCTAGGGTCTCAGTCTCTCTGCCAGCTTGATGCTGAAAGGCTCTGAAGTCTGTTTCCTAACTCACTCAGTTTTACTTACCTGCGCAGGTGACACAGGAACACATTTAGCCTCAGCCAAAGCTGCTGAAGTCGCCTTGACACAACTTTCGTGCTGGAGTGTTTTTTTAGATGTGCACAAACATATCAGTAGTTAGCCTCATATGTATGCCTTTTGTAAGGTCTTGGCTTTGAAAACAGCTTTGGCTATATAGTTACTTTTGCTTTTATAGTATAAATCCCACCCAAATGTATTTCCAACCGGTTCATTTTTTTTCACATCATGCTGTCTTAAAGCTCTTGTAAGGGACTTTCTCTATGTACCAATGTTAGCGCCCCTTGTGGATATCTCAAATAATGCTGCTCATTTTGGCCTGTATAAATCTGTGTTGTCAAGTTATCTGTTCCAGGATAGCTATTCTGTTAAAAACTCATCGCAGGAGCTTTGAGAAATAACTTTGTTTTTTTATTTTTTTTTAATTGTGTGTTTGTATAGAGGACTCCCTCCTTCGTCAGGACGATATTTGGATGCTGGACGGCGATGACCCTCAGGAGCCTCTGTCCCGTGTTCCTCGCCCAGATCACCTGGACTTCCTTCGAATCACACCGCCTGAGGATGACATCATTGGGGACACACCTTATATTCCCAAACTGGAGTGCACGGTGAGGAACTTCAGACATGAGCTGCACAAACACACAGAGATTAAAATGAGCTGTAACGCATGTTTTCACTTTGAGAAGATTGCACCTGTGGTTTTCTCACCCTCACATTTTTCTCCACTCGACCATTCAACCACCTGATCGCCCATTCTTAGAAAACAGATTAACAGGTCAGGGATTATTATCTGCAGGCTGGGGTCTTAAGACAAAACTGACTAAGATCATTTCACTCCAGCCTCTCAAAATCTCTCCCTCTCTTCTACCACTTTTCAGTGTTGTCTGCAATTGTGGATCGTTAGTGATTTTACATTGTTATTATGATGTTATTATTATTCTGTTGCAGAGCATGTGACCGATTTAATCCCATTGTATTGTATGATCTCCATCTTAAAAAAAAAGCAAGAGCAAACAATGTATTGTTTGTTTCCAGCTGTTTGTTGGTTTTTATTCAAACAAGTAAAACTATTTGCATAACATCATCCAATAAGAAGCTGCAAAAAACAGTTTGTAAGCCCGTCCAAATTCCATCATGCCATCTAGCATTCCTGTGTCAGATGAGGCAAATTACTTAGGTGTGGTTTAAGGCGGGTTGTGTATCAACCCAAGCAATGCATTGTGTTCCCAAGACACAATAACTGCCCTGACTGTGAGCATAATAATCTAACATACCAGTTTAAAGGCCATGCTAGACAGAATTAGACACTACGTTTTGTTATGAAAGTGTCAGCCAGCTCCTGTACTTGGGTGTAACATGTTTCCATTGTCATTATCATCCATTCATTTCTTGGAAAAAGACAGGAAGTGATTTGTCAGAAAAGATTAAAAACAAACAGCAGTTTAGAATGACCACCTCACCTCTGTTGGATTGCTGTTTTATTTTGCATAGTATTCAAATGACTACAACATTAAAATGAAACACTTCAAGTCTACATGTGCCATCCTTTGTCCATCAGTGGTTTCCTCTTTCTAGTACAAACCCCGCGGAGGATTTACTTTCTGTGCATGAAAAGCCACTGCCATTACATAACTTAATTCCTCACACACAAGCCCCTTGCCTATTTGTGGCTGAGGGCAGAAATAATCACTAGCTGGGGATTGCTATCACAAATATTTTTTTCCCATAGGGATGATTATTTCATAAAATTGTCCACTATTCTGGGTTTCTATTTAGTGATTCCTATCAAATTCTGCTAAAAATACATCTCCCATAGATTTTAAACAACCATTAATTTATGAATTAGCAGTGATAACAAGCCCTGCTTTTTGGTGGAGACAATACTTTCCTCATGTATGTGACCTAAAGGAGTCATAAATAAGATTGAAAACCTTTTTAAAATCACAGTGCAGTGGTTGTGTACCCTCTGACTGCTCGGTATTCATTAAAAAAGTTTAAAGGAATGTGTGACCGTTGTTGCTAAGGGGAACAACAGGCCAAAGACTGCTGTGTTTCCCCCTGTTTTCAGACATCAAGAATAAGCCTCACAAAAATGTGGATGAAACACTAAAAGTTTCTTCTCACTCTTTTTTTGTGTTATCTTGTGAGCTATTTTTATACTTATTTAATTGCTTTTGCTAGCCTGTGAAGTTAAGCTAACTTTAGCTTGTTCGATCTTTAAAACTTCGATCCCAAAGTCCACACTAATTTAAAATAAACTTTATATAAGAAATTTGTTACTCTAACAAAATCATTTCCTCTGCTTTTTAATTTATTTTCTGGAATTTTTCACAGAAACTCTTTGGCAGTAATTTTGGCTGTATTAGCTTGTAAATTAATCTCTCTCCATCTTTCCACCAAAGAGCAGGCTCAGTTAAGAATAAATAGTAAAATGATTTTACGCTTCAAAAGATTTTTTTTTTTTTTTCTGCTTTTTCTTTTTCACAAATAAACTCTTTTTCCACTCTTGCAATATTTTGTGGGGTAGCTAGTTAAATTCAGTTTATGCCAGCTTGGACACTTTTATCCTAAAATAAAGTTACCTTTACAACTTGACCTCCATTTTGAATCAAACGAACTATTAGTGTGGAGTATAAAGAGGCTTAAGGTAAGTGTGTTAAAACTTAGCTTATTATTTTCCACCTAAATGAATCCCTGTTCTGTCTCAGTGTTCATGAGCTGCTTATCACTCACATTAGCCCTATAGCATGTTAGCTGAAGCTGACTGGGTTCAGGCTGCCTAATCACCTTGCCTTAAGCCCCGGGCGTCTTTAGCTCACAGACCTGCTCAGCTCTCCACCTGACCACAGACCGTCATGACCCGCCCTCTGTGTTTGCTCTGTTACCTCAGCAGCCATTTTATGGAAGTAATCAGACACCTGCAGTGCTGGGATCTGCAGGTTCCCTCCCAGGAAGGGAGGGACCTAAAGGGAGGCGTCCCCAGACCGGGTAGACCAGTGAGACACATTTTTTTTCTAATCTAAGTGTTTTTTTTTCCTCCCCACACTACACCAGCACAGAGGGGGTTTCCTGTTAACTGAGCAACAAGTTAAAGCTAAACTGACAAAAATCCAGAAGATCTGTTTAGTTATGGGTGTCAGGCTGTGAAACCGGTGCAGGACAACATGACTAAACTTGTGGATATAAACGCCCAACTTGTTGGAACAGTTGGAAATGCTTAAGTGAGAGGCAGGTGAACTCTGTTCTCCCAGGGAGATTACAGCGGGACATGCTTCCAGCCACTGAGCAGCTGGCTCACAGCGTCATGGGAATATTGCTCTCACAGAGGACACTCAACTGTACTACTCACAACAGACTGTTCAGCTGGTAGTTTCTTTGTTTGACACTATGAGAACCGACTTTACACTACCTTGTTTTCCTGGTTAGTTTGACACAGAAAGGCTGGATAGTTTTATTTGGCACCCCCCTGGAGAGAGGTAAGAGGGGAGCTGGGGAGATTTGTCCATACAAAGACCTTTTGTTTCCAGCTGGCTGTAGAAGGGGAATCCAAGCAGCCTGGAGGTGGGGGACGAATCGTTTTTGTGACATTTTCAACGGACACTTTTCTGCAGTTTCTCCCAGTATTAGATTACTTCTTTTTTCTCTCACCTGGTGATATACTTGGGCAGAAAAATGGACTGCACAAGTCCCAATCCAGAGGGCTTGGTAAAGCAGCCCACTACTCTAATGAATGTCTTCAGTGGTATCTTTGGTCTTAATAGACCTGAAGATACAAACCCAGCTGTGCTGGTTGGATTCAAGGACCTGCCAGACGAGGAGGAGGAGGAACCTTCTTCTGAAGACAATCAGATGACCAATGGGCTTCAAGAAGCCAAAGAACTAATTGAGGATAATAAGGGTGCCGCCTGTGAAACAGAGCAGAAGGCTGACTCAGCAGAAACCTACGAGGAGTCTAGCAACCAAGTTAAAAGAGAGGCAAGAGCCTCCGCTGACCTAGATCTGGTCCAAGTCACCAGGGTGGAAACATACAGCGACACGGAGGATGAGGAGGCCGCACACAGCAGGACTAGCATGTCGGAGGACAAAAGTAAAGAGGACCCTGGTGATGGAGATGAGCCAAAAGATGAGGCTGAGTATGAAGTACCTGTATTTAGAACGCATAAACTCCAGGAGAGATCCCGCATAGAAGATATTTTAAGTAAAACTCTGTCTAGGAAATTATTTTCAGAATCAAAACAGGAAACTAAAGAGATAAAGGACACCACTGCAGAAAACTCCAGATCTGATCCTGGAGAGACCAAGAGCACAGCAGAAAGCCCCAAACAGGAAGAGACAGAGGAGAGTATCACCTGTGAGTCTGAAGGTGTAGAAACATCTGCAGCTGGAGAGAGTCGTAGAGAAAATGGTGGAACTGATGAGAACATGGAGGAGGTCAGTATAGATTGTTCCCTGCCTGTACCTTCTATTGTACCCACAAATATTGCAGCCGTGGCCTCATCTCCAAATGACACAAAGGCTGTAGTTCATGAACAAATGGAGAGGAAACAAGAGCATGAGGCTGGAGATAAGGAGGATACTCAGGAACCATCATCCATTCAGGAGTCCTCTACGGCTCCCTCAAGCCCTAAGACTCCAGAGGTTTCAGTTCAAACTTCATCCCCACAACAAGAACAGTCAGACTCCACTGATACTCAAAATCAAACCAAGACTGTGTCATCTAAACCCGATGCCTCCTCAAGTGACATCAAGCAAAGTGCTAGCCCTGCCTCCCCACGCAAAGCTGCTCCAAAGACTCCAGAAACAAACAAGCCATCCCCTTCCACTCCATCTCCGTCCAGGGATCTGACATCTAGTTCCTCCCCGTCTTTCCAGATGCCGGCTCTCTTCAGTGGGTTGCGGGTGCTGAAGAAAGGAGCGGTGGGTGAAGAAAGGGAGATGGTATCAGAGATCAAGCAGAGGGAGAAGGATGCTGATCTGGCCCTACTTAGCCTGAAGAAGACGGTAAACAAAGCCAAGCTCTACACGGATCAAAAAACTGCCACCCCAACTAAAAAACACACAGATCCCAAAGCCGTTGCAGACACTAAAAGCACTGTCTTGGCACAGCTCAGTCACTTGCGCTCGGGAAACAACCGCAGTGAGTCCAAAAAGCCAAAGGACAAACTAAAGGCTGATCCTGAATCAAAGAAAGGGATTTCAGAGACGGTAGAGGAGAAGAAAGAACCTAAAAGTCCTGGCCCAGAATCGCTGGAATCCCCATCTGAGATAAAGAAAACCTCTGACCTGGCATATGACACCTTCAAAAACTTATTTGGCCCCAAAACTGTCAAAAAGGACAAAACTGAGGATGTAGATGTGGAGGCTGTGAAAAAGAAAATCAAGAACGATAAGGAAAACCTGAGGTCCATTTTTGAGAGAACCGTCAGGTCCCCTTGCAGGGAGCACAGAAGCCCCACAGAAATTCATGTACGAAACTTAAAATGTCCTCACCGCACTTTTAGTTTTTCTTTTTCTTTATTCTGTATCATTAAATAAGTTTTCTTCCCACAGACCGAGGTTATATCACCTACAGACAGTGAGGACAGGACTCCAGGGCGTCTTCAAGCTGTGTGGCCCCCACCCAAAACCAAAGATGGAGAGGAGAAGGTGGGGCTGAAATACACAGAGGCAGGTAATAAGCTCAAGCTTTTGACGCTTTTGTCTGTATTTACATCTGAGATTAAGAATGCTGTAGGAGTATAACACCAGTGAAGCCTAAACAGACACACCTTACACTGATTCATTTGTGTGTAAGAGTCATCTGAGACATATCACTGGATAGATATCACTGAAACACTGATATATATCACACTCTTAAGCGCTTTAACTGGGGGAGCAAGCTCAGTATCAGCAGCACAGTGTCAGACATCCTTTAAATCCATTAAGAACTTTAATGCAGCTGTTTATCAGGTTACTGTTTCATGTCACCACAGGCTAGCACAGAGAAGTAACCTTTAATGAAATCAAGTTTACTCCGGGCAGCTTGCCATGTCTGCCCACTTTGTGTTGTAAAGGTGTAGTGGCCCAGAGAGAGGTCAGAAGCACACTCAGGCTGTCACAGGGGTGATTAAATTACAAACTAAAAAGCCTCTCCTTCACGGTCCGAGTGCAGTGAAACTGTGTTGATCACGCATCCGCAGTTTACCTGAGAGCAGAGGAAACGCTGTTGTATGTTTATGCTGCTACACCCAAGAGAATACAGAGAAGAGATTTGCGCTCGTGGTTGAGAGAAAAGACTGTTGAATTTGAGGAGTGGAGCAAAGGTCCTGACAGATAGCTGTATAGATAAACCAACACGTGTACATCTGTGTGTAATGTAGCGATCCAAACACTCATGGCCTTAAGTTAGTGCACTGATGAAATGGAAAAAAACATCACAGATTACACAATTCAGCATAAACAATCACAGCACCATGTGTATTAGTGCTGCCCGCCGTGTGTCATTGCAAACATGTAAGCAGTTTTAGATTTGTGTTATGACCTGGCAAAATGTTTTGGCTGTCGTGTTAGCTGGCAGTATGGTGTCAAACTGGTTGGCCGAGTTGTAAGTATGTCTCTTTTATTGTGAAGGTGACCCGCCCTTCTCTAAAAAAATGTAACCACAAACAGCCGGACATCTTGTAGGGATGTTATACGTCTTGCAAGTAACTCATGAGTGATTTACCACCCCAGCCTCAAAGCTAATAACTCTAGAAAACGTATTTAATTCCCACCCTTTTCTCCTCAGCGATACATTCAAAAGAATGGCAGCAATAGGCTGTGATTATTGAACCCAGTGCACACCCAAGTGTTTGTTGAATAAATCACCGTTTGTGTGTCTTTGCTCTGCCTCTTTTCAGAGCACCAGGCTGCCCTCTTGCAGCTGAAGAGAGAGTGCAAGGAGGAGCTGGAGAGGATGCATGTGAGTATTTAGTAGACGTATAAAAACACTGAATTGAAAAACAGATTTCTCTAAAGAGTAGATTATTAGAAGGAGTCAAGTGAACACATTTTAAAGTGAAATATTTAACAGGTATTTGCAAATTCAGCCCTTGGAATTAAACGTTTTGCGTATTTGAGTTGCAATTGAGTTTCTTAAACACTAGATGGCACTAAGTAATTGTGAAATACTCTAATGTGGCAGCAGCTAAATGACCATCAGAAACTCTTATGAGTGTTTCCTATCAGCTGTGGTGGAGGGTACTTTATTGCGAGGTAAACTTTTACAGTGTCCTTTGAAGGTGCACCAAACTAAAGCGAGTTTTTCTCTCTCCCTCTGAATCATGTTTTTATTGAAATTATGTGTTTTTTTGGTAATTGTTCAACTGTTTTGACTCAAAGTTCTTGATTCTGGGCATCCTTATTTGTGGCGTTTACTTTTGTACAGTAAACCCTTCTTAATTTGCGGTGCCTGCCCATCCTCATCTACACAAATAAGCACATAATCTAAAACAAGTTACCAAATCCAACAAGATGAAAAGCACAGAAAGTCATATAGTGCTCCAAATATTTACACTGGCAGTATAAAATGTCCCCCTAGTACAAAAGAATAAAAAAAGATGAATGACAAATTGTAAATAAACTGAATTACACAACACTGGGAATAGTTTCCTATAAACAGATAGGGGACGCCTGTTAGCTCGGCTCTGATGGTAAAAAAATGTCTGGGAAGCTATCTTTAAGGTGAGGCTGCCAGCTGCTACAGGTGAGTTCAATTCTACCATAAGTCATTATAACGAACCCAAACGCTGATGTCAGTGTAAGTGAGAAATATCAGCGCTTTACCATTTTTGGGGAGCAACACACACACATTTTCCCCGCCTGCAGCAGCTAAAAACAAGATACAGTGGACTTGTCTTTTGGCTCCTGTGTCAGATTACCAGTATCCTGTATGACAAAGCTTCAAACAAAGAAATACTACTCCTTTGATTTGATTGGCTGTTACAAATATGATAACCTAAAAAGCCATTTAAGTTGTCAGCCGTGTTTTATTGATCAAAAGTAGAGGTATTAACTTCACGTTCATACCCTTCATAACAAATGGAGCACATCGCTGGTCATGTTTTGTAATTTGTACCACTGATGAGTTGCTGACCTCAAAATGGGTTTCTCAGCCTGTCTCCTTTAAGCCTTTAATTTGGTGTTGCCCTTTGATGGACCGATGCTGACACTGAGGAACATGTATTGCAGTCAACCCACAAAAAAGAGTGGGAACGTGCCTAATTCTATTTCTGCGCTGACACAAGCTAACCAGGAACATCTGTAAGATTTATTGCAAAACAGTGCTCCTTCGGTCCCGGATCAATGCTTCACTTTGGTTTTGCCTTGTCAGATTGTTTGAATCCTCGAAGGAAACTAGATCTTAAAGGCCGTTAATGTGTATTTTAGAAAGTTAACTCAGATTGGGGGAAACATGCTGGTATACGGGCTTAAATCTGTAAACAAAAATATGATATGATAGTTCATGCTAGTTCACAAAGAGCTCCTCTCATAGAGGCCCCATTGAGGAATAATTACACACTCAATCCAAGTTCATACGAGGAAACACATTGTCCAGCACCTATCCTGGTTTTAATTTGCCTTAAGAATGAAAATGAATAAAGTTTGTGAAACTTTTTCTTTCAAGGCGGACTTTGAAATCAAGATCTTTGAGCTGCGAGGGGAAAATGCCGTCTCACTGTCACACCTGGAGGACGTCATCGTCAAGATGCAAAAAGACCGGAACTATAACGCAGGCCTGGTGCGAGTTGGGGTCCGTGATGTTGCTGTGTCTACCTCCGATGATCCTGTACCCAAGACCTGCCGCACTGTGGGGATCCAGACGGACAGGGAGACCTTTATCAAGAGCCCTGAGGGAGACCCGGGCGGGCTGGCACAAAGCCCCAGCCAAAACCTGCCCAAAAAACTCAACTTGGACTCAATCGGACTAAATAAAAAAGCTGATACTTCCTCTGTACCTCCTGCTCCACCACCACCTCCTCCTCCACCTCCTGCCCCTCCCCCACCAGGCTTCTCTGGACCTCCACCACCACCAGCACCACCACCTCCTCCTCCCGCTCCCCCCTTACCAGGCAGCATGGGAGGACCGCCACCACCTCCTCCACCACCACCACCACCTCCACCTCCTTTCTTTGGCGGTTGTCCACCTCCCCCACCAGCTCCACCTCCCCCTCCTGGCCCTCCTGGAGCTGGTCCTCCTCCACCTCCCCCTCCTCCACCAGGCTTTGGGGCTCCACCTCCTCCTCCTCCTATGGGGGGCTTCGGTTTTGGCCACAAGGTGGAGAAGCCTCCGCGGAAACCTGCCATTGAGCCGGCATGTCCCATGAAGCCTCTGTACTGGAACAGGATTCAAATACAGGACAACAAGTATGTGCTAAAGAGACGACGTAACACACAGTAACAGTTATCTGAAATCAACCTATAGAGTATCTTCACACTGTTAGACAACTCCAGATTTTACTGAGTGAGACGACCATGAAGGAGAGAGGGTTTAAAGTTGCAGTAGTGGAAACTGTCCTCTCACTGCTGATGGAGTTTTAAGCTTTGCTTGAGTGTAGCTGGGAAAACTATGACATATTATAGATATTACTGCTGCACCAGACTCTCTGTAATTGTAAGTGGATTATCCGGCCCATTTCCAGTGGCTGTGGTTGTTGCCTCATAGTGCCAGTCTTCCAGCTTTATGGCCTTGTATTTTCATGGCTGGATTAGAGGGGGAAGCTGAGTTGTAGTTTGCACTCTTGCTGGTCTTGGCTAGTCCCTGACTGTCTGACTGACTGACTGACTGTCTAACGGCAGTTTCACGTCAGCTATAAATTAAACTGTAAAGGACCGAGTTAAAGGGCATTAAATGGGTCAGATGTTTAACTGGAGTTGGATCAGCTGTGAGATCGCTGTTAATGGAGTGAGGTTTCTGTGTTATGAGGGGGGAACAGTGTAAGGTTTGAAATTCTGCCAGGTGCGGCTAATACAGAAAGTACAGTTGGCGGCATGTGGGACAAACTTTCTTGGGAGGCCGGGAGAAGAGCTTAGAGGAAGATTCAGATTCAGTTATAGTCACGACCTGCTCAATTAGAAAGTTGTCTTGTATGGAATTATTTCTTGGGGTTTTGAGAGTCATTTTCTTTTCCGAGCTGAATTCCTGCACAGTTGTGTTCACAGTCAAAGGGTGATCATTGGAGTAATTTCCTTTAGTCTCTGGGGAAAAAAATGGTGAAAAATTAGAGGGGGCATTTGGGGGCGGTATTATTATATCCTTAACAGAAAACCTCTTTCTGCTCCAAAAAGATCTCCTCACCACTGCAATGAGAGACTAATGCAACCCCAACTGTACTTATTTGACCCTAAAGCAGCTAATGTTCAGATATTTCAGCTCCAGTAAGCCAGAGAGTGTTTGTGCTTTGAATTCAGGTTTTCTTTTTCTTTGTAAATGGGCCTTGACCTGGCATAATCTACTTGCCAGTCTCGTGAGACGAGAGGTAAAATGAGTAAAATATGACCTGAGAAAACAGCTGCAACATGTGAAAAGCAAAAGAAAGCCAAAGAGCAGACATGTGCAGCGTATTAAAGATGTCATCACCCTAAAATTTAAGTTTTTTGTCAGTAAGCCTGTTGATTATGCTGCTAATGTCCGTTTGATTATCAGATTTAAGAAAAGCAAAGACAGATGTTTCAGGCTGTAGCGAACAGAAATGTAGACGTGTTAAAACAGCAGAGGGCTCAAGCTCCTGAACATCCTCTTGACTTCAGTCACAGCCTGTTCTTAAAATCTGCCTCTGTTTGTTATTTTCCATGTTACTCAGCAACTTCTAAAACACAGCATCATCTCCCGTATCGGTCATTTATTAGAGGAACAAGCTTGTCTTAAACTTTTGTTATTTTTATCACATAGCTCTTAAACAGTGCTTGTCAAAGCTGGGAATCCGGTCGTCACTGCCAAGATTTTGCAAGATTGTGGAGTAAGAAAATGAAAACTAGCAGGTTAAAGAAATGATTTATGATCTCCCAAAAGTATTGCTCATATTTTGTTACAAGACCGGAAGTAACTCGATTTGTTCCAGCCTGTAAAGTTTGCCATAGACAATACATTTTGATGCAATATAAAGCAGCATGAATAGAGTCACGTACTAAAATTTAGTTTTTTTCCAGCAACAACACACTCTGGGGTTCCCTGGAGGAACCAAAAATCTTCAACACCAACGAGTTTGAGGATCTTTTCTCCAAAGCGACGCTGCAGCCCAAGAAGAAGCCCCTGTCAGACACCTATGAGAAGAAAGCCAAAACAAAGAAGGTAAACTCAGTTTTCTTTAGTTTTTTTTTTCTCCTCCTGAGGTTGTTAACACGCTTTCTCTCATCAGGCTTGCCATGGACAGTCATGAATTAAAGGAGAAATATGAAAAGGCAAAATAGGAAGAAATAAATCACAGCTATTTGGGTTTTTTTCTTAACAGAAAACAAAGTGTAGTTAAAATTAAATGCTTGTGTATAAGACTGATCCACCTCTGGAGATACTCTTGTTGGAGTCTTGTCCTCTGCTGCACCTGCCTTGTCATCATCCCGGTGCTGCTCACTGTGGTGCTCTTTCCCTCCAGTTTTTTTCTCCCTTAAGTATGAGACATAAATGTCAAATTCATTTCATCAATCAAACAAGTTTCTTGATAATTTCTCTGTAAGTATAGGGAGGTGGAGGACATAAATAAAAGCAACAACCAAGTTTGTGCTTAACCATGTTAACAGTCCTCGAGGACACGCTTTGGTGTCGGATTGATCAACTCTTCCCCCATCAGCATACTGAAGACAAACCCGTTGACATCTAATGAAATCCTGCAACCCTGCACCTCTGCTCCAGCCAGTGCCACGTCAGCATCCTGGCCGCCTCACTGTGGCGTCCAAGCAGTTAAAAACCGGCCACTGTTCGAGACTGTCCCCTTTAAATCCATACAGCTCCCCTATTCTGATCAATTGCTTAAGGCTCCTCTCTTCTCCAGAGGGCCACAATGTGTGTGTGATCTTCAAGCCTACATCTCTCCACCCAGTCTGGTCACTCTGCAGCGTCAAACTGTCCAACATTTGATCCAACTCAGACGGCCACATCCAGACACGAATCCTTCCAACCGTCTCCCGTCTTTGCTTACATCAGCTCGGAAGATAAACTAATGGAAAAACTGCTGAGACAAATTCACATCGGTTTAAAAACTCCAAGTCCAACACAACATTTGGTGTTTTTTATAGCCTTGAAATCTATGTTTAGACATTTACGCTCAGTGCTTTTATGATACGGGATTCTTAAGTTTAATAAGAGGGTGTTCAGGGCCAAGCTAGAGCATTCAGAGTCCAGCTCCAAGTGAATATGCAAAGGCATGATTGTTTTCAGTCCAAGTGGCTGGGGAGGTCGTCATAATAGAAGAACCATGTTTACCCAATAATTTTTTGATCCCTGGAAGTTTATACTGTGAGTTAAAGAGAGGAGAGATTATTTAGGAGAGGAACCATCTGAATCATCAGCTGGTGACCACTTCCAAGAAATTCAGCTGGTTAAATGTGGGGGAAGAGAGGAGGGGAGGCCAAAAAGGAAGGACAGATTTCAACGAGGAGATTAAGAGGACAGGATCAGAGCGGGGAGAGCGACTACTGATTTGGCAAGAGTGAATCACAAAGGTGGACTGTATCAAAAAGAATACATGCCTTAACCCTAAGGTTTTACTCAGATTTTTGAACTCTAGCTCATTTTTTTTTTTTTTAACACACTCAGCACTTATTTTGCAATTTGTATTAGTAAATCATGAGTGTTGTGTTCCTTATTCCCAGTTAATAAGAGACTTGAGTAAGGCTTATTTTCACCACTTGTATTTACTGAAAATGAACGTAGAGTCTCTGCATCTCTGCGTCACCGCGCTCCGATCCAGTTTTTCCATCAGGGTACTTAAAATATATAAAGTGGCTTCACTGAAGGACTCCATGAGAGTGATGAGAACGAGCTGACTCAACATCCGTGGGCATTACATGACGCTCACAGCGAAGCCCACGTAACATCCAAAAATGGACACAGGTGTCATGTTTAATGTACAGGATTTGGGGCACTATTATGAATCACTAAAAAGAAACGTGTGACATGGAGAGGTGAGGAAAGGACACAGTTTGTTGGTACAGATTTTAGAAAAACTTTGAGACATCATTTAGAATAACCAAGCGATGGAGAACTGATGTGTACCAAGGATGTATAAGAAATCGCACTTCTTTACAGTGGCTGTTTCTGTTTCTAGGATGCCTGATGCTCCTTTGAGGATTTTTTTGACATTTGTGAAAAAGACCGAAATTTGTCTTGGTGTCTTTTAATAATATACAATATCATCAGTGGAAGATCGAAATATTTATATCCTTATTTTTATTGTCTGAAATTGGTGCAAGGGGGTGGGTCCATGCCTTGTAGCTAAAGAAACAGCACTGTATGGGAGATATGGGAGACTTTTGTGGCACGCGCCGGACAGTTTTGGGGTTACCTTGTATGGTGGATATGAGCTAGTTATGAGAGTATTTGTTATTACATTGCTCATCCAAATAAGTATAAGTGAAGCTGCATACTTTTTTGTTTTGTTTTAGCAATAACAAATGGTAATGAAAACATAAAAGTTAGGACATGCCTTGAACTTATTTAGTCCACTAATTTCGGTGTTTAAGTCCTCATATGTTTTACATGCTCTCCCGTATGAGGCTCTCTGAACATCTGTGTGCGCAATACGGCTCTTTTATCTGAAGCTGCCCTGAAGCAAGACTATCAACATAAATATTATATCTCACATTTGGTTGTTTAAATATAGTTTACAGCTTAAACCGACCTGAATCATTCCAAATTTTAAAGTAAAAGTATTGATCCAGTGTCTGTGAGGCTGAGCAGAAACACAGGACAATCTTTGGTTGTCTGGAAACCTTAAAACTTTGGACAAATATACTGATCTGATTCATGAATGAACGTGGACCATGCAAAGGGAGATTCCAGGGAAAAATGACAATACAGGAGGTGGGTGGGAGATAGATCTACAAGACGGGAGAGTCCCGGGAAGAACGGGAGTATTGGCAGGTATGACTACATTTGACCACCAGAAGTCATCAGGAGGAGGTTGTTGTCATGGATGACTTCTCAAGCATTTAGCAGACGAGATGAATAAAGATGACTTTGTCACCAGGGGGCGCCAAAATTGAAACAAACCAAAAGTTCCTGACAGGAGCTTTCAATGTTAAACAAAACCGGATGTCTTGCTGGAACAGATTCCTTTTTTTTAAGTGACACAGCAACCAGAATAAAAACATGGAAAGTTAAAGGGAAACTAGACAACTTTAAGAGATGAGAACAGTGAAAGAGTCACAGTTACGGATGTTACACTCACCTGGAAAGTTTCCATTAGCTCTGTTTATGTGTCTCTGTGAAAGCAGTGTGTTTCATTATTATTTGCGTCCGTGTTTCCCCTGATCTGATTGTGCTTTTTGTGTATGTGCGTGTGTGTAGCCTGAACACACGTGTGATGACGGCACGTCCTCCTGAGTCATTATGCACTTGCTCAGAAAGTGTTGCCAGATCATGCTAACACCACAGCCGGAGGGGAGGGGGATTCTGTGTGAGGAGGTCTCAGGAGTAGAGGAGATGAGTCTGGAAGAAAGGAATTTGTGTGTACATTATGCATATGAGCCACTTCCTCACTCCACACGCCAAAAGTTGGAGCTCTGGGGATACAGCCGATGCCTACATGAGCGGGTTAATCTCTATCATGTGTGCCATAGAAAAATCAAAGCTCTTGTTTACTCTGCAGCCTTTCTCTATGTGCGTATTAGCATATCAAAGCAGAGGACATGGAGGAGGGCAGACTGGACTGGACTGGACTGGACTAAGGGGTGTAATTGCTGGCATGTGGCTCCACTCCAATCCATCGGCTTGAGGAGGCAATGAAGTTGAGGGCACCTATAGGACCAGGATGGGCATGTCTGTGCATTTCTGATTGAGGGATTAGAAGGGAGTAAGAGATGGCTGAAGATGAGGAAATAAGTGAAGCTCAAAGTGCAAATATGCACATCAGTAAACACAAAAAAGGCGATTTCTTCTTCTCACATAAATCAAATCTGAATCAAGTTTACACAAAGCAGATCTCCTTCAACAAACAGCAGCTTTAACTGGTTTATGGGAAATACTTATGAGCAATCGCAGAGCGTTTATTAAAGACATATTTGAAGCTCTGGCTCTGGTGTTGGAGAGTGGGTGTAAGACTAACACGTCTGGGTGTAAAGTAGGTGGTTATTGATGGGAAGTCTTGTTGTAGTTGTTCTTGTAAATCTGCTTAGGTGATTTCAGAGAAATGGTCAGACAGAGAGTCCATGCAGATCAGACTGGCTGTTCAGCTGCGGCTTTGTAAACTCCCTGAACCTGCATCCCCCTCACCTAATATCATCCACCTGCTCCAGCTCACAGTGTCTCCCTCCATTACTCTGTTTATTTTCTTTGGCAGCTCTTTTTCCTCTCACTCATGTTCACTTCTTCCCTCATCTGAGCACCTAGCACTGCTGCCATTTCCCATTTTGTCCACAAGAGGGAGTTGTAGCCATTGATGCCTACCTGTCTCAGCATCAGCATCTAAACCCAAGCTGTTCTCAGCATCCAGCATCAGTTGTCTTTTCTCATTAGCGTAACTGTTTTGGCTAATTGTGGGAAGGGAAAGTGTTCCTGGGCTGCTTTTGCAGCGTCCAGAATGGTTAATTAGAGGTGTTGGGATAGCCTGCTTCTCAACTCCTTAGAGTGGGAGATCCCCAGTGTTTCAGGTAATAGAGCTGGAAGCAGCATGGCACCCACTAACGCTCTGTAATGCAATACCCACTTCTAAGGCTTCTGCTCTCTAGCTCCCACTGGACAGCCCAGTAGCCGACAACGCCATAATAGCTAATGAAGAAGCCTGACACATTAACTTTTAGAGCAGGGCTTTACCTTGCCAAAACTCTCTCTGGCTTTACGGCTAATTTAGTCATAAGTAATTGTGACCATGTGTAGGCACAAATAAAAATCCTGTGAATTTATTGTTTGTTATAAAAACTCTGCTTCTCTTTGCCTTTCTCTACAAGACTGTCCTTTTATGGTGCCACTTTTTTACTTTTTGACTTTGTACTTTCACTGCGACTTGATATTTTTTGATGAGATCTCACACATGTTCTTTGGTAAAACAGAGGAGGTGCCTTGTGTTTTGGCTTTGCTTTCTTGTTGATGTAATTTACATTAGTGTGTTTACATTGACTGTGTGCAGTCAAAAGGGGTTATGTCAAAGTTTGTGGATTCTGGTTATTTAAGCCCATCCCAGATGAGCTGGGAAGCAAGTTTCATTTCAGAAAAGAACTTTTAATTGGCTATTTCACTGATTTATTATATGGTGAGGAAACTTGAGTTATGATAAAGGTAAGGCAAGTTTATTTATAGACCACATTCTGGCAATTCAAAGTGATTAATACAGACATAAGATTGACAGAAAACATCTGAAAATCATTTAACGGTGACAATTAAAATCCTCAAAATAAGCCATCAAATCAAACCAAGAAAAAATAAAGTTAAATAAAATTAAAATGGCAAAAATAAAAGCTCAATATATGACAGTTTTAAGAAAAGAAGCATAAAAAGTCAAGTGCGTTTTTGCGTAATGAAAACAAAAATGGGTGTTACAATCATTATGAAAGTGATCTAATAAAAATCAGCTGAAAACAAAATTGAGAGTTTTGGCACACCTGATTCATTCTGTTGGTGTTTTACAGCAATATTCGATGACATCTGTCAAATGTAATAAATTGATAACATTTAAACTTTATTGAATATAATCTCCTGTTCTACATAACGAGTGGATTCAAACTTGTAAAATGTGTTTCAGTTGAGGCAATAAACCTACTTTGCAACAGAATTTACACTACTTTTTTATGATTTTTTTAGCCTGATAATAAAACTTAATTTGTTTTCTTTTTCCAGTTAATCAAACTTCTTGATGGAAAGCGTTCACAAGCAGTCGGCATCCTCATATCGAGCCTGCACCTGGAGATGAAAGACATCCAGCAAGGTAAAAGAAAAAAAAAAAGTCATCCAGTAATGATCTGCTCTGTTATGTCTGTGCCAATTGTGATTCATTTAGGACTCTTTCAAAGCAGGAGGCTGTATTTAGGTTCTATAGAAATAAACTGAATTTACTCCCCCACTTAGCGAGAAATTGCAAATGACTGTGGATGAAACGCAGATGGAGTTATCTTGAGAGATGAGAAAGCGAGCCCTGCAGCAGAGGATAATTTCCTCCATTCTGACAGCTTCTTCTTTGTAACTAGTCTGACTATTTTGTCATTAATTTGTGTCTCAAGTGGAAAAATGGACGATTATCCATTTACACGGTGGGAAATTAAATACCTTAGATCGTCAAAATGTGAGACAATTTCTGTCAGACCGTGTTAAGACTCTCCTCCTATGTCTAAATCAAACTGCAGTCTCCTTTATTAGAAATGCAGCATGGCTTGATTACATGCTTGGCTGTTCTGTGGAAAATGCAGGCTTGTATGTGTGTGTAAACACGTGTTGTGTATGTCAGGGACAGCACAGATAGGCCAGGAATTGGTCCTGTCGTGGAGCTGTGGCGGAGAGTTCCTGCCGCCTGTTAGTCTGAGCATGAGGCCAGCAGATCTGTTTATTGTAGCTAGTGACGGTTTCCACAAGCCTAATGGGACTGACACCCCACTAATGATCTGAGCATGTACCAAACCACCTTCCACAGTTAGCAGACACTGTGCTACCACATAAAACCACCTCAAACACGAGCCAAACAGCATACAGCACCAGGACGTCCATTCTGTTTGGGTTTTTTTTCCCCTGCGCCTTTTATTCCTTTTCTCTCTGTTTTAGTGTCAGCTTGTAGAGGTAGTTTAGTGAAAAAAAGGCCTGCTCTCTCCCAGCGTGAGGTAGCTTCCTTGTGTCTTAATGGGAGGTGAATGTGAAATTAACAATTTGAATCTGACGATGAAGGACAGCACCTTAATAAGCACTTCTAAGGGCTCTGGTCTCTGGCCTCGCCTGCTTGCCTCCCCTTTGTTGCCAAATTAAAAGGACATGGGACATGTAATGTAATTAGAGCTACTAGGGAGGGAGAGAGAGGTTGGGAGGAAGGGGAGCCGAGAAGGTAGCACTCTAGTTAAAGCAGAGAAGGGGGTCAACTGCACCCGTCCGAGTGACTGGGGGACCTCAGGGGGCCACCATGGTTCAAGGGCAAAGGGAGGCTCTCCCCCACACACCAACTACAAACACACATATATGCATGTTCACACACCACACATGCCCTTCCACACCAAAGCCGATGAGTGAAAAGTGGAAGGAGAGGGTGTGAGGCGGTTGGCAGGCCGGCTTTGATCTGTTGGTGTGGAGAGATATCCGGCTCCCCTTGGATCAGAGTGGTCTTGTGCACACTGGAGCAGGCCCCCCTTTGGTGTGTGATTGACGGCTGCATGGCTGAAGGACTGAATAATCCACTCTAATAAGATGTAGGAAATGGACCTCCAGCGTTCTCTCTGATCCAGACATCAGGACCACATTGACAGCTTCTCTGCAACGGGAACAGCTGGGAACCAGAAAACAAAGCGTTACCTTGTGAGCTTGAAGCAGTGACTGGAAAACTGGAGCCGGGTTGTTTCAAATATTACTTTTGTCTCTGTCAATATAATCAATGATACATGGGACGTGTAGTACTTTTAAACATTGTACACAACCTGATGCAACTGTCCAAAGAACAGATGCCTTGTGCTTTTCTACCCATGAATTTTATGCCTAAATAATGAGTTAGGATTAGAGCGGGCGTTGGGCATTATTTGACAAAAAGTACCGTCTTTTGTTTTAGGGTTTTATGTTGTGATGCTTCATGTAAGTTGACACCTTCAACTAGGTTTGGAAACGTGTTATCGAAAGTTTAAGATGTTTTTCTACTTCTGCATCAGCTGAAATATTTCCCATAGTTTACATTTATGGCCGTAGAGGCAGTCAGTAAGCAAAATTTGCCCACCTGGGCTGGGGGGGGGGGTCGTGTTGTGTTAGCTAATAATAACTCTTTCTTCTGTTGCTGTGGCACAAGGATAGCAATGGGAGTGGTTAAGTGTCTTGTGATGGTAGGCGCTGTCTGTATGCTATAGCGCTGTTTTTTAGCTCCTGTTGGGAACTTTGAGTTTTGGCGCCCCCTGTGGGCAAAAGAGTCCTTGCTCATCTTGTCTTCTACATGCTTCAGTAGTGTTTTCTGACTATAAAAATATCCTCATCCCGATTTTGACAGTCAAATGTATCCCTTATTGTGAATATTTTATGTGGACACCTCCCCGCTCACACCAATTTCAGGCATCAAAAAATTATTATACTGTATAAGAGTCATCAGTCTTGTTGCAGATGGTTTTGTTTGCTTTCTTCTATCTTAATAAGTCATCAGTAGGAATTTCAGTCTATTTCATTAACATCAAAAACTCCTTACAGGAGCTTTAAGTCACAGCCAACTAGCTATGACTGAAGTTGGTTTAAGCTTCTTCTGTGGTTTTATCAGTAACTCTAATTTTAACTTTTCCCTGTTATTTGGGAAAATCTTGTGGTGGCATTGGCTGTCACTCTAATCTAATCTAATATTATTGAACATAATCTAATCTAATCAGTCCCTTTTCTGCTAATACTGATCATACAACTGTTAGTTAATCCACCCAGACAAGGGCCTTCTCTCCTATCTTTTTCTGTGCCCACTCTCTTTTACTAAAAGCAGTGTCGCTGCTGAGACACTGAACAGGAGTTCCTGTTTTGTCTGAGTCATCTTCACTTTGTGCATGTCTGCTTTTTACTGTGTGAGTCAGATAAACATGTGGATGAAAAAGGTCTTGGAAATCTTTGCTTTGCATATCATTTCTGGGTCTTGTCCATTAATAAGACTGACTGCTTATAATGAATGTCTTTACTGTTGCAGCTGTTCTTACCGTGGATAACTCTGTGGTGGACTTGGAGACCATCGAGGCTTTATATGAAAATGTAAGTATGAAGCAGCAGTTTGTGATATTTGGAAATAGGAGGGATGTTATGTCCTGCTACAACCTTAAAAACAACAAGAAAACCTTTGATTACTCCAAATTATGATTGTGTAGGATTTTTATTTTACCAATCACAGATGAAAATGGATTAGAAAGTAGTGTGTACTTTGTCTTTCTGAGCACTTGTAATAGTGGTTAATACATGAACTGTCATACCTGTGCAGTTTTCAAAGATAAAAGCCCACCTTTAAGGCTGTCTTACATATTCATCTTTGGTAACAGGTAATTAAACAGCCTAGTTTTTCCACATTCTTAATTTTTAATGTGAATATTTCCATTTTGAATATTAATCCTAATTATTAGAGATCTGTCTCATGAACTATTAATAATTGGTATGGATATCAGCCCTGAAAAATCAATTTTGCACAACCCCTACCATGAATCACTGTGTTCTTGTGAAAGATGAAAAAAACAACATTGTGTCGACATTGATTTATATTATCTGATTTTTATCTAATTTTATTCATAAACATTTTTTTTCTTTTTTAAAAATTTTGTTTTGTGTTTGCAGAGAGCTACCAGTGATGAGATGGCCAAGATAACAAAACATTATGAGACCTCCAAAGAAGAGGAGGTCAAACTGCTGGACAAGCCTGAACAGTAAGAAATTTAGCGCTATTTGAGACTAGGCCAATAGAATAAGCCATGTAAACTTATTTTTACTTTTTTTTTTTTTTTAAATCATGAAGAGAACATCAGGGAATTTAGAGAGCATGTACTTTGTCAGTCTGATTTTCCACCAATTGAATTAGCAAATTTAATTGATTGTGCAGCGGTTTTGGCGGTTTCAGAGGATGACCTGAAAGACAATCTTTGATTAATCTTCTTTTTTTTTTTAAGTTGCACCAAAAACATAAAATGTAAAAGTTCTCTGTTGTTTTACACATCAGGGCATCATTTGTCCATTCCCCTCATGTCAGTTTTCGTTTAAGTTTCTATAAATGTGTGAGAAAACAAAGCGTACACAGACATTGTTTTAGTATCTCAGTAGTTCCTGTCAGGGTCAAGTAGCCCCAACCAGCTAACGAGGCCCGGACCCAGCGGTGCCGCTCAACCTGGCCTTCCTGTTTCCATGTTTGACCAGAGCTGTCATTACGGCCGCCAGAGTCATCCCTACTCAGTGTCTCCTTCCATCAGAAGGGCCTAATCACACAGGATGTTACCGCTCTGCTCCCCTCTGACACTGCACTGTTTACATAAGTCGTCCCGCATCAGGCCAGAGCTACCTTTGATCAATCTGTGCGCGCCGCTCTCTCTGCTCTCCCTCCGTCCTCGACCCCGTGGAGCCTTCAAACCCAGCAGAGCAGCGCTGCTCATGACTCTCAGCTGCCTGTGTGCTCGTGAACAGTAACATTGACTCAGCCAGACGGCATGGAGAAGCAGGGCCTGCCAAAAACCCAGAATAGCTCTTCCTGTTAGGCATTTTGTTTAAATTTGTCATAACACATTACACCCCGGTCTCCTCCACCTCTTCCTCCCCCCACTTTTGTCTCCAGGTTTCTTTATGAGCTTTCCCAGATTCCCGACTTCGCAGGCCGAGCGCGCTGCATCATCTTTCAGTCAGTGTTCCTCGACACCATCGCCTCCATCCGCCGCAAGGTGGACGTCATCTCAAACGTCTGCAAAGTAAGAGCAGCATGTCAATAAACCCTGCCTCAGAAGTTTTAATAAGCTACACGAAGGCTTACTATCACAACTGTGTGTTTGTGTGTTTCAGGATCTGTTAGAGCGTGAAAGTTTACGGGATGTTATAGGTCTTGTTCTGGCTTTTGGGAACTATATGAACGGAGGGAACAGGACGAGAGGTCAGGCTGACGGCTTTGGACTGGAGATCCTTCCAAAACTTAAGGATGTGAAGAGCAAGGTAACAAACAGCTTTAGATTTGACATGAAAATGTAGTAATTGTTGTAATAATCTGGCAAATATGAGCCAGGTTCAGTCTGATCGTGAACTCTGATTTTATTGTCCATATTTCATCCTCAGGATAACTGTATGAATCTGGTGGATTATGTTGTTTCATACTACCTGCGTAATTTTGACACGGTAAGGAGCTGTCAGTCAAAATGACCAAATGTTACCCTCACAAGAAGAACTACTCAATACTCATATCTTAATGTATTCCAGAATGCCGGCACAGATAAGAGTGTGTACCCTCTGCCAGAGCCTCAGGATTTCTTCCAGGCTGCTCAAGTGAAGTTTGAAGACCTTGCCAAGGACACCAGGAAACTCAAGAAAGATCTCACCAGTAAGACATGCCCTGTTGTATAAGTACACTTTTTCCTGTTTCCAAACCGGTGCATCGTCACAGTCCTGTCCTCTGAACATCCTGTGACAGAACAGCTAGCTTACAAGAATCCAAATTGCTGTAATGGATTCTTAAGCAAGCGAGGACTCCTAAAAAAAAAAAAAAAAAAAAAAAAAAAAGCAAAGTCCAGCTCACTGAAGGGGCATCAGGGATAATTGCCCGATAAAAACCTGATTTGGGTGTTTTGTGCTCAAAGGGCTATGGGCGCCGATCCACTAGGTAACCAGGCCAGTCAGCCACTCAGTCTTGGCCAGGGCCATGCAGAGGTTAAAGGCGATGCACCCCTGTGCCCCTCGTGTCTGTGGTTATTTAAATCAACCAATAATACGGCATATGAAAGCAATTAGATATGCTCTACAAGTCTCCCCCTACGTTTTTTAGATTGCTGTTAAAGCCCTCTCCTCTCTGACCTGGGGGAAAAATACAAAGAGTCTACTAAAGTACCCAGACCCACCTCAAGCTGTCACTCATTTATTAGGAAAAATGGAAGAGCTGAAGACAATAAATGCAACATAAGGGCCCTCGTATTTGATCTCAGTCTGGCACAGTATTCCTCCGGGGTATTAGCATCACAGGGCGGGTGTTGAATTCTGGATGTTTGGTGAGCTCCACCTCTGACTCCCACCATTTTTATCCTCTGCAGACGCCAGGAATAAATATTTATGCCTGGCTATTATAAACCTGCCTAAAGAAAGCAAGTGGTCTTAATTATGAAGCCAACACAGATCGCTTCTATTTGCAGTGTGAATTGTGTCACTGAATCACGTTTTACTTGCTCTGTTAGACTGAAACAAGCGCAGCGTAGCCCTCACTTGATCTTGAGGTGGCGACTGCATTGTCTTGCCCTACAGGCTTGGGGTCAAAGGTCAGGAGACTTTATGCCAGCAGTCAGAAACTCACCTCTCGTAGCATAAACTCCCAGAACATAATCTGTTGGTGTTAATCAAACGTAGTATTTTTTCAGGATTGTCACACACACCTCTGTTTTACTGTGTGTGACTGTGTGTGTGCGGAGTCTTGTCAGTGATGCTCAGGAGCAAGTCCCCATCTACTTGGCTGCCCTCTCCTTCACTGGCTTGTGCAGAAACATGATCCTCTTTTGATGGGGCTTCCTGTTTGGGGAGAGGGTGATGACCTCTCCTTGTGCTTCTCTCAGAGGGAGAGGGATGAGTGGGAGGCCACAAGGAGTTAAACCCACTGGAGGACTCCCCGTAACGATCCTCTATTCTGTTTCTGTGTCAAATCTTAGCTTTAAAACTAAGAATCCACATCAATATTTTGATTTTCGTAACTTGTGCAGCCTGAGTCTTAAGCCCAAGGCTGATCTGCAGATCAGACCAGCAACCAGCTACATAAAGATCCATTTAACTGCCGCGTAATTGGACTTGACAGAGAGGCAGGGACGTTACCGAATGAAATAGGATCAAATAAAAAGAAACAGTCAGAGCTCATTTGCTGCTCAGGGGAGTTTAGTGTTTCACTGAAGGCCTGGCCCAGGTTGGGCATTCATCACTGTGGCAAATCAGACAGTGTCCTGATTTTAAATGGCCTTTAATGTCAGGTTCAGGCAGGGCCTTTAGCCTGAGCTCTGCTTTATGGCGGAGGCTCAGCTACACCGGCATGTGTGAAGTCAGAGAGCTGAGGTACCAAAAAAGTAATGTCCTGAATGTTCAGTGTGATTTAGAGTGTCATCCAAGACAAGGTTCTTCACATATTCAGCTCATCTCTGATTGATGGTTTGGCTCCATCTTTTGTTGATGAGGGATGTTGATGCTTCCAGTACCCCCATTTGATGAAGGGGTCTATCCCCCAACATTTCATCTGAGTCCTCCTGGCTCATGTTAGTCTTCTCCTACAGAAGTTATTTACAAGGCTTATTATTTGATGGATTACTGTTGATTCACAAGCGGAGGAAGAGGTGAGAGTACCTTACCTTTTCCCCACTGAAGCCATCTCCTGGCTGGCCTCAACAAGGAGGGATAGGAGGCTTTATCATCCCACAGAGCTGAGCTGGAGGTTTGACGGTCTGCGGTCTGGAGATAATTGGGGATCAGAGAGAGAATACACTTTTCCAGGTATAAATTATTAGCATGCGCCAGAGCTGGAGAGCTGCTCTGGTTTTAACCTCCGATGATGATCAGTGGAAAAAAAGCTGAAGAGTTTTCTCCGAGAATATTTGTGTCTCGCACACAGATATTTTTCAACCTGGAAAATAACAATATGTGACATTAATTATTGCATTAGCTGGAAGTGTCATTCTGCTGGCAGCTGTTGAGCAACAATGAAATCACTGGTGTATCATCATGTGTTTCTCTGTCTACTAGTGTGCTTCCTCAGTCTCCACTTTTAATAATGATCCAGACCTACAGAGACAGGAGGTGGCGAGGCGTAGAGACAGAAACATTCATCAAACAGCTACTTCAGTTCCTGGCTCTGTCATCCACTTCTTCAGCCTTTTCTCTAATCCTCTGAAAGTTGTGCATTGTCTGTGATTCCTGGTAGCTGCAGCAGGGGCTCTTGCTTACTGTGGTAAAATCATAAGTACATACTAACATCAAAGTAAACCACACAGGGCAAGTTCTGGAGCACAATCCTGGCTTTTTGTTTGTTTTTCTTCCCGTTTACTTCACCGCTGCCCCTCCTTTACCCGCAGTTTGTTGTCATGTTACCTCATCTTACACAATACATCGCCAACTCACTCCCATTAAGACGTGATGGATTGGGGAATCTTTCTTCTGGAGATATGAAGTAAAAGCATTGTTTTGAAGTGTTGCTCTGGTTCCTCAAAGTATCATCTCTGATATACTTTGTTTAGAGCTCTAATCTGGCCCGGCAAAAACTTGAGGATCCTCTCTTTTGGCTGCTTTTACATAGTCCACAGAATTTAGTACAAACAGCTCTTCCAGCTGTTGATGCACCAGTATGGCTGAGTGTCTGTATCAATCAGCTGTAGCCCTGTTGACAGATATTAATAATCACCTAATGATCTGAATTTCACTGATGGCAGTATGTAAGAAATATTGTTTGCTAACATCAGTGGTGATGAGGATTAGCAGTTATCATTTGAATTTGAGGTTATTTTTTAAGGTTTCAAAATTAATGTAAATGTTGGCAAAAAAAAAATTTCCAAGGCCTAAATGACTTGTTGTCACGGAAAGTAATTTGGGTCCCTGACCTGGTCAAGCGGAAATAATGAGAGCAATAGCAACAATCAACAATTAATTAAAAGAAGGAATCATCCATTAGCAAAATCTAAATTGTGTTTTGTTTTTACATGTATGTATATAAATATATATTAATTTATTTAATTTGAATTTTTTTTCCTTAAATATAAATAATACCAAACATATAAGCAGACACAGGCACATCAAGTGAGGTTCATAAATGTATTATTTAATATCATGAATTAGACACTCCTTTTTTTATTACTCGTAACCACTTTTCTTTTCTGTCAAGTAAGTTTCTGTCGGTGATCAGCCCCTGATGAAAGCCTTCGGTACCCCTGAGTACATGTGACAGTATTTTCTTTGGTTTGAGTACCACATTGTAATGTCAGGTGACCCTTCATCTAACTATCTGTGTAAAATAATGGGCCATGCAGCATATAGAGAAATTCTTAGGACATATCTCTGCTGCCATGTCTTTTTTTTTTTTTTGTTTGTTTGTTTGTTTTGTATTTAACAGCTTTTTTGGGTTATTCTTATTTAATTATTTAGATTTTCTTCTGTTAAATATTGATATACTTAAATTGATTTTTTGTGTAATGTTTTTTTTAACTTAAACGGAAACGTCACTACTGACCTTTTTTGCATGTAAGTGTCATAATAATAATAATAAATACACTCAAACTTTTGGGCATTCAAAATGAAGTAAAACTCAGTTTAGCTTCATTTTTGATATGTAAAATCACAGGTTTTGCTGACAGAATACATCATTGCCTTATAAATAATTCGACCTGGGTTTTGTAACTTATGATTCAATCAAACTTTGGACAAAAGTTGGAAAAAGTTTTTAGAAATACTTGTTAAAGGGACAAATTTGTGATTCTCATATTTTTACTTTCTTTATATGCAAGAAAGAGAAATTGCTCAAGTACAAAAACTTGACACAAAATCTGACTGTGAAATATTCTTTCTTTAACAAAGAATGAAACACATTGATTGCTCACTTTGACTTCTTCCTCTGCTTCTCTCTGAACATCCATTCAGCTTTAATTTTGGCACTTTTCAGATCCTCTAAACTGAAACTAGACGTCTGTCATTTATGTGAAGGCAAACCCTCTCAGAAAAGGCGCACCTCCTAAAAACTGTGTCATCACTCTAAGACAATGTCTCAAACTGGAGCTTTTGGTTTTTTATTCTTTACAGCTGCTGTGTTTTTGTGGGCTTCCTCCTTGCGGCCTTTGCTGTCTGGACCACATTTGGGAGAGAGCCGCCTTTAAATTGTAGACTTGCTGTTTTGAACACTGTTTTTAATGGGTCGTTTTGAGTTGGGGGATTTCTGGTGAGGAAACGCGGTTTTGTCCAAACAGGATATTTTGGTCGTCATGTTTGGTTGCCGATCTCTGTTTTTTATTTTGATAACTGCTGCCTCTCCCTATTCACAAATTTTAAAAGAGTCCTGGAATCCAGACACTGAGGCTGTGCGTTGTTACTTCTCAACTTTAATGCTCAGACGTTGTGTTTCCTGTCTGATTTACTAACACAGCCAATAAATAAAAGAAGTAATAGACTGAGTTCACTGAGTTGCAGGTGCAGCTGCTCTGCATGCAAACATTTGAGAGCCAAACTCGGATCTAAAAGCAGCCTCGCAGTGAAGTGAGACTGCGGCCAGACCTGTTAATGCTCTTGTTGTGTTGCAGAACTATTTAGCTATGCAGTCATAAGCAAGTAGAGGTATTTATTGCAGCCATTAATGACTAACAGGTTGGAGCAATGTGCCAAAGTTCTTTTACCAGGCGTCTGTGTGTATATTAACCCGGTTACAGTTGAGAGGAAATGGGGAAGGTTCGGCTGGAACACGCTCAGTCACGGCTGTTTCCTCTCAGCTCGTGCGAGTTGGCTCATTTGGCATCAAGCAGAAAACAAATCCACTAACAGCAAACACACATCTGCTGCACCCACATGTATGTTATTAAGACATCAGGTTACCGACAACATGGAGAAAAATATTCAGGTACTACTGATTTGTAAACCCATGTATATTCTCCACCCAGGAGTGTAAGGAGGCACAGATTTGATAACTACAGCAAATTCAAACATTATTTTTTGTTGAAATTACCAATGCACTGTTTTACATCAATAATTTTCTGTTAACCAGTGCACTGATTCTTTCAACAAAAATATTTTATTTAGACTTTTTTACCATATGTTCCTCTGTAATTAAAGGATAACACATTTCCTGTTTTAACTGTATTTTTCTCTGTTATTAAATATATATATAGAGAGAGAGATATTTAATCATGTCCCTTTAATCTATGTTTTCCTCTTCCAGCCTGTGAGAAAGATGTACAGAAGGTGTGTGCCAACTCTTCAGAGAAACACCTTGAGCCCTTCAAGAAGAAGATGGAAGGGTTCGTTTCTGCTGGTGAGTCACACTAAGATTCAGTTTTTATTTGTGTTCCAGCAAGGAGGAGTGAGGTCCAGCACAATTGACAAAATAATTTTTTTTCTTTTTTTTTTTTATATTTAAGAATCTCAACTCGCTGCTAGAGTCGACATAGGCTGGGAGTGGACATGTAGTTCAGAATAGCAAGAATTAAGTGGCAGCTAGCTGAAGAGTAATTTCTTCTCGTGAAAATTTTTATTGATTTTAAAGCTTGCTATCTTTCCCTAAGGGAAGCACTGTGTCTTGACATGGTGTCAATCAAACATGCTGATTCTGAATGTGAACAAATTGACTTTTCATTCAATTTAATTCTCTGGACTTGTTCACACTGAATTCAGTCAACCAATATGGGTTTCCAACAGCAATACCGATATTTAGAGAGCAGGTCAGCCAGTGATCAATATAGGATGCTGATATCATGTCGATGTCGTTTCATTTCATAATTCTACACACATTACAATCTAACATACATGGTTATCTGACTAATCAGGCTGATTATTATCATTTTAACAGCATCATATCAGCATTAGCCCTCACAAGGCCAATATCACAATAAACCTTTGTAACACTAACACATCTTTCCCAGTGCCCATTAACAGCATATCAAAACCAAAACAGTCATTTACAAATGTTTTGATATGGTATTGTATTGTAATTTTTAGAATTGACAACAATATCAGCCGTATCTATGTCTTTCCATTAATTTATCAGAAATTTATCGAAAACATAAAACTGGCTGAGACAACCATGTTGATTGGATTTTGATTAAACTATCACTCAAGTTCAGTTATTTTGTATTTGATTTGTTAGTACTATTAAACTGTTGTATTTTGTGAAAAAAAAAGGAACTTCCCCCCCGCACCGATTCCAGACAATTAAAATAAGGGTACAAAAACTGACAGTCTTGTTGCTGATGGTCTTGTTTGATTTTGTATATTGTTCGAAACCGTCAATATGAATTTCAGCATATTTCATTAATGTCATAAACTCCACGCAGGAGCTTTAAGCCAGAGGGAATATTAACTTCCATTACTCTTTAAAGAATAAAATAGTCTGTATCAAACATTTGACATTAACTGTTAGATTAGGTCTTCTGCCATTAAAGGGATGTTGATGTTGTTTGACAACTGCTAAAATGGCAAGGCTGCCTGCAGTGTCTGCAAACATGTATTGATCCTTATTTTCATGAGCTGATGACAATAGTTTTCAAAATACCAATAATAGACCTAACCGATTAATCAGTCTTTTTCTGGTTGGTCTTTCTCTGGTTGCTCATATTTTAATGGAGAAAAATCTAATAGTAACAAAAATTACCCTTCAGCATCAGAGGACGATAACCAACGGAAGGAAATCCTTCTTCAGAACTTCAACGTGCTGCTTTAAGCATCATACTCCTCCATTTGTTTCCATCATTGTGAAGTTAAACTTAGACATTTCTTCACATGATGTAACTTAACTCGTGGCGGTCATGAGAGGCCACAAACAGTATTGATCTGCCTGCACCCTTTCCTCAACGCTCTACAGGCTTCACTGATGTTTGCCCTCAGCCCCCCTCCTCCAGCCGGCCTGTCCCATGTAAAGCTCTGAAAGGAGCATGAAGAAAATTCTTGTTGTCTACAAAGATGAAACAGTATTTCTGACTGAGGATTTATGACTGAGGAGATAGTTATGAAACCAAGCTTACAGAGCTAGAAAAGCCCTGTGTTGCCCTGATGCCCTGCATGGGACCTTTAAAAGGAGGAAGGTATAATTATGTGTTTTTGCCATGTCAGACAGTCAGCTGGTGTGTGTGTGTGTGTGTGTGTGTGTGTGTGTGTGTGTGTGTGTGTGTGTGTGTGTGTGTGTGTGTGTGTGTGTGTGTGTGTGTGTGTGTGTGTGTGTGTGTTTTGTACTTGCTGGGAGAGGGCGTCTTGGTGCCCTGTAAGACAGCATGAAGACAGGAGTCTACAGGCCTGTAGAAGGGATCGCGTTGCCTCTAACATGGTTCTCATGTACTCACGGCTTCCATAAAGCTGGCGGGGCATCTCTGGCTGCGGCCTTGTAAAGACTGGCCGGCCTATGTGGATCAGGCTTGGGGACCACCGGGACTGGAGCAGGACTGGCATACTCATATTAATACTTGTGTCCCCTTGTCTCATCCAGGGTAGTTACACCAACTCTAATAGTGTAATCATTTCAGGAAGAAAGGAAAAGAGGTGACTTTGCACAGGAGTAATGGTCCTGTTATCATTTAAGGAAAGGTCTGGGAGGAAAAAGACATCCATCAAATTTTTGTCATCCTCAAAACTTAATCTCCATTCCAATGAATGTAATCTGACATTTTTTACCAGATGGCCTAGTCTCTCTCTTTTGCTGCCATAACACTTGATTCAATTACATTTGGATGAACTGGGACAAACTGATCCCAAGAACAGATCTAGCCAAATGAGAAAATCCTGGATGCTGTCAGTCTACAAACCCTGTTTTAGATGAGCTGGGACATTGTGTAAAAAGTTACTTAAAACAGGATTTGATGGGTTATAGCTCATTTAAAGCCTATATTAAATAAAAAATAATGCTGAAATGCAAAAGAGTTATTGTTATTTAAAAAAGTAGATGAACATTTGAAGTCTGACACAAGCAACGAGTGTCAAAACAGGGTTGTGTAGGTTTTAAATGATTGATCGCCTAATGTATAATGCAGATTTCACATTGTGTTGTTTTTTAATTTTTATGTTCGTTTTGTCTGATTTGGCAAAATACAAAAATCAAATTAGACTGACTGACAGATTTAAAGCAAAGCTGCTGACCTCCAGTGAATATTTAATAAGATGGCTGCAGATGGAGATGATGCAAGTTTCAGCTTTTCTATTGGAAATCTTTGATTGGATCTCGATTATCAATTAGCCATGATGATAATATTGAGGCGAGGGACAAACTTTGCTGTCTTTTCCTCTAGCACAAACATTTCAATTCAGACTTGGGATATAACTTGTGTCATGTGTCAAGCAGCATCAAGCCAAGTGGATGCTTTGCTATCACTCAACTACACTTAAGGAGGGAAGCCTGCATTACTTCCAGAGGATACAGAGTCAGATTAGGTATCTCACAGTGGGATTGTAGTCATATGTTCATGGCGCAAAGTAAAATCACTGTTTGCAGAACCATTACTTAAAGATGTTTGTGATCACATACAGAGTCTGTGCTGGCAGACTTGAAATGAGTCTAGCACAGCATTGTTCTCATTAGTTCCTCCACCTTAAACCCGTCTGAATACTGAGGCCTTTCCTGAGCTTTGTTCAATATCACAGAATCTTTGAAAGCTTTTAAAACCGCTGTGGCTGCCACCGGCTACAAAATGAACCGAGTCTCCGACGGCACATCTTGAACATAAACTTTCCAATGGAAGACTTGTAAACCTTTCTATAATAAACAGAATTCCTCGAACCGTTGCCTGTGCGTCGGGGGGAGGGAGTGGTGTGTAATCATCATTTGTGATGATTCCATGACTTCAAAAGGCAAAACAAAGCAACAGTGCTCACATCAAACCCAGCTGAAGCTCTTAAAGTCTGACTCATCAGCGAATGCGTGAATTTCTCATCCAGGTAAATGATCCGGAGGCTGACCGCAGACTCATGTGTTTGACACATGATTTTAGATATCGAAATTCACTTCAAGGAAACAGAAATGCATCATCACATCCTCTGTCATGCAACTTCTTCCTCTTACAAAAAGATCAAAGTGGATCAGCGATAAACACTTTGTTCTGAGACTTGTGTTTCAGAGTCGCGCTGACCTGTGACCCTGTGGAGACGCTCTCAGCAGGGTTTGGAGGTGAACCCAAACACCCTGAGCTTTGCCTTGTAAACTTGCTTATGTGATCTTACATGGAAACCTCCACAAATCAAGTAATCTGTTCTTCTTGTTACTACTCTGATTTTGAGCTAAGTCCGGTCCACACCATGACTTGTATAAAACATGCAGACTCAGTGTTTGGTGAGCTCATTTGCTGGCATGTGTCTCTGCATTTCGCCAGTAATTTCTGGGATAAAGCTCATAAACAAAGACGTACCCTCAGATCAGCCTGTGTTTGTCACAACACCAAATCTACCACCTTCTCGTTTCCTCTTTTTAATAAGCTCTTTGAAACCTCTGGGGATACCCTGTCTGACATATTTCTTTGTTAATTAAAAACAATTCCCTTTCATTCAATCATCTGGCTCTCCTATAAAGTACACATGTATCAACACATCCTCACGCTTTCTTTGTTGTCAGTGAGTCACACCCCAATTACCAGAGCACCACTTGTCCAGATGATCAAGGATTACGTAAATCAAATAGAATCTGCCGATAATAGCTGACCGGGGAGTCTGTTTTTGATGAAGATATATTTGAAAAGGAGTGGGATCAGGAATCAGAGGGGATGCTTTTTAGAGATCCTGAAAGTCCCCAGCATCCTTCTTAGTCATTCTTCTCTTTGTTATCTAGCTGCAGCGGTTTGGAAAGTGTGTCAGAGTTTTAAAGCCCTAATTTATTATCCCTCTCAGCATGCACATCTCATAACTTTCTAGTTAGCGACTACTGGTTTCATGTTTACACTGGGAGCCGAGGAAGAGAAACTTCACACATCCTCTCTCTCTCCCTCTCTCCTTCTCTTCCTTGCTCTCTCTCGGCCTCTCAGCTTCAGTGCCACCTCTGCAAAGTCGAGGGGTACCTCAGGCGCCAGCCTGACCCCCACTGAGACTAACACCATTGGTCACGGCCCCTCTCCTCACCCCTCCCACCCCCCCACTCCCCTCCTTGTACCCCAGACATGGCCACAACCTCCCTTCATTAGGTTCACCTTCTTGCCCACATACATGAGGAAAAAAGTAGTGAAAGCAAGTGGGGTGGTTGGTTGGAGGCTTAAGCTCACCTTCTCCCAGAAGACCCCCAAACTTTTCTTTGAACAATTTTTGGAGACTTCCCGCTCTTAAATCTTCAAGTAGAAAAGGTCCCCCATCATTGTAAAAAGGATGAATCTGGAAAAATGCAATAAATCTGAGATCACAGGCTCTCTCTGGCCCTAGATAAATTCTTGCACCTCGGCCTGGCCCGCCGCACACATCTGCCTTGCATTTAGACACTTTTACATGGCAGGAGTCCACAGGAGCCTCCAGTTCCCAAACTTCTATGCTCAACCCTGCACCCCTGCCACAGCTCTGCTCAGAACATGCACATGTATGTCACCACAACACACACACACACACACAAACAGACCACCGCTCCCCACCCTGAGCCCAGGCGTCACACGCTCACACTCTCATGCGTCAACGCACAGAGGCATGTCAAACTTTACAACGTGCTTAACTGTCGCTTGGGTAACACACTCGCTGCAAAAATGACATCTCAACCCAGAGCCCCTCTTCCTCTCCTCTTCCTCTGCTAGAAACTTTAACAAAGCCGTTTAAGTGCAGCGCCCCCATCTGGGACCAGTACTTTCGGTCTGTTACTCTTCGATAAGTCCCATAAGTTGCCCCCTCAAGCTAAACCTGATATTCTCTCTGTCTGTAACAGCTCAAGAGGATCATTCAGCAGAAGTGGACCGCCTCAATGCAGCTGAGAAAAGGTAAGAGACAACTTATCAACTTCAAACCCTAGTGGATTTAGCACCAAGGTAGTGTGTGAGTAAGAAAATCATAGATTATGTAGCTCATATCTGATGGGGCGATTGCTGCATCAGGTGTCGCTGTCTGTTCTTGTTACAGTTGCTATGCTGGGCTGGGCTAATCCTATTGGTTGTAGATCCAGGGGCACTTTCATATGCAACAGTTGCTAAAAACCTCTGGAAAAATGACATGAATTGAGTGTTTCCAGACACATTTACCAAGGTCAGGCATGTCATGAGTGGTACTGTAACAACAACACACAAATCAGAGGATACCAGCTGCTCCCATACAGCTGCAGTCTGCGTCGCACACTGCAGCTATGTCTCACTAAATACCCACTTTCTTTAATTTCCAGAAGTTAAACCAGAAATCCAGAAAAGCAGATTAGAAGCGTTTTTAATTACATATTTCAACTCACGTTGCTTCTCTATTGCATACTGATAAAACTCATTATGTGTTTACCTCATCAAAATGCATGGTTGGCATTTCAGGGGGTAGGGCTGAGCTGAAATAACAAACTCTACAGCCATTAACTGAACCAACTTAATAATGTTTAGCAAAATATGCTAAAAAAATCCATTAAACTAAGATGCAAAAATACGACGCATGACCATATATGGGTGTACCAAGCAAAAGTCAGGTTGATTTTCATTCATATAGCCAGTTAACTGATAACTGCAGGAAGAGAACAAGTGCGTTATGCTTAGGAGAAGTGCACAGATTACTCAGATTTTCTTAAACTAGCTAAATAACTTGGTCTTCTATGTTATTTAGCTTTAGTTGACCGTGTCTGCGGAGGTTGATATTGCAGCTTCTTTGCCGGTTCTTCGGCTTGTTTCTCAACAAAGGGGTGGAGCTGACCAATAATGCGCTTATAAACGACAAGCACTTTATGCAACTCCACTTCTCAAAAAGAAAAAACTCTGTCTCTTTAAGGACAGATTTTTTAAGTCCAAACCCTTCTCTTATCTGTATTGAAAACAAATGAAGTAAACACCATTTGTCACCAGAACCACTCTGGTTGTGAGCATACCCTCACCATGCAGTGTGATGCATTTTAAGCTTCAACACCCAGCTCTTCCTCCTCTGTAGTTCCTATCATTCGTATCCGCCGTGTTTTGTGCAGAAGACTCCCGAGAGTCTTCTGAGAGGCATCTGATTTATAGGCGTGAGACACACTGTCCGAGTGAAATCATATCTGGAACATTTCATATTGGAAAAAGATGGTGCAGCAGACAAACAAAGCGAATAGATTATTTTTGCCTTGTTTGGATAAAGAGCGGAATTGTTTGCTTTATATTCCAATGCGCCCACTTTCAGAATGAATCATGAAAGCACATAAAGGAGAAAGTGAAAGACGCCGGACACAGGGAAATGGATACTATAAACAATTAAGAAGTTGATTGCTTTAGACAAAACTATAACTCAGCTCGTGATTCCAAACTCCTCTCTTTTGTTTTGCTGTTTTTAGGCCAGGAGAAGTCCTGTCTCCTTGTTGCAGAAAAATATCTCCATGCACTGACCTGGTCCCACATGTTTATATGTGTATGTGTGAGTGTGTTGTTTTGCCTCTCGTGCCTGAGTGACACCACTGTAATGAAGGCGTTGAACTTGAGGTGGAATATTGATCAAAAGGGCCCCGCGGCTGACAGCACCTTTTCTTTTAATGAAGTTTTCCTTTAATTTCATCTAAAGAGGGGGCTGGCTGACTGGCACTAGGTGGAGCAGAAGTTAGGAGGGGAGAGGGGGGGGACTTTTTTCTCAGGTTCCCACAGAGTCACCTCGTAAAAGTGACACGCTGTTGATGAATATGGGCGTCAGCGGGCTCTCTGGGCCCTGGGTGGGCTCTCACATCTGCACTGGATGAGGGATCTTCACACACGGCAGCAGAAGTCCAAAAACATTCTGGCTGAGTGTTAATAAAGGAAATAGACAACACATCTTCATTACCTCCCAATACCTCGCCTTTAGGAGCCTGTGGGTTCAGACACTTAGGAGTCAAAATCAACCACCAGTTGGAAAGACCGAGCCTCATAAATCCTCAACAGGATATTGACAGAAGCCAGGGATCATTAAGGCAGTTACAATTAATGAAAGTTATATTTTCCTTATATTTAAATGTCTAAAAGGTTAGCTTGTAGTTTGTATTGGTATGGTTAGCATTGGTATATTATCAGCAAAGAGCAATGAAACAACAACTTATGAAAAGTTTCCCCTTGAGTGTATCCGGCACATTTAAGCTCCCATTAGGGTGAATAATGGTGACTCTGATGATCCCATAACCTTTTATTTAGCACCATCTTCAGGCTCATGTTTTAACTGTTTACTACACTTTAGTCAACTCACACTGCTGTATTGATGGAAACTTTACTGCTGAAGACATTGTTTGCCTTTGGTGTCCAGGCTCCAACCACATAAGACCAACAAATGTGAGATTAGTGCATCTCAAATTGCTTGCCTGAACTAGCCCGCAGGAATGGATCCAGTTTGATTTGTTATCTGTGTTTGCGAAAGTTACTAATTTGCCAAATCCAGAATATTTACCCTTATGGGGATTTACTCCATCACCTAAAATGCCAGTAATGTATTCCTGTAACAAACTGAGTTAAAAGAGGCGCACAGTGTTAATTTTGTGGTCTGGTCTGCAACAGGTGCGCCATAAATCTCTCTGCCTCTATGCTTCCTCCACAAAAAGATGTCCAAGTAAATAAAACTAAGGATTATATTGATCATACATCACTGGAGCTTTTTGTCCTTAAAAGCCACTGTTGCTCTTTTAGCTTCATCAATGAGAGGAGTGAGCAAGGGAGCATTTAAAGTCTCACCACAGGATATCCCTAAATACTCCCATTTCTACTCACTGTGCCTTTAAAGTTAACCTGATAAGGCTCCAGAAGAAGTGGACCTTTAACAGCCAAAGACTCTCAGCCTTGTTCCAGTATTGGTCCAAAAGTATGCGAATCTGGTAAAGTTAGCTATTTAAACACAGTTTATTCATGGGATATATTTAGAGCAGAATCTAATAGGCACTGAAATTGAACAGACGCTCGGTCTAACCATCAAGAACCAAACCACACAATACTTCATGAATGAATCGTTATCACTGTAATTTCTGGTTATTTTGTATTCTGGGGAGTTATTTTCTCATTATTGCCCATCCATGTCGATGCTGATGCCTGTTCTTCAACATGCAGTCCTAATTTGTCTGCCCCGTGTTTGGGTTCCAGCGAGGTTTTTCTGGTTCTGTCCTCAGTTCCGTCTCATTAAGTTTGCTTCTCCCACATCATGCTCAATTTCATTTGGCCTCCACAGTCACCATGCAGTTTATAGTTTCAGAGATGCCAGTTAGTTTATTATTCTGCTCGCCTATTGTGTGACGGCTTAGTGCCTCTGCTGAATCAGCCAACAACAGCGTGTTAACTCGTGTAATCTTTCGATTGGTGGAAACTAAAGAATGCAGAGTTGTGTGTCTAAATATTTCCCCGATTCTCACGGCTGCTCATGGTTTTGTAATGGTTCCTTTTTTTATATAGCTGTCAGTGAGGAATGCCGGCTGTGGGTGCTGCAGTAAACCATCTCACGGCAAAGGCATCATAATGTGCATTACAGAAGTGTGTGTTTGTTTGCATGTGTGCTGGGGTAGAACAAAGGTCTGCTTGATTGTGTTTATGTCTTGTAGGTACACTCACATGTGTGAGCGTGTTTGCATCTGTTTTGAGTAAATCTTTGTGTATCTGCTTGTTGCATGTGTTCAGGAGGGTAAAAGGAAAGGCACTGATGCTTGATTTGTGCATTCTCTGACATGATGACCCAGGGTCAGGAGAGGAGCTGATAGAGAGGAGACCCTGTTCATCATGCCAGACCAGGCCAGCTGCAGCGAAGGTCTGTTTGGTCAGTCTAAACATCCAAGAGCCCCTGATTTCTTTTGTAGCATACAGAATGATCTACAGCGAAATGACGCATCACTGGGAAATGTGAAGCAGGCTCACGCAGGAGCCCTCTTTGTTTTCAGCTTTCAGCAACGCCGTCTGGGCAGCATATTGGACCGTTTCACCCGGCATGAACGTGTCTTGGATTAGCGTCGCCAAAAGCCACCGAGCATCTGGAGGTCAGAGCCGATCTTAGTGTCAGTGGGACAAGGAGCATCTCTTGAATCATAGCACTCTTCAATCAGAGTTTTGACAGGCAGGGCTTGACAATGTCTTTCATGTTGAAGTAACGGAGAGAGTCTGAAGGGGTGGGCTCAGAGCCCAGTACAGACTCCAGGTTTGCTTACAATTGATTGAGGCAGACGAGCTGGCTTATGACATTGCTCGAGTAAGTCCTGTGAGTAAAAATCCAGAAGCTGTTATTCACAAAGAGCCAACAGATCTCCATGTTTTTGTTCATGCACATCTGCCTGATTGTGCTCACATGTGCGTATATCATATCCTATTCACATCTTTGATTTTCTGCCAGCAAATATGTTCCTTGAGATGTATGAGTTCAACAGTAGTGTGTGTTTTAGGGTGTGTTTATGTGCGTCGGTGTGTGTGTGTGTGGAGGAGCAGCAGCCTGTTCTTGGCTGTCTCTGTCTCCTCTGGCAGTCTTCCCCTGCAGGCTGTGGAGGTCAATGTGATAATGGAGTCGCCGCTGCCGGCTCTCCCCCATGGCCCAGCAGGGTGGACACTCTCCCTCCAGCTCCCATTCTCGCCTCTTTATCTGACTCTACATCCATCACTTTCTCCGCCTGTACTGGATTCTTTTAACCTCCATTTGTCAACGTTTCTCCGGCGTACACACCTTAGCTTCCCTGTTCTGTTTGACCTCTTTGTAAATAATTTTAGTTTGTAAATCTGTCACAGCTCACTGAAACACTCATCTGTTTATGAATGAGATTATTTATAAGTGTTTATGCATGATAAGACAAAACTGTTTGTGCCTCTGCTCTGTTTCCACCTACAGTTTCCAGGACATGGTGAGCTACTTCGGAGTTAGGCCAAAGTCTGGGGAGAAAGAGGTGGCGCCAAATCACGTTTTTATGCTTTGGTACGAGTTCTGCAATGACTTCAAGAATGCCTGGGTGCGACAGAACAAGAACATCTCCAAGGAGAGGTGGGTATTCTTCCAATTATAGTTTACATGTCAAGAAATACAAAGAGTAGTTTGCATGTCGAGAGGAATGTGACTGAAAAATTGTGTATTTTTAAGGCATTTTAGAGAAATTGTTTAAGAAATTTACAGTACTGAATTGCATCGTGGGGTATGCAAGAACCATTAGTTTGATTTTGTTTTAGTCACCTTCTCTTTTTTGCCCTCCCCACAAAAAAGTATGGTACTTACCTCTAAGTGATGGTCATAAAGACCTGACTCATCCCGGTTTCCCTGAAGAAACATGGAAAACGCTTTTGTAAAATAAGCTTAGCAAACATGATCATTTTAAAAAGGACTTAACCAAAGGAATGAAAGTATTCTGAGACAACTTTAGTGCCTTTTAGCACCAAGAGCTATAAATTTGTTGTTGCTGCCTGTTCAAAACTGCTGTCAGTGGACACAGGCCCTTGTCAGTGACTTAAAGCTCCAGTGAGGAGTCTTTTTATTTTTTTCATTTTTATTAAAAAGGCTTAAACTCAGTGATGCTTTTTTATAATATCCAAAAACAACCATGACCAACAGTATGTGTGATGATTTTAAAATTGTAATTTTTAATTCAGGAAATGTGTCTGAGAGGGTAGGTGTCAGCCAAGCAGATGAGAAAACAGCCCTGTTTTTACAACTTTCACATTAAACATTCTCAAAAATAACACATTTGACTGTCAATAGTCAACAAGATGAGATTTCTTGGTCAGATGACATCACTTAGAGGGATATTCCGGCATAAAATTAATTTAGGGTCAAACACACCATTACAGCGAGTTGGACACCACCTCGAAAGATGAATACAGAGCGGTCTGAGGAGCTATAAACAAACCTCAACCAAAACACCACTCTATAGCCACAAATAATGGTCAGAACAGCACCTAACTTCATCAACAGTACATACAGGGTCCCAACCATAGTACTAGCCACCAAACATCTTTTTAGGCTTCCCTCATTTCTTTAGCAAAGAGGCAAAACACAACTCACCCACTCTCCTCCAGCAGCCGCTTGTCTGTGGGGGAGCCCTGACGAGTCCATCACCGAGTGTTGATTTTAAAACATCTTATCTAAAACTCACTTTACAGTCTTTTTAAAAAAAAAACCTTTGGACATCCTGTCAAGAGCACCTATTGGGTAAGAGTGATGAGCAGTAGCTGGTTAGGGATTAAATCAGAGAGGGACGCCCTCAAAGAGCAGGCAAACAGGAGCTGAGGCCTCAGCTCCGTCTGAAGGATTGAGGTCTGAATTTATGATGTTTCTTCTGACCTGAGGCGTCATGTTGGGGGGGCATTCCTCTGAGGGACCACAGACCCTCCTGGCGGCTGCCTGGCTTTACTAGTCAGTGGACCGAGGGACAGTGGCTGTTAAAGGCAGTGTGTTATGGTAGAGCTGATAAACAGTGTAATGATGCTGGACATGCAGACTCTGTAAGAGAGCAAAACCACATGAAGAAGTGGCCTTGTAGTTTTAAATATCATGTGGTGCCTTCATGGTTCATCACACTCTGATCATGTTGAATAACTGAAGATCTGTCCACCATGGATCCATGTGCTCTCTCTTAATTGTTTATCAGGTCATCATGCCTCACATTACTCCCAGCTGATTGTGCTTTTACACCATTAAGTTAATTTTAAATAGTGTTTGCGCACTCATAAAAGCCAAGTGTTTTTTAAAGGCTGCCTCATTATCTCATCAGCCCACTGTCATTCTCTACTGCCTCTCACTTACGGGGCTTTCACTGACCGCAAACTGCGCAGAGGATCAGTGTGCATCCGCCTGTGTGTGTGCATGTGAGCATGTGTGTATGTTTAAGGCTCTACATGGCTCCATGACACAAGGTGCCCCCGGGGGAGACACTTAAATGTTTTGCTCTTACTAACAACTTCAGAAGGTCGCAGTGATGAGAGGCGTCTGACTTTACGTTGTTTTTTATGAGTTGCACAAGTACGGTTTTCCAGAGGGGTTCAGTGTGCACTTTAAGTTAAAAAAAGGCTGCAAATATTAAGTCCATGTGGATTTTTTTTTCTCTTTTTAGGTTAAAGGAAGCTCAAGAAAACATCAAAAAGATAACAGCAGAGAAGAGAGTGGAAACTAAGAAGATCAACGCTAACAGTCTTGTAAGAATCATTTGCACACATTAGGAAAAGTCTGTTTTTTTTATGATAACATCAGTTAACTGATAATCTTTTTGTGCTTTTATTGCCAACAGAAAGAGAGGCTGCGGCAGAAAGAAGCCGCTGTGACCTCGAGCTGAATGAAATGACACAACAGAAAGAGAAAGAAGATCGCAGAATAAAGTGTTAAAGCTTTACTTCTCTTGCATTAACCACCTGCCTCATCAACTTCAGGCCTTCCCACAATTTAAACCTCACCAGACTCTAACTACTCCCACTGCCATATCTCCATCTTACTAACCTCTCCCCTTCCCCTCCCAATGCTCCGCCGGCCTTTCGTCGATCTCTTGCCAGACAGACAGAAGTCAGGCCTGCAGCAGGGATGCATGGCTGACACCAACACAGTGATGAGAGTCTGAGAGGCCATAGGTTGATCTCATTCATCCAGCGTGGCGTGAACTGTGAGTGGCCAGCTTGTGAAAGGTCATAAAGGGTCAGTAAAGGGGGGGCGGTCACAGTGATTCCAGCTGACACATTCACGAGGTTCTTTCCAGATCTGCCAGAGCGGGCCCCTTTTTGTAAAGTTGCATTTGAGAGCAGAAACAAAAAAGCTCCTACAGATTTAAAATGCTAAGAAGCAAAGTAAGATATCTCTGAAAGTGGTAAAAGAACCAGTTCCCAGTGTCCTTTGCTGTAGCGGATAGCCCTTCATTCACCACGGCTCATTAAAAGTCTTGTAAATACGTCATGTTGTAGGATGTGCAGGGACCTCGCAGCTTATGATGGATGATCTACACTCTCCTTTGAGTGCAGATGAAGACGTGAGACGTGTAGTGTTTAAGTGTGTGCGCACCAATCTGAATGTGTACCGTTTTGTGTAGCTCTGCACCAGACCAACCTCTGCTGGGTGTTGACCAGAGAGGAGCAGAACCTAGCAGCAAGCCCTTGGCCCCGACACACTCACACAGACGCACTTTGGAAACATTAGAAGAACACAACAGGATTTTGGCCCTGCACCCATTCACCTAAATATTGAATATGCATTATAGAAACTTGTTGATCCTTTACAGAGTGATGCACATCACATTGTGTTGTGCACACCTTTTAAGCACTTTACTGCTTGCAGAAGCTGTTTGTCGTAGCTCACTGATAGCCACACTCTTCTGGTTTGCTAACGGCCTGTGTTTTTGCACTTTAATTTGGACCTCTTTTCCTATGCAAGGGTTTGGTTTCCTCACTGTAACATTAGAGAAAGGCATTGCTTCAGGTTTATATTTTTGATTTCCATGAAAGTATATGAGAGTGTTTTATTTTGCATACGAACGGTGAATACACTCCTGTAACATTCAAGAAAAGTCTATTTATGTAAGAGGATTTATTTTAAGCCAAAAACGTCAGCTGTGTTCCCTTTGAGGCTGTATTTTTATGAGTTGTGATTGAATAAGATGCTGCCTAATAGTGGAATCAAAAGAAAGATATATTTTCTCAAAGAACAAGAGCTATTTGCATTCATTTGCAGTTATTTTGGAGAGATGAGGGTCATATTTTGTGTATCGAGAACATTTAAGCATATAACCTGAAGCCATGTAAGTTGTAATACCTCAAAGTTCCAGCGTCAGAGTTCCCATAAAACTGCACCTTGAATTACTTTTTTACCCTCTTAAATCTTTATCTGTGCCATTTCTTTTTGTATGAAATTTTAAATATGTCATATACTGCTATGTCTTACTTGAGAGGAAAATGAAAAAAAAAAAGAGCTGATAGGAACAAAGGACCTGCTGTAGCCTCTACTGTACCTGTGTTGGTTCATGTAACCTTCAGTAGCTCTCATGTAGGTGCTCTGTAATTTTATGGAATTGTTTTAAATTTCAATAATAAACTACTGGATGCCGAACAAACTGGAACGATGTCTGCAGTTTCATCAGTCAACACATTTACCAGTGTTTTCTTTTTTTAAAGCCCAGAGGTGCAACACGCAGATGTGGTATTTATAGATTGAAGCTGACTCACAAGAGGATGTGATGAGTCATATTTTGCTGGATTTTCAATAAACTTTGAGTCTGGGTGAAGTGATTCAATCAAGCTTCTTTGAATGCCTTAAAAATTTGTTCCAGGAAAAAAAATAAATTTACAGCTTTATCAGGAAGAATATCTTCTCACTCAATTTACACCTGGATGTTGGTTTACACATGAGTTATTTTAAAAATGCCCCACTAAATTGCCTTGCATGGTGTGTTCAGTTTCACCACAGGATGAGGACATCCGCAGTGTGTCTAGTTACAAAATAGGGGGGCTTAAATTTCAAATGTAGATAATTACCTGTGGGGCTTCCAGCACAGCTTTTTTTATTCAAAAACCTTAACTTGAATTAAAAATAACATTAAAAGGAGAGGATTGAAAACATTTTTTCTATGAGAAAATCGCCAAATATTTGCATCCCTAATACGTCACATGTGCCGGGAATACCTTGACAAAATGTGCGTGACAGTAAATATAGATTGATTTGATAAGCACATCTATGCGTTCAACAGAGTTTTTGGTTTGGTTTTGTTTTTATTTTCCAGGCTTCAGGGGCAGAGTATCAGGTGTAGCTAATATAACAAACTATTCTGTGATATTTTGCGTTACAGCAGGTAAAGAGTCACATGTGATCGGATTTTTTTTATACTATCCCAAAGACTGTTTATTAGATTTCTCCAGGGGTAATTTAATCAGAGGGAGAGTCAAACCGGTTACATTAAGGTTGGCTGAATATTCAACAACTATTTTATCTCGATACTGTAAAAATCATCACTGTACATTTTCCATCCGAACTCAAAAAGTAGCATGTTACAAAACTTACAAAAGAATCCCCCTAAATCCAAACATGTCCGTTTACCTTTGTAAAAAAAAAAAAAGAAAGAAAAACAAAATCACATTTTCCATTTACAAACATCGTCCATCTAATTCCACACGGTGGAAACCTCCAGTTTAACTAAGAAATATTCACACAAAAATACAACAATGAGCAGGAAAGACTTCCTGTCACAAAGTTTTAAACAGTGATTTATTAAATAACCGGGTTATGCAGTGCTCATCAAGTGAGGAAGCCGTGCGTTAAACGTGCCCATTCCAAGTCAGCGTCTTCGTGCAGTGATGCTTGTTTTCTAATTTTGCAAAGTGGTGAGTAGTAGAGATGGTCGCTGCCGTAAAGCATCTCATTCGAGGTCGTTTGTCCATATTTCTGTTACATTATGTAGGAGAAGAATCCGTGTGACCTATGTGTGGGATGCGCTAATGGATGCTTCCTCCGAAGTAGAGACAGGCACGTGCTCTTGTCTGTAACTTTCTTTTATTTTGCTACCAACAATCCAGTTCATGAAGAAAACGACAACGAGAGGCGCACACTGTTTCTGTGCGCCTTCAGTCCAGGTCTATGGATATACAGCGGCACTGTTTGACGCGTTGGATGCGTTTCTTCTTGGTGGGAGGCTGTTGATCCGGACAGTTTAAAGTGAAAGTCATGGTGGTGAAACGCTTCGGCTTACAGAATGAGCAAGACTGGAAAGCCCCCTCCTCCCTGCGGATGTGCCGGGGGATGTAAAAGGAGTTGCACTGTCCGTAACAGAAGCGGTTGATGATAGTGCGGCTGACGCAGCCCTCCTCGTGGATGGTCTGTTTGAGCGGCTGCGTCTTGCACCAGTCCCGTTTCAAATACTGGCGCTCCGTCACGTGTAGAGCTTCCTGGCTCGACTCCAGCACCTCGTCGGCCGGTGAGGATGAGCCCTGCCTCTGCCGGGACCCGGAGCCCGCCTGCGGAGGCTGCGGTTGCTGCTCCGATTCGTTTGGGTTGTTTTTGTCAGGATGAGGGATGGCGCCTTGTGAACCTCGGTTTCTTTTGGAATCCACGGGAGAGGAAAGCAACCCGATGATGAAAACCATACTGCAGAGGATACGCGTCGAGCCGGCCATCCTGAGAGAGAGAAGGAAAACAATTCATCATCTATACCGTTTCAACCCTGGGCGGTTTACGCACAGCTGTCAAAGCTTTTACGCTGCGTAATAACGCGCTGGAGTACCTTGCATTTTTACAACACGTGTGCAGTACAGACACGTAGAGTGAAAACGAAGTAACTGTATTATTTGATTCATGAAAGAGTAGATGAATGAGATACTTTCCTCCAACACTTTATAAGACCATATGTTAGACCCCACCATTACGCAAAGACAAATGATTTTTTAGTCATAACCAAAAGATCCACCACTCTTTACCGTCATTAAACAATCCTAATGTGTCTACACTGAAATCAGCAGATAAAATCATAACGTTCTGTTATTTCTTTGAACAATAAAGCGAATATATCTCACGACATTACGCGACATGTTCCCTCACCTGCGCGAGCCTCCTCTGCCTCAAGTGCGATGATAAGATCCTGTCAGTCCTCCGCGGCACCGTCAGAGGTGATCAGCGCCTACTGCTGTCGACTGTACGCTGGTGGGACTGCTGATAGGTGGGAGACTAACCGCTCCATAGACAGGGGCCAGGGGGGTTTAATACAAATTGCTCCAGCGCCGGACTGTCTCCCTTTTAAATGTCTGCCAGCTGAGAAGTGCACAACAGTTCCCTCTACATTATTGGCTAAGCGAGATGTGGAGAAAATCAAAACTATCCGCCCCCTCAACACTTTCCTGAACCCACTTCAAGAACACAGACGAGCGAGGGATATAGGGAGGAGGGGTGAGCCTGAAGTTTCTGCGCACACGGAAAAAAGTAAAATATCGAAATACTTCACCAAAACGAGATTGTAAAACTTTGCTATTATTAAAAAAAAACAAAGGTGGCGTTCAGTGTCCTTGGGCAAATTTGAACATGTATGATTCCTAAAAGTGGGGTGATTACATATACTGCACATCACAGCACATTTGCGCAAATTTTGACCAAGTGAAGTGACATATAACTATTTTTTTTGATGTTTATAACGAGTTTTTTTTAGTCTTTTCAATGTGGAATTCACAGATCTTTCCTTAAAAATATCACGCGCGTCCAAAATTGGCAGTGAAGTGAAAGTCTTTTGGTAAATCATACAACAGATAAATGTCAGCTCTATTTATAAGTAAGGCATACTTATACGGAAACAACCTAAATTATGTGTTTCTTTATCTGATGTCTACTTCACATGGGCTTTCTAAGAGAAGTAAACATTTGATGCAGCATTCATCTCGCTTGATACTATAACCTGCCCATCTTAACAATTAGGCCAACTCAATCTATATCCAAGTTGCGGTTTTAAATCTTGACTTTTTGGTTAGGTTAGTACGTGTTTTGGGGTCAGCCACTATATGTTATGGTTAATTATTGTCCTCTTCATTAAGAATATATAACTAGAAATCACGCGTGATTGTGAAGTTAAGGATTTGGCAACTCCAAATCATTGGGTCCAACCTACCAAATAGACATCATTCATTACATTTAAATTGAATAGATAATAGAGAGTAGGAGAGCTGTGCTGAAATTTTTCAATATGAATGACAAGCTGAACGCCCCTTGAGCTGGGAAAATTTGAATTGTATCAATTAAATTGTGAAATAAATCTCCAGCTCTGGATTATGTTATTTCTGTGTGGACTCTCCATCATGAACGTGCCCGTTTGTACAAATTTACTTACCATTAAAATGAATTATTCATTCGCTCCTGTAATATAGTGCCTTGTGTTTTGTTTATTCGGAAAAGAAACCGTCTGATAGCTTAGGAACCCTAAAACTGAGTCATCTGCTTTGCACATGGCCTCCGCTCAACATGCACCGTCCTGCAAAACCCCTGCGTCATTACGCAGCGTCTAACCGTGGAAAATTAAACTGCTATCACAATGACAGTGATAACGACGATATGCTGCAACAGCAACTGAAGACTTAAACCTCTTGTCCTACTCCAATCCATCCTGTTTCACATGAAAAAAAAAACCCGTGAGCCTCCCATTAGCCTGAGGAGAATAAATCTCAGGGGATGATTCTGACCTCCAGCCTCTGAGGCTGCCTTACAAGGGAAATAAATCACTTCTTTTACGTCTGCATTAATTTCTGGAAGATGTTGTGAGTGCATTTGGCCTTCAAAACTGTTAAGATTGTTTTCACCTGCTGGATTCAGAGCATAAAAGAAAAATGGTTACACACCTCCAGAGTCTTTCAATCGAGGTGGGAGGCAGATTTGATATGGATGTCGCTGCAAGTTGGAGTCATGGCGGCAATTTTTTTTTGTCATTGCATAAATTCCTGCACCCTTCATAACAGGAGCATGTCTTTATGAACATGTCAGTCTACTTGATAAGCGATGGAAGTAGGGCTCCCCCTTGTGGCCGCGGCAAGTATCCGATATTTATCCTGAAACCGAGAAATCCAAGTAAAGGTGACATGCAGGTAAATGCTGTGTGATTTTATTTGTCTGAGGCAGGTCACATGGCAAAACATTTAGTTGTTTCATGTTCTGAATCTGGCTGCAATAGTCAGATAACGATCAATACTGCTTGGCTTAGCTTTTTTTTTTCCATAAAATCCATTCAAGGTGCATTTTTTTTCCTTTTTTCTCAATATGACATGAAACAGTATAAAAATACTCCCCGATAAAAACAGCTTCAACTCAGGTAAACATTTTTTTTCTCTCTTACAAACTAAGGATTAGATATAAAATGCATAAATAAAAGACTAACTCTAAGCATTTCCAGTCATACCGTCTTTGCATTTAGATTATTTGGCCCGCACACTTCTGCCTGACAAAAATAGTCATAATCTTACAGGCTGGTGTGTCTATTCTTAACTTGTAAACTTGCCTCACAAGAGTAAAACATAAGGCTTATGAACATCTCCCAATAAGGCCCTAAACACAACAGAGACAGCACAGAGCAGAGCTACAAATAAATTAAACCCCTGAAAATGTGGATTATGTATGAGGGAATGTTGAAAGTCAGCAGATAGAGGGCTGCGCAGTGAGGAGAAAGAACGACAGATTCTGATCTATAAATCTACAGGCTTGGTGGCAGACAGCAGGCGTGCTTGGTTCAGAGGGTTTCTGGGTGAGCCTCTGTAATGGTTCATGTCCTTCTCTACGACCTGCTTCACCAGAGGCTTCTGAGCTGAGGCCGGATCAGGAACACAAGAGTCCGCTTTGGTCTTCGCTTGAACCTTATTGGTCACATCCCCCAGAGCGCACACTTTAGCTTTGCGGGCAAGGGTGCTCTGTTTTTTAGGAGGGACAGGAGGTGGGATCTTCTTGGTCATTCCTCCCTGTGAAGGTTTCAGCTGTGGGTGAGGGGAGAGACCGCTCTCCAGGCTCACCGCCTTCACCACCTGAGCACTCTGCGTGAGAGGGAGCTGTGTGCTTCTTGTCGGCCTCTTGCTTTCACTCAGGAGGGAGTTCATCCTGCGCACAGTCTGACGCACCGGTGTGCGCTGGAACTTGAGCGGTGATCTGATTAATTTGGCTTTGGGTCCTCTGGGAGAATGAAGGGTAAGTTTGTTGAAATGCTGAATGTGATCTGCAACGCGCCGCTTTTCGTTCTCCAGGCTGCGGGGTGAGAGGGGCTGCTGGGTTTGGACTTCAGTACCGATCTCATGGGAAGATTCACTTTCTTCATGTACCGCACTGCCACCAATCGTACCCGTTTCAGGGGGCTCTTCTTCCAGCTTGAATGGAGTAGACTGCAGCCCAGAGGAGACCCCTAGTTTGAAGAGAGCAGGACTGTGGATGTCCAGAGCATCAATCAGCCTGCTGCAGTTTATCTGCTCCACCTCTCTGTCATTTCTTTCATCTATAGAGCTGTTCTGGCTGCTGATGTGAGCGTCACAGATCGAATCTTTATCCTTCTTTTCTACTGGACTGAACCCACCTGACTCTAACACAACACTGTCAATATGCAGAGGAGACAAAGCGGCTATTTCAATCTGACCAAAGGTGATGTTCTGATCCTTAGCCAGATGGCTCTGTCCAGTCAGGAGACATGAGGCCTCTGCACCGACTGTTGGAGGAACTACAAAGCTGTCTTGTGGTTGTGTTGTGTTTACTTCCGAAGCATAGCAGGGTTCCTGTATAGCAGTTTGGAGGTTGCCGTCAGACTGAATGAAGCCGGTCTTTATTTTCAGCAGCGTCGGGGCCGTTCTGCTCTGGGTTTCGCTCACAGAGCTTTCACTCTCCAGACTCTCAGCACTGGAAGTACAGCAAATCTTCTTGGGAAGGCTGGCCACCACCGGGGGCTTAGTGATGACAATGACTGGCTCAGATTTGAAGGCACTCTTCAGGCACATGTTCATGGGGGTGTCAGTGAAAGATCCTCCTCCTGCAGGGGTCTCTACGCTCCACGAGGTCCCATGGGCCTCTGAGTTGCACTGAGGAGTGAGCAGGTTATCCTCCGACTTGCTGATGTACTTTGAGCCTTCAAAATAAAGTGAGATGTTAGCTCGTTCCCAAGTCAGGGAATTATGTTCATCACATAACAATTCATTTATCTTGTTACTTACTTTTGGGTTCAGCTCTTCTCATCAGAACTGAGGGACTGAACTCGGTCTCTTTGGTGAAACAGAAACTGGTGGTGCTCTCTTGGGTGGCGAGTCTCAAACCAATGGACTCAGACCCCTTTATCACCAACATGGAATGAGAAATGACATGGAAATAAAAGCTTAGAGGAGGATTAAGCTTTTAGATATTAATTTGTTAAAAAAGGACCCCACAGATGTTTCCCAGAATGCAAGATTAAGGTGTTAACTTCATGATTGTTCTGGTTAGTTCTTCAGAGGACAGTAGAAATCACTCAGAAGAAACAACATATTGCATTTGTTGGTCAACAACTTTTTATTGACTCATGATTGTACATATAACTATGAAGCACTATAGAGCATTAGAAAGTCATGCACTCTTAGTCTTTAAGAGCTCACCAAATATATCTCAGACAGGTTACAGCACATTTTCTGTAAATACTATTGAGTACACAAGTGCTTCACACAGTAAACCACTGAAACTCTGCACAGGAAATCCCGTCTTAGTACCACTCAAAAATAAACATTTTTTGTAACATAATTAATGTATCTTCTGAACTGTGCGTGCATTCATCTAAATGTGTTAGCTAATAAAAGAAAACCTAACGTGCTACACAATAAATAAGTGCCCCTGTGCAACAACCAAAATACCCATGTGCAAAAGTGTTTCTACAGTTTTAATACAAGTCATGCAACATAAGCCCAAAAGCACCTTATCTGACAACATTTCTTGATTGTTTATCTGAGACCAAGATAAGTGGAAAGTATAGTCTACAGTCTACTTTACTACCACACTTACAGCTTCTTTGCTGCTCTTCCCCAGGCTAAAACGCAAACGCAGGGATTTGCGTGGTGCTTCTTTTTTGTCCACTTTTGGAGAAAAGCAGCCGGCTCTTCCAGATTCCACTCTGAAAGGACATACATGAAAGAGATCAGTGAAAGATAAACTTGTCGCACTGAAGCCCGATTAACGCAGTATTGTGCAGATTCATGGTTGTGTCACACAATGCATTTTCCAGAACACCTGAAGCATAATAACTGGAGGACAAAGAAAGTGTGTACCTGTGAACGGCATTTCTGCTGCTAAGTCGTCGGCTCTTCCTTCTTGCAGAGGAGGCTGGCAGCCTTCTGGACCTCCCTGCTGAGGATGGAGGATTATGGGAAGTGTCCAAGACCCCAGACGCGCTGTAAGCTATACCATATGAATAGAATAAAAAAGGATCTCTTACAATCATGAGTTAAAGACGAAGCAGGATAGTTATCAGTAAACAATAGATGCCTCATTGATCAAACAACCATCAGTACCTGATCCAGGAGTAGATGTCCCGCTGAACAAAGTATTGGGTAATAAATCTATCCCAAGGTTTTTTTTGATCGATCTACGTTTCTTGTTCGAGAATCCAAAAGAGTGACCAGATTCCAAAGGCAGCTTTCGCTTTGAGTTTGGAGTAGCAATCACAGGAGTTGCAGAGGAAAAGACTGGCAAAATCACAAAAGAATTCATGTCACCGTTTAGAGGATAAAGCCGACAATGTTTATAATTCCAAACATTCCAGAGATGATGAAGAATAAGCAGAGATGGTGGAAATTTTTGGAGGACAGTCCATGCAAATGAGGCAGACAGGCAAAGACAACAGCCAGTAAAACCACTGAAACCAGGCATTTATGATCAACACTCAAGCAAATTCTTATTCATAAATATAGGATTTTTTTTCATAGGAAGCGAAGCTGGAGATTCAATTTAAAATGATATCAAGTTTGGTTTCTATGTAAAGAGCAGAAAGGTTGTCATTGATGCGCAGCAGATGGATTACGTAACAATCACCATGCTATATGACAGCAACATTATCTCATCTGACCATCGTACATACCGAGACTGTCTGAGTGGGTGGCTTTTGTGGGTGTTCTATTAGTTTTTATCTTATTCAGAGCACCATTGACCACATCTGTAATATGAGACAAACCAAACCACTTACACTGGATTTGCTACTACAATATTATAGGATGAGTATACAGTTTCTATGATACACAAAGGGCTCCATAGTAGTTAGATTTGTGATTCTAATGGTCATTTAATATATCTTGTGTGGTTAAACCACTTTCTGGAGAATATGTTAGTAGGATTGTGTAGAGTGCACTGAAGCTTTTACATAAATGAACCTCATATGGTGCATTCTTACCTCCAAAGCTGCGTCTGTTTCTCTTCTTCATCCCTGAGTTTAAGTCCAGCTCCTCCAGTCCATCACGAGCAGGAGACAGAATTCCCGCCTCACAGCCCATCATGGCTGGAACTTTCTCTTGAAGCTGCTGTGGTAGCACACCTGTGACACACAGATAAAACAATATTGAACAATACTGAACTGATAAAAAGACAAAGACAAAATGTGAATTTTCCAAGTCGTACCAAAGCTGTCGGCATTCTCTATGAAGCAGTGTACGATGGCCGCTTGTAGTTTGAGTCGTTTCTCAGTGTTGGCGTTCATCTTCTCGGTGCCGTCTCCAGAGTGAAGGAGGTTAGGAGCCAAGATCACTGACAAGTTACTGCTGTCCATCTTATTCTCTGCGCTCCTGTAATTAAGCCAAAAACAAAAACAAATAAGTATCCATGAAAAGAGAGCTAAAAAAGACTGATAAAAAAATGGGATTGGTCAAAGAAACAAAAGTAATCAATCTCAGACTCGCACCTCTTAGATACGTTGCTGAGGAAGTCAAAAAAGTAACGCAGCATGCTCATGTTCCTGTCAGGAAGTACACATGACAGCAGCATGGTGGCAGAGGTCCTCTCCTCCTCTGTGGAGAGCTGCTGGGCCTTGAGAAAGGCCTCCTGCAGCTCTGTGGGCAGAACCGGCTCTGGAAGCTCCCTGAAGAACTGCTTCACCAGACCAGCCACATCGCAAGGAAGAGCTGAGGACAAGCACTCCTCTCCTGCATCAAGTTTAGCCTGGACAGAAAAAACCAAAACAAAACCCAACTCTGTTATTTCAGACCTTTTCAGAGTCAAGGTCCTTCAGTGAATGAGAGGTCAAGCTTGGTCATCACTCACCCTGAGAGCTTTCAGACGGATGACAGAGCCAGACTTTCTGAACAGGCCCTCTGTGTCAATATGTGCCAACAGCTTCATACATGCATCCACTAGAAAACTTAAAAAGGAAAAGAAATGTAAATAAAATACTTCTAAAAAGACAGTGAAGCAACAGTGAAGGTAAACCAGGAGGTTCACTTACCTCGGCACAATGCCACTCTCCATATTATAGGACGGTAAACTCTCAAGGGGAACCCCAAAGACCTTGGTCTGGAGGAACAATAATATAAAAAAAAACAAAGAGGAAATGTATCAACTGCAAACTTCATCTTTGTCAACCTTTCTCCTATTCAAAGGCATTTCCTCAAATACAGAAGTTCAATGTGTGTTTGGAAAAACTGCTAAATCACTTGCACCAACCTTGTGACTCCAATTACGCAATTACGATTGAAGCTCACAAGGAGAATCTGAGTCTTCAAGTACTCTAAACTTCCACTGAATTCAGCATAATATACAGGTTAAATTGTCCTACCTAGATTACAATATTTTTATACAAAAATGCCCCAATTCATCCAAATGTGTCATTAAGATTTGTGAGAAAACACTGCCCTTTTCTGCTTCAAGATTCAGGCTTTATTTTTTTCTAAAAGGGAATTTGTGGTGTGGATAATCAGGAGGGCAGCCCAACAAAGCATCAGCAGTGACTGACATGGGTGACAACGGCCTGTGAACAAATGGGTCTCATCAGTGGGGGCAAGCTTTCACTAATATGCTAATTCGATTCAGCAGACTAAACAATAGTGTGTCATCGAGCTGGCACTTCAGATGATGCTTCTGCGTTAAATCCCGAGTTTCAGTCACTGCTAATGTAAAACATGTACACTAGCTGAGTATCAGTAAAAGCTTTCTGTGAACTTACCAGGTTGTTGGCTGAGGTCTTACAGCTGGCTGCTTTGTTTTTGTTCCAGTTCTTTGTCTTTATACCAAACGCCGAGCGGAGCTGCTGCACAGCCACCAGGCGCATCACATTTTTCTCCATAACTTTCATTTTCAGAAAGTTTTCCTTGCGAATTAATCTCTGAGAAAAAGTCGTCTAAACTCCCCTATCAGGATCAAACTAAGCCGAACCTCCGCTGCTCTTTCTAATCGTTTCTTGCCTCTCTAACTTTACCACTTTCTCCAAACTTGCAAACTCATCCCTATCACGTGAACCCCCCAGTACTCACGAGACACCAGTTTTTACCGCCTGATGTTATTAATCCAACAAAACCACCAACCAACTCCTGAGTGGACGAGAGAGGCCAGCTTTACATGTTGGAGGACTGTCCAAAGACTTGCCTCAGATGCAATGCAGTTAGCTAACTAACGTTAGCAAGCCACTTAAGCTAGTAAAAATAGCTAAACTTACAAAAGCACACAAAGCTTGACGGTGACAAGTAATTAAAAGTTACCATCCGCCTCTTCTGCAGAGGTGAATTATCTTATTTCCACCGTTTTCACGCGTTAGGTAGCTAGCTGCATCGTGCCGTGGTGGTTAACTCGTCGTTTCAGTTGCTTGCTAAGGTGTATGTTGGTTTCCGCAGAGTATTCAAACAGCGGCGCTCCCTACGCTCTGCGCGCTGATTGGCTGGGAACGATTCGAACAGGATTTGTCAGTATGTGTGTTTTACTTCTCGGTGCAGCCCCACCGGGCGGAGTGAGCTCTAAACAAAACACTTCAAGCAGAGCGGTAGAGCCCAAATTTAAAACCAAGTACTCCTGAAACGGAAAGAAACTACACAGAGAGGCAGTAGTACTACCACTACTATGACCAGTACAATATTATAATTATATTAGACGGTTTACAAATAGGGAATGATTCATTTGGGCTACTTCGGTGTCCTAATCAATTTATGTATATTCACTGACCTACTGGGCATTTTGGATTACATGTAAAATATCTTTGAAGAACATTTGTAGCACTGTTCAACCGCTGCAACCACAATTGTTCTCTGTTTTGGCTCTAGAAAGTAAAAACAAATGTATTTTTACATGTGTAATTAAAGGTGAAATACTATACAACTTCTTGAATTTAAAAAGGAAATCAACATACTATTTTTTTACAAAAAAGTCACAGGACTTCACTCATAAAATGGTTTATCATAGTGTATCAACACTGCAACAATGTTTTTGATCACTTATTTTCCCATTTGTTTGTCTCTTTCCTTTTATACAAATAGTCTCTCCAGTTCATTTTTTTCTTTAACCACTAGGTGAAGACATTTTCAAACAAGTTTCAGCAACAGTGTTGCAAGAAGGTATGAGGAAGACAGACTTCTGGTATTTGATGCACATTATTCTCGTAACATACTGCCAATGCTGTCCATTATTTTGTCTTTGTATATCTGTATATTTAAAGGCCAAACTTGACAGATCACATGCATAGTTATAGGATGAGATAAGGTAGATCCAAGGTATGGATAACTTACTTGTTAGGTTTGATAAATTTGAAGTTTAGGATTGCAGCATCTATGTCCCTTCACAGGAGTTTTGCATTCAATGCAGTACTTGTACTTGTACTAGTTTTTACTCCCATCTCCCAGTCTTTGCCAGGTCATGTCTCTTTTTTCTCTTGAGAAGTAGGCACAAAAACAGAAGAAGGAGTATTCTCTCAAGGGCTTATCTTTATTACAATAGAACATACACATATATATACAGGAGACAACGACGTACAAACGCACAGACATAAAGGAGGTTGGTGGTGTGTTTAGAAGCATTTCCTGTGGACAATGGAAGGGCCGGCCTCATCATACTCCTGCTTGCTGATCCACATCTGCTGGAAAGTGGACAGGGAAGCCAGGATGGAGCCACCAATCCAAACTGAGTACTTCCTCTCAGGGGGAGCAATGATCTAGAAAACAGACAAACACCATTTCCATTATGAATTGATGCTTATTCAGAGTTACAACAAACCTAATGTCTCAAAAAGTTTTGTAGTCCTCTCACTTTGATCTTCATGGTGCTGGGGGCCAGAGCAGTGATCTCCTTCTGCATACGGTCAGCAATACCAGGGTACATGGTGGTACCACCAGACAGCACATTGTTGGCGTACAGGTCCTTACGAATGTCAATGTCACACTTCATGATGCTGTTGTAGGCGGTCTCATGGATACCAGCAGACTCCATACCTGTTAGAAATCAAGCAAAACGCATCAGTGTTGTCTGAGACTTGACATAGACTTGACATACCTCATTTAAAGGACAAGTTTAACCCATTACTCACCAATGAAAGAAGGCTGGAAGAGAGTCTCTGGGCAACGGAAACGCTCATTACCAATGGTGATGACCTGACCGTCGGGCAGCTCATAGCTCTTCTCCAGGGAGGAGGAAGAAGCAGCAGTGGCCATCTCATTCTCAAAGTCAAGAGCCACATAGCAAAGTTTCTCCTTGATGTCACGCACGATCTCACGCTCAGCTGAGGAGGAGCAAAGTTGATGTATTTAGAAGCTACATTTCTCTAAGAATCACACCTCAAACTAATGCAATCATGCAGATTGATGCCACTATGGACTAGACGTACCAGTTGTGACAAAGGAGTAGCCACGCTCAGTCAGGATCTTCATCAGGTAGTCGGTCAGGTCACGACCAGCCAGATCCAGACGCATGATGGCGTGTGGCAGAGCGTAACCCTCATAGATGGGGACATTGTGTGTGACACCATCACCAGAGTCCAGCACAATACCTTTAACAAACAGAGAGGGAGCCATAGTTAGTCAGCATTCCTGTGAGGCCTGCCATTCCTCTAACCTCTCCAAGTATGTCTCACATCATAAACTACACAATGCTGCTGACATGACTTGACAAAGCACTTTCTAGAGAGGGATTAACACCTTCCCCTGACAACAAGACAGGAATATATCAAGGGTCCAGTTGTTCAAAAGTAATCTGATCTGATCTGATCTGATTAAAGCTTTCAGGGCGATCAAATATTAAAACAGGTTTGATCTACGTTGGATTAGATAAATCCAGGCTGATCTGTGGATTTATAAAGTTAAATCTCCAATTTGTATCTAATACTTTTAAGTAGAGTTAGGATGACTTTGATCCTAAACCCTCTGATTAAATATGAGGGCTGGAATCAGACTGGATTATCGGAAAAAATAACAACACAAAAAGGCCAACATTTTTACACTGGAGTTGCTGCTTTTGGCCCTTTTTCTATATTTAGGTCTTTGATTGTTTTCAGTTGTTAGATAGCAGGAGAAGTCAATTTTAGAGATTCCAAAATAAAAAAAGGTCTTGTCCCCATTATGTTTTGACAAACATCTTTAAGATCAAAGAATAGTAAGATTTTCAGTTAAAGGAATGGAGGATGTCATCATGTTGAGAATACAGTACTTGTAATTTTCCATGCCAAAAGAGGTTGATTCTTTAGAAGAACAGAACAAATCTATATCATCCTTCTCCATATGAAACATTTTGGACAACAGGGCCCTGATGATAGAAACCTTCACAACAAATCAGATTTCTCACAAAGATCAGACCCTCCTCAGTTAGGACTTATCTTCTGGTTCTAAGGCATTTACAATTCTATAAAAAAAACTGCAGCGCACTGACCGGTGGTACGACCAGAGGCGTACAGGGACAGGACAGCCTGGATGGCCACGTACATGGCAGGAACGTTGAAGGTCTCAAACATGATCTGAAGGAAAAAGAAGGTTGATTTTTAAATGGTTTTCTTAACACAAGAACAAATGTGTGGAAAAAGAAAGACATCTTTCTCTATAAAGTACCTGGGTCATCTTCTCCCTGTTGGCTTTGGGATTCAGGGGGGCCTCAGTGAGCAGGGTGGGGTGCTCCTCAGGGGCCACACGCAGCTCATTGTAAAAGGTGTGGTGCCAGATCTAACAAGAGGGGAAAGACCAGCTGAAGTCAGCACTGAACAACAAACAACTCTTGGCTGAACAAATAACAACCTGGTCCTCTAAATAAAACGCCAAACAAACACAAGCAGCTTTTACAATTGGCGCCAGGCTGTGAATTTCCAAGGATGTGAACCATCAGCTGCCATGAATGTTGTGAATGAGTCAGCTGTCAACACGCACCTTCTCCATGTCATCCCAGTTGGTGATGATGCCATGTTCAATGGGGTACTTCAGGGTCAGAATACCCCTCTTGCTCTGGGCCTCATCACCTACGTAGCTGTCCTTCTGACCCATACCCACCATCACACCCTGGAGGAAGAACCATCAGAGGAACATGAGACACAGAAAGATGCTAATTTGTTTTTTTGGTTAAAGGAGGTGGATTTAAGTGTACCTGGTGGCGGGGCCTTCCAACAATGGAGGGGAAGACAGCACGGGGAGCGTCATCTCCGGCAAATCCGGCCTTGACCAAACCAGAGCCATTGTCGCACACGAGGGCGGTGGTCTCGTCGTCGTCGCACATGATTAGGCTTCACTGGAGGGGTGGTCTAAAGATTTGAGGGGTGAGGGAAGAAACACAAAAAGAGATGAATGAGGCAGGGTGTTAGGAACAGCTGTCCAAACTGACCACCATAGAAGACATAGCAGGAAGGCTGGATATAATGAAACAATCACAGACACGTTATCACTGACGTATGTGATAATGTGATGATGTGATTAGATCTGCTATATTTGGAAAAGTCAACCACCCAATTAATGAAGCACTCATGATTAAAATGTGTACAAGCTGTGATTTGAAAGCCTTTGAGGACCTGCCAACACCATCTCACAACTGCTTTAAAGGAATTATCACATTCAAACCCTTTCATACAGATGCACTTCAACTGCAGCTATCTATATCCTGCTAATTAGACATGCCTTTGGATGCTATTTTGGTGCTAACCTTGCTGTACAGCTACTGATACTGTATCTTCACATGCATGATTGTTCCTGGGACTTCTAAGAGCTGCTGAGGTAGCACCAAAAAGGGGCATAACACAGAGACCTGAGATCTATTTTAAGCTCAGTAACCCCCTTGCTATGCTTAACAGGGTGAAACAAGTGACACAAGGATATCCTGCTATTTCAGGTTCTGAAAGAGAGCTTGTCTGCGAGCCAGACCTGCACTCGTGTGTCGCAACACTGTGACACTTCTGTTTTACTACATGGCTCACTTCCCCAGCTGCATCTTCCATTCATTCATGGCAGTTTAGGAGAACAGTTTAGGAGCTGTCCCTCTGGGTTTTTTGCTCTGATTCATGAAAAACATGCAAATGGTACATCCAAGAAAGGTAAAACTAAGTTTGGATGTGCTTCTCCACTCCATTTTACTCATCCAGGAAGTGCTCACACTGGTAATTCACACATCCCAGAGTTAGATTAACTAATGTCATGAACTGTAACAGTTTTGACTGTACTAAGTTTGAGCCATTTAGTTTCAAACTTATGAAAACTACTAATTAACTACAGCTTCATTCATTCATTCATTCATTCATTCATTCATTCAATCAATCATCCCAGCATCACCTACTCAAGCAAAGAACTTCATTAAACTTACTACACATATGACACAGATATCTGCAGTGGTTCAGAGATGCATGCAGGGAAGTATACTCACCAAGTTGCTCTGGTAGATGGATGCTTCCACTGGGACGAAGGCTGAGGTTGAGAGGAGCCCCTTAAATAAGACCCACACTGGGTCCACAGACCAGGGGCGGGGCTGGGGGGTTCACACAAGTCCAAATAAGAGCTGCAAGCAAAAAAGCTCAACATGACACAGGAAAGTGTGTTTCACATACAAGGATGGAAGTCACTGGCATGACACAGTTTGAAGTGTTGGCAGAGGATGGAAAATTTAAGAGTGAAAGAGATACCAAAGATGTAAGTTGTATTAGTCAGCAGAAATGAAGGAGCAGAGGGGGTCTTGTCAAAAAGGCAAATGTATCCTTTCTGCACAGTAATGATATTGAAAAACATAATTAACTTCATTCAAATTTAATGTCTGATGGGAACTTGATGCTCTGTGTTTCTGATGTGAGAGTGTCTTCTTTGAACTTTATGACTCATGTAAGAGCATGCAGTAAAGTTTTTTTAACACCAAAATTATGTGGCACAGGCACTGTATAATTGTCATGCAATCAGATTTTTAAATACTTTTCGCTTTGCTTTGATGCAAAAGGTGGCTTAAATGCATTTGTGTCATATCTCTTCATAGGTTGTATATACCCTTTACCACCTGGAGGCACCCGAAGATGACCCAGTCAGGCCAGCGACACTGGTGTCTAGTTAAGGAAATGAAAACATTGTATTTGTGTGTGAACCACGCTGCTGGTATGTGAGCTGAGTCTCCTCAACACGCGGAACAGCTGATGGTAATGCCAGCAGGGCTCTGCGTCTCATCTGGCTGTCTGACTGGCTTGTCTGTTCTGCCGCTGTAACCTGATTGGCTCAGCTGTCTCCTTGTAAGGTTATGGAGAGCTGCAGTCATGTATGTGCAGCCACTGAGGTTTCTGAGCTGTGAGTTTGCATAAGGAGCTCCATATTTGAGCCACCCACTTCTCCATATATCAACCTCCATGTATACATTGTACCTTATGAGGTAATATGCCTTTCCAGCGCACAGGAATGATTTGACAGATTATTGTTTATACAGAACATTACTGAAGATAAAAAATTCCATGCAGGTGGATCTTTGAGAATATTGCTTACGTATTTCAGTCTCTTTTTTGGAAAATGTCACAGATATAAACATGCAGAATATGTGAGTTCATATCCGAGGTGGAGGTATGTGAGAGCATTCCTCTGCTACAGGCTTTCTAACCAGATAAAAGCCACCTATTTATAGCTGAGTTTCTTCTCTATCTCAGCAGATAGGAACTGGATGCAGCTGAAACATCTTGCAGTGATTGGAATACCAGAGAAGACTTTCGTAGATTAAATTAATGTTGTTTTGATACATTATTAAGGGAAATGTGACTCATGAGATGGATTTTCCACTCTGCAACAATGAGAGATGGTGTAAACTTATAAATCCTGCAGCTTTGAAAGAACAATATCATGGGAATACGAGACCTCTGACTAGCCATCTAACTTTGGTTTAGAAATTGTAAGATTATAAAACTGACAGTGGGGGCCAGGGGTGACAGTGCCCCCCTTGAAATCCGATTGAACATCTTAGTGGCTACCTCAAAATCCTAAACCATAACTGTCTTTTTAGCTCAGTGTCAAAACTTATGTCAAAATTGACTTTTTGGGATTTGTTGCAATTTCTTTTTCTTTTCTTTTTTCTTTATTTCTTTATTTATTTTTTTGTCTTTTAAACTGGGATCTTGGACAATTATTAAGACTTCATTGTTGCCTTTTTGACATGGTACTTTTAACTGGAACCTATCTGTTTAATTCTTCAGCAATTTCATAGCATCCCTGCAAAAGTCAAAGCCTCTTTACCCTTGAAATAAAGCCTTTATCTCTCACTGGGGTGGTAGTGTTTGGTTTGAAAAAGGATTGTATGAAGCTTTTAAGATATTACAGCTGATTTAATTGTAGTTTACCTTTGGTATACTTTGTGAACTAGACTCTGTCTCTTTTTGTACATTTGCACAGGTAGCATCCACAAAACCTGAACAAGAGTTTAAATAACTGTATCAATTTAAGGTCATATAAAATCAATTTTTTTGCCACTGACATGTCTGAATGTTGCTGTTGACTGTGTTGCGTGTTTGTTGTTTTTATGAACAGATCACAAACTTCAATTGCTCTTTGGGGATAAATAAAGTTGTTTAAACTGAATTGAATAAAACCATCAAAATGATTTTGAAGCTTTGAGGCATTGCACATAGGTTACATTAAAGTGTTTTAAAGCCACTGTCACAAACACATGAATAAAGGATTTGTTTGGAAAAGTTTACAGGGTCACTAAAAGGTGAGCAGGTGAGTTTTCTTTGCTCTTATTTTTTTCTGGTGCAAACCTGGAGGATCGGGAAGCTTTTAACATGCTTGTGTTAAAATCAAGTCTGTTCCCTTTTCTGGTTTCCTATTTCCACGTGGCACTCATACAGCAAGCTGATAATCAGCTCCAGTGATGTCCCGTTAGGTTTACCTTCGAGGTTCGAGATTTGGTCCTGTCTGCTGTCATCTGCTGGTTCATTAATGTTACTGCAGGAATTTTTTTCTCTGAATGTCATTCACTTAATAAAGCTTGCCCTTAAACAATATAGGAGTCACATTATTTTTCTATAGCCTATGATGAAACAAAATAATGTTAACAGCCAGTGCAGCAGTGCCTTCATTCTGCAGTCAGCCAATAATAGGCAGCAGCTGCTGTTTGTAGAGATCTGTGAAAGAATAGGGGAAACTATCAGTGGATTAAACAAATCTCAATTAACATTTTTGTAATGAATTTAAGGCCTCAGTCTTTTTGTTTGAAGTCTTTTTTGTACAGCATGATGGTAGTAGCTCTCCATCAATATAAACTATACCTGCAAAATGATCACAAAAGTGTTTCAACATATAACATTTTCTGTTTTTTGATTAAATCAAATTTTTAATTTTTTGAATTTCTATCTATCTATCTATCTATCTATCTATCTATCTATCTATCTATCTATCTATCTATCTATCTATCTATCTATCTATCTATCTATCTATCTATCTATCTGCCTTTTTTCCCACAGTGAATATTATTATTATTATTATTATTATTATTATTATTATTGTTATTATTATTATTATTATTATTATTATTATTATTATTATTATTGTTATTATTATTAATAATAATAATAATAATAATAATAATAATAATAATAATAAAATGAGTCAAAAGTTTTTTTTTCAATGAAGTGTTGATGAAGTCAAATAAATCAACTTGCGTATGAATTAGCTATTATAATTATTCTTATTATTTTTTTTTTCAATCTGGACTTTTCCATCGTTTATTGTAAATGCATAACATTTTAAGCCTCTTAGGAACTTTGTAGGAATCATTTTAAATTAATCTGGTAACAATGATACTTTAAAAATATTCATTTATTGTTTATTTGTTTAATGTTTATTAATTTAGTAATTTACTTACGTATTTATTTTATTCGTATACTGTTTTTTTTCTGTTGCGATAATAATTTGTAGTCAATTACACTGGCTGATTCGCTCTCGTACCTCCCGTCCTAGTGTAGTGTGACTACTGCCCTCTAGAGGCAGATTTTGAAAAAGCAACGTGATGACGTTTCTACCTGCGACACGCAGGCAGCTGCCATGCGCCGTTGCAACGTTGTTATGGTCTGCCCTGTAATAAGTTAGATATTGCCGGACAGAAGCAGCGTTAAGGTGAATATCTATTGAAAAGTTCTGTAGTTTAGAAAGTATCGAAGGGTGGGAGGGTGGTGGCGGGGCGGCGTGCCGAGCGGACCAGCTTCCTGCTTGTGTTTGACGGCTGTGAGCGTGAGAGGAGCGCGAGCCTGCCATGTAGCTGAAGCAGAAGAATGAACAGTCAGCACAGTCCAGCAGATGGGACAGACGACCACACGGTCCAGCAGGAAAACGAGTTGGAAGCCCTCGCCTCTATTTTTGGAGATGATTTCCAGGATCTGCGGAACAAGGATCCGTGGAAGGTACTTTCCTAAATATAATAGCAGACCTGGAAGCTGTAACAGGAAAAGACTATGACCCCTGACCTGTAACAACCAATATGTGCTAAAATCGAAAGTGACCATCATCACAAATCATTGACTGTATTTTCAGGTTAAAAGACCTCCAGAGGTGCACCTCTACCTGCGGCCAAACGGGCTGAACACCGGTGATGAATGCTACGTGACTGTGGACCTGCAGGTCAAATGCCCTCCTACATACCCAGACGTGTGAGTACTGACCTCTAACCTTTAGAGCATCAATGTTTCTACCATGTGAAGTATAATCCCTGCATAATTGTTCCATAATATTTGATCAGAAATCACAATGACACACCCACCCCTGTAAAGACAAACAAAAACCACAAGATATGTCCTGTTGTTTACTCTGGCTTGCTGACACTGTTGGATTTTGAGTTACAAGACATGACAGCTTTATTTTTTTTCTTCCTTGAGCAGTTTTTTTTTTCTTTATAACGTCTTAAACAGCTGAAAAAAGTTTTATTTATATTCATCAAAATTCCAACTACTGTAAAGGATCATTATCTAGAGCTGAATTTTAGATTTTGAGCCTTGTTTACAAAATTTTGTTCTCAGACTCTAAAGAAAGAATCACATGATCCCACATGACCAGCAGGGGAAAATGATGCTGCTCTCTTTTGCTATCTGAACTGGCTTTTCACAACAGCCTCACATGCCTGGTGTAATGCCGGCTCAGTTAAAACAAAAACACTATGTGGAGTTGAAAATGTCATCCTGGAGTTTACTGGAGATTAATTATAGTGATTTCTATTCTTTGAAACCAACAGGCCTCCAGAGCTGGAGCTGAAAAATGCCAAAGGTTTGTCAAACGAAAACCTCCAGAACCTGCAGAGTGAACTCACCAAGCTGGCAGCAGTACGCTGTGGAGAGGTGAGAACAAACACACACACACACACACACACACACACACACACACACACACACACACACACACACACAAACTTATGTACACAGACTATCTAATCTTACTAACCTGTCTCCCTAGGTGATGATTTACGAGCTAGCAGACCACATCCAGGGCTTCCTGAGCGAACACAACAAACCTCCACCTCGCTCCTTCCATGAGGAGATGCTGAAGAACCAGCGAAGGCAGCAGGAGAAACGAGACCAGGAGGAGCAGCTGAAGATGGACCAGAGACGCAAGCAGGAAGAGGAGACTGTGAGGAAGAGTTTAAATTCTGTTTTCATACCAGAATGAAAAGCTTTTCACTTTCACATGTCCTTGAATAACTGAACTCCTAACAGCTGACAGACATGATGGTTGACTGTTTTTTTTTATTCTTGTAGGAAAAAGAGATCATGGCTGAAATCCAAAGACGAGAGGAGGAGAAACGAGAGGAGAAGAGAAGAAAGGAGATAGCCAAACAGGTGTTGATGCTGCCCTGCGAATCCTAAAGAAGACCTCAGTTTGTGTTTGTTATTAAACTTGTGGTGCTGGTGTTTTATTCACAGGAGCGCCTTGAAAGCATAGAGCAGTCAGCCTCTGCTAGTCCCACTTTATTGGGGAAGAGCCCGCCCAGTCCGGGTGGAGCTCCTGAGCTGACCGAAACCAGGAAAATGGTCGGAAACCGCCGCAGGACTACCTCGAATTCCCGCCACAGGTACACATCGTGCCATCCCAGGAAAAAGCGTCTTTTGTCAAAAACACATTGTGGTAAATGTTTGCACTTTTTCAGGCGTGAAACTGTAAACGAAGATCAGCGCCCACAGGAGCTTCTTCACTTCAACAGCAGCACTTTTGGAGAGCTCATTGTGCACAGGGGGAAAAGTTTGGGTGAGAATAAAATGAATAAAATAAAACTCAAATCAGATGTTTAAGTCCTCAATAATAATCGAACAGGTTTTCAACTGCATTTCTGATGATGATAGGGGAGAGCGAAAGGCTTCGACGTAATGTTTATTATGGATTCGAGGCAAACTCTGGAGATTTTGCTGTGATCTATGAGTGGGCGCTGCGTTGGAACAAAAAGATGGGCAAGTTCTTCACCAGCCAAGAGAAGGGAAAGATTGAGAGCTGCAAAAAGCAGGCAAGTAAAGAAGGAAGCGGTTAATGTCATTGAGAATGTAGCTGTGAAATAATTGTCTATTTCTACAAGAGGGGAAATCTGAGAAAAACTCCTGAAACAGATCACAAATTACTATCTTCACGTGACTTCTTGTGTAGATCCACGCTGCAGAGAATGAGTTCAACTCCCTCCTACGGCTTGATCATCCAAACTTGGTGCAATATATGGCACTGAGCTCTACAGAAAAGGAGGACTGCCTGGCGGTAAACATGCTGGTGGAGCACGTGGCCGGCACCAACTTGAACCAAAGCCTGATCTCTCAAAGCCCTGTCCCCCTGGATAAACTGAGCCATTACACATCCCAGCTGCTGGCTGCCCTCGACTACCTTCACTCCAACTCAGTGGTCCACAAACATCTGGGTCCCTCCAGCGTGCTGCTGGACTCTGAGGGAAACGTGCGACTGACGGATTACAGCCTATCAAGGAGGTTTGCTGATATCTGCAAAGAAGACATTTTTGAACAGGCTCATGTGCGTTTCTCAGAGGAGACAGCGATGCCGACCAAGATGGGGAAGAAAGGAGACATATGGAACTTGGGGCTGATGCTGCTGGCTCTGAGTCAGGGGAAGGAGGTGAGGGAGTATCCAGTCACAGTGCCCACAAGCCTGCCTGCTGACTTCCAGGACTTCCTCCACAAGTATGTATGAATTCATCCCTTCGTGCCTTACTAGCCCAACAGTTACCCTTAAATCATGTTATGTATATTTTACACAGGAGCTAATCATTTTCTAAACATCCCTGCAGTCTAATATCTAATTCTTCTCAGTCATGCTTTTATTATCCATGTCTATCGTTTTCCTCTCTCATTGACTTAATGTTGATCAGTAAGACATTAAAAAAACATTCAGCCCTGTGAATTATTGTGTTCCAGAGATAATCGCAAAGTCCAGAGGAAGCTGTAATTCACGGCATGTTTCTTTGTCACAGGTGCGTATGCCTGGTTGATGCTGAACGCTGGACACCACAGCAGCTTTTGGAACACTCCTTCCTCAAACCTCCTTCACCTAAAAACCTGCCACAATACCAGGAGGCCAGCCCAGAAGGTGAGAAACATGTGAATAAAGTGAGTGAGAAGATGCAAATCTGAAAACATATCTATCTCTATTCCGATGTCTCTTTTTGTTCAGTTGTTAATATTAAATGTATACCCTGCATTTCGATGAAGAAGCTCCGAGTTGATTTTATTCAATGTTTTTCTCTCTGCAGATCTGCCTGAAGACTTTCCATCCTCAGTCATCCCACACAGTCACATCCTCAATGCCCCCTTTAGCTCTGGGGTGCAGAGGCAGTTTTCTCGTTACTTCAATGAGTTCGAGGAGCTTCAAATGCTTGGAAAAGGAGCCTTTGGTGCTGTGATTAAGGTAAAATCTTACCTTTTAGCTGTTATCAAAGCCAGCTGTGATTTCTATGTGTCTTGTATGTCTTTTCTACTTTTCCTCTCTTGCACCTCCAGGTTCAGAATAAACTCGACGGTTGTAACTACGCTGTGAAACGCATCCAGGTCAACCCCACCAGTAAGCAGTTCAGGCGCATCAAAGGTGAGGTGACACTGCTCTCCCGCCTCAATCATGAGAACATCGTCCGCTACTACAATGCGTGGATTGAGCGGCATGAGACGCCCTCAGGAGGGGTCTTGAGCAGCTCGGACAGCTCTGAGCAGTGGAGCCCCGCCCACAAACCTCCCCAGGCTAAACAGCGTCAGCCGCTTCTCAACGAGCTCGGCATGCCCGATGACGTCGAGGACATTGCCCCGCCTCCTGCTTTATCAAGCTCTGTGGAGTGGTCCACTTCTATCGAGAGATCCTCCAGCGCCAAATGTAGCGGACACCAATCAAGTGACGAAGAGGAGGATGATGATGATGAGGAGGATGTGTTTGGGGCCTCATTTTTGTATGTTTTTCTTTCATTTTTTGTGGTGTTAAGTCTAAGGAGACTCTCTTCTCATAAACCTGTCCACATGACTTTTTTTTAGGAGGCCATCAGACAGTGATTCAAGGAGTGACATTATCTTTGACAATGGTGACGAAAGCCTGGATGAGATTTCACAGGTTTGTACATTCATTTGTCATGACCTTATCACTCTTTTCCTGAAAGTCAGTCAAACCGTGTGTTTCTTCTCACAGGTTGAGCCAAGCAAAAGAGCCACAACTGAAACAGAGACCACCGACTCCGATCGACCGATGCTCATCGCACATTACCTGTACATACAAGTAAGCCCCACACGTGCGTGTCCGCTTTTGACAACTAGAGGTCTCTGTTGTACATCTAATACGTGTCCTCTCTTTCTGACAGATGGAATACTGTGAAAAAAGCACTTTGAGAGACACCATAGATCAAGGCCTGCACCAGGATCAAAATCGGTTGTGGAGGCTTTTCAGGGAAATACTGGACGGGCTCGCTTACATCCATGAACAGGTGTTGACTCTATTTTATATAATGATGTCAAGCCACTCAACATAGTTAAAGAAAGTTCAGTGACTGTTATTTATCCTAATGTCAACCCTTTTCATTCCTCCTCCACGCTGGTTTTCTGGTGTATTTGCAGGAGTGACATTTGTCATAAGAGCTGTCAATCATGGCTTTGTTTAGTGCATCAAAACTCAACTTCTCAGAGATGAACTATGGGAACTTCATCATTATAATAAGTTCTCATCAAACTGATTTGTGCTAGAGACCTTTTTTCTTTTTTAAAGGTGTATTTTTAGTCTTACCTTTAACCTATCTTGAGGGTGCACCAAGTGTTTTAACTTCCCTTAAAGGATGCTGTCATTTTGTCAGTCTGTTTACACATTAGTCTTTTTAATCCCCAGTAAATGAGCCCCACTAATAGCAAGAATCACAATTGGGCATCCAGTCACTTTCCTACTGATTGAAACTTAAAGGGACTGTTTGTCTTTTTTGAAGTGGGTTGTATGAGGTCCTTGCTAATAGTAATCAGAAAGTGTAACATCCACAATAGATGCAAGTTTGCGCCCCATTTGGAAAATTTTCTGTGCTTTACTTTTCCATTTATTTTATTCTTGATCATGATTGTATATGAGCTAGCTCAGCCTGTGTTAATCAGTATACTAATTTGAATTTTGAAATGATTGTGTTTCAGTGTCACAAAATTATGCACCAAATTCTTAAGATTATCATGCCTAAAAGGTAATGGTTGTGGGGGTTGTCATCTTAGCTCAGTCTCCCAATAGCTAAATCAATGTAAACATATCTTGTAGACCATGACTTGTGTCATCATGCATAAAAACAAAATATATAATAATAATAAACAAAAAATAGTGTGAGCCAAACACTAAGTTTGAAGATGCAGTTCCATTTGGATTTTCTAATTTTTCTAATTGAACTACGGACAAATGGAATAACGCTGGTAAAACCACGGCATTGGTACTGCAGGACACTGTGGTTAGTGAGCAATGCAGACTGCAGCCACATGTGATCATCTGGTATCTTCTGGTCTGTAAGGAACTGAAATGCTGTTCCATGTGAGACAGAAGTAGTTGTCTTGGTTCATGAGCATGGACCTGCAGTGTACACATCTGTACCACAAGGTAACTTGGGATCTCTCCCACTCTGGTGTTTTTTTACAGAAGTTTTCCCCTCTCTCCCTTGGTCTGTTGACTCTTGTGCTTCCTCTGTAAATCTAGACTCACAAAGTCTGCTATAACGTCACTATAACTCACTTTTTAGTTTGGTTGTATTTCTATCACTTTGAAGCCTGCAGAGCCAAACAGCTGGCCAGTATGCGGCCAGTGGAAGTGCATGTAATAAATGTGCTCTCCAAACAGAGTATACACTTACATCAAAAATAGCTTTTCTTCTGGTTCTCTGGTCTTTTTCTCAACAAAGGGACTAAGTTGAGCAGGACCCCTGTTGCCACTTTGCTTACCATTGACGAGTACCTCATACTGCCTCACTTAAAAAAAAAGAAAAGAGCCATCCTATAAAGCAAAGTTTTCGGTTGTCCATCCCCAACCAGCTAACCTCTTCCATATTTCTTTCATGCAGGGCATGATTCACAGGGATCTGAAGCCTGTCAACATTTTCCTTGACTCACAAGACCATGTGAAGATTGGAGACTTCGGCCTGGCGACAGACCATCCTGCTAATGTGGTATGTGGTTAACACCCTGACCCTGCTGAGGGTCTGTACAGGGATTTACTGTGAAGGGCTTCCTGTGACTTATTCATGCTGCATCTCAGTGTTAAGCTGACTTAGTTAAAGGTATATGTGATGATGGCTTTCAGGCTGCAGGAAAATTCGAAGTGGAGGAGAGCGGGTCAGCAGTGATGCCCAAATCAGACCCAACAGGTGCAGAAGGTTTAAAAAGATCCTCATGTTCTTAATCTCTTTTTCTTCTTCTATTGTAATTATTTTATACTTGTATGTCCCTGAAATTATACGTTTTGTTATTATTCTACAGGTAACATGACGGGCATGGTTGGCACTGCCCTCTATGTAAGTCCTGAGGTTCAAGGAAACACCAAAGCCACCTATAACCAAGTAAGACTTCAGTATTTTACGAACATATAATCAGATTAGGAAAGTTTTTGACTGAGAAAAAAGACCCTGGATCATACCCTGGAGCCACAATTCTTTGGGTCAATTGTGATAAAAGTGTTTCTGATCATCATCGTTAAATAATTTAAAGTGTAATTGTATTGTTTTATATAGTATAAATAACTTAATTGTTTGCCAAGATGAGAATGAAGTGTTATTTGTGCTGTTTGATGACGTGATCACATTCAGTCTGACTTCTAAGTGTTCTTTTGCTTTTTCTCCTCAGAAAGTTGATCTGTTCAGCCTGGGAATCATCCTGTTTGAGATGTCCTTCCGGCCCATGACCACGGGATCTGAGCGCATTTCTGTCCTAAGCCAGCTACGTATGGTGCGTTCAAGTCCAGCTCTGCTCTTTTGAGCTTTAAACCTGTCGTCTTTACTCATTTTAGTTTCTCTGCAGGAGCCCACTGTCTTCCCTGAAGACTATAATGAATATCAGCAAGGGACACAGGTGAGAGACTTTTTAAGGGAAAAAGATAAATAAAAAAAGTTCTGTACTGCATCTATCAATCAAACATCTCTTTGTGTTCCCTCTGTCCACCTGCCAGAGAAAGGCGATCCAGTGGCTGTTGAACCACGACCCAGCATTGCGTCCCACTGCTCAGGAACTCCTGAAAAGCGAACTGCTGCCTCCACCACAGCTGGAGGAGTCGGAGCTGCATGAGGTGCTGCAGCACACCATGGCCAATGTCAATGGCAAAGCGTACCGCACCATGGTGGGCCAGCTGTTTGCTCAGAATACATCTCCTGTCATGGATTACACCTACGACATTGACCTGCACAAGGTGTGAATACTGCTTGAAACTGTTGCTATCTATCTAGGTATCAAAGGTTTATTGAGAATTACAGTCTGTTGATTGTTGGTACAAAACTTAAGAAAATGTTTAGGCTATGATAAGACGATTACAGACATATTGTAAACATTTCCTGTATGAAACAATGGTGTAAACCTTTATTTTCATTCAAATAATGCAAGCTAATGTGTCTGTTATGTTGATTTATTTTTATGCTTGAGTGATTTATTACTTTTGTTAATTTATCTGAAATACTATAGAGGGCTCAATATGTCCCGGGGTCATAGGTGAATGGACTGTACAGTAGATGTAAAGTCATGCCAGTAGTTCTTCACCCTGCCTGAGGGTGTCACTGCAGGCGTCTCAATAGCTGCGCTGACCTCTCCAAGCTGCTTCACTCATCTGGTCTGAGTGAGAGCCCAGCAGGAGGCCTGTGAGTTCTTAATCGATGTCTCCTGATCCCTCACAGAGGCTGTTTGTTTGCTCTCCCTGCAGGGCAGCTTCAGCTTCAACAACGCCAAATTGCAGCAGTATGTGCATGAAACAATCACCAGGATCTTCAAGAAGCACGGTGAGAACATGATGCTTGTCTGGTGCGTGTGAGCGTGAGCCTTTGTTGACTCTTCGAACCATTTGGACTCCTGACCCGCTGGAAGCCTCGGTTTTTCGGGACCCCAACATCTGCTCCAGTGAGCGGCAGCTAAACAATAAGCACACTGTTTGGCAGTGCAGATTCTGTGCAGGTGGTGGGGCTATTTTTGTGCACGCTGCTGCTGATGTCCAGCTGGTCTTGTTTGTTTATGCTCAGTGTGTATCTGCTCACACGCATCAGCTTTTTGAAGGTGAAGGTTATGTTATCTTATGCAGATGTAGCAGCAGTGCATGGTGTTTGTTTTCAGGTGCGGTGCGTCTCCAGACACCGCTGCTCCTCCCCAGGAACAGAAAGCTGTATGATGGCTGCGAGCCGGCCTCCTTCATGGACCACAGTGGAATGCTGGTTACACTGCCCTATGACCTTCGCGTGAGCCCGACACACAAACACACACAACGCACACACAGACACAGGTGTGCAGGTATGAACTTGCACACCAACACTAATTACACAACTATTTGCATCAGCACATGCAAACACACACATCGTGTGAGGGTGCAATCAGCAGCCCTCTTCAGATCCTGCTACCTCAGGAAACCCTGAGGTCTAAATGGTTGTTTCCACACTGTGATTGATTACAGCCTGGTATGCACTGACTTCACTGTCATTACTCTAGCGCGACTAAACCAACCCACCTCTCCTCTTTTTACTGAAGATGGCGTTTGCAAGATTCATCGCTCGCAATAACATAACACATCTGAAGAGGTAAATAAGTGAAGCGATTATATCCTTTACGGCCTCAATTGTTTATCAAAACTGTCTTTCAAACTTCACAGCAAAGCTGTTCGATGAGTTGTATTTTACTGGTATCTTTATTTTTTTTTTTCCTCAACAATATTTGTATTAGTTTCATACAGATTAATACAGGACAGTGAGCTCAAGGAAACATTAATCACAAACACCTCCTTTCCCTCAAGACCCTGTCCACTGCTGGATATTCACATTACTGTGCTTAAATAACAAATTCTGGAGTTGATAAAAAAAAAAAAAAAAGTAAGTGCTGGAATTTGGGTTTTATAGACCCTGAAATATAAAACAATGACAAATAAAAAAGTATAGAGAAAATAAGTTAAATGAACTAATGTATGATAAGAGAAATACAAAGGTACACAAGTCGCTGAGAGCTCAAAAAGTCCATAAAAGAGATAAGAATTTAAATTGTATGATTGTAAAACATCACAGATATATATTTAAAAAAAGAAAACAACCAGGTGAGGAGAGTGCTGATTCAAAATGATGAGAGTTTCTGAATGTGGTCCAGAAAAGGTCCTAAAACCTTTATGAATTTTTCATCTACTGGTATCTTTTAATCAATCAATCAATCAATCAATTTAACAATATTGGATGTTGAAATGTTGATACAGATAAATATTCATGATCTTCCTATCATTTGAAATTTATGCAGTTTTATCTTGTCACATATTCAAAATATTTGGTGCTCCATTAAATGAAATATATGACAATGTAGACCCCAAACTGTTACTGTTTTGAAAACCTGTTGCTGTTCAAACGTTAAGTATTTAAAGGAGGTAAAGAGTTACAGATATTTTTATTGTTTTTATGAAAGAAGAGAAAATTGATATGTCATCATTTACATTAGAGTATAAATGATGGGCAAACTTACAAATTCAGCTTTTTGTGGGAAATAATTGGGAAAAGGATTCACAGCTGTTATTGAATCCCAAACTGTAAAGCAGTTTTTTATAATTAACTGTAACATATTTTTTCATTCAGATCGACAATAAGGAAAGTGAATGTTATTTAATAATGATAAAGTGATTATATTTATGTTTCCCTTCATATCTACCAAATCACTGAAGGATATTGTTGTTCTTACAATATAATATTAATCTTCATTACCCTCAAGGCCAAACAGTATCAGCTTTTTTATTGGTAGGCTTGGCGTTTCAATGAAATGGGACAGCTCTCGCTCAGAATTTCCCACAGGTAATTTATTCTTGCTTCTTTCCTTCGACTGTTATTGTATTTTTCTCTCTCTTTTTTTTTTTTTCCCTAAAGGTACAGCATCGAACGCGTGTTCCGGCCCAGGAAGCTGGATCGAGCTCACCCACGTGAACTTGTGGAGTGCGCCTTTGACATCATCACGCCCGTCACTAACAGCCTCCTTCCAGACGCTGAGACTATTTACACCATCTCTGAAATAGTCCAGGAATTCCCTGCACTTCAGGTTACTTCCATAAACCGCTTGTGTTACACGCATATAATCCAATGAGTTTGCTCAGCGCCACATTGTTTTGATTCACATTCCTCCCCCGCCGTCTTTGTTGATGCATCATTGTTCTTTTTCCTGCGGAAGCCGTCATCCCAACCTGTCCTGTTTTTGTTTTTTCCTTTTTTTTCCTTTCCACTCACATTCCCTGCGTACCAAAGTATGCATAATCCTGACAGATTTACACCGGATTTATTATTTACATTGTAAATCTGTTTTGTCCACTTCCTTCCATGCCTCCCAGTACAGTCCATTTCCTGTCTACATATCCCGGTGCTGTGTCTGTCTCCAGCCGCAGCTCCTCTGCATGCTTCATGAACTCACTCAACCTGGGACCTGACCTCTTCTCACATCCTTTTAAAGATAATTTCCCTGATCCTCGTGCAGCCTGTGTGGAAGCTTTTAAGTATACGAGAGTCAGAGAGAATGAGAGGGCAGCCCCGACACATTGGTCATTATTCACTGAGGGGCTCATTGTACAGTAGGCTCTCTGTTTTCTTCTGTAATTGCAGCTGAGGGGGTTAAAGGTGTCACTGTGTGTGTTTTTGTGACCGCAGGAAAGGAACTATAACATTTACCTGAACCACACCAGCTTATTGAAGGCCATCCTTCTCCACAGCGGAGTCCCCGAGGACAAACTCAGCCAGGCCTCCAACATACTCTGTGATGCTATGGTCAGTGCAGGTCACACGTGCTGCACAGATGTTATCCACATTGCGTGTCTGTTGCTAATATCCTGGCATAAACATATAACACAGACTCATTCCGAAATATAGCACTGGGAGGCTTTCTTTAACTTCAATCGATTCTCTTGCTGCAGAGTGAAAAGCTGACCAAACGTGAGGTGGAGGCGAAGTTCTGCAACTTTTCCCTCTCGACCAACAGTGTAAGTGTCCAATAAGCACTCTGTAGAAATAACCAGTCCTGCAGCAGCTCGTTTCATTCTTGCACATAAACACTGAGATCTCTCCACTTCCCTGCTGCGTCCAGTTGCATGTGCTGTACAAGTACATAGAACAGAAGGGGGACCTGCAGGACCTGGTGCCTCTGCTGACGTCTCTTACCAAACAGAAGACCGCCGTCACCCAATTGGCTAAGCAGGGCCTCAAGGACCTGGAGGAGCTCACCGTGCTGCTGCGGAGACTTGGAGTGAAACTGCAGGTAATGTGGATTCTGGTGAATGATGAAAAAAAAACCTATCATACCTTATTGGCAGGAGGTAAAGAAGATAATGGAAAAAATGTTGAAAGTGCGACTTCCACTGACATTTGAAGTTTTATATTTGGGATAAGAGAACCAGGAGATAACAAGGTCAGGAGAAATATATATATTTCGAGTAATGTTGGTGGTGGCTAAAAAGGCCATTACGAGAAATTGGCTAAAAACAGATGCACCAGAAACAGTGGATTGGGTAGAAGTAATGATCGATATATATAGAACGGAGAAGCAGACTTTCTCATTTAGACTAAAAACAGTGACTTTCAAAAATTACTGGAAAAACTGGGTTGATTTTGTGCCTCAATTGAGAGCAGACTTTGTGCAGTAAGGACATTGCGTATTGTAGATTACTGATCCCCTTAGTTCAGGCTACAAACTTGTTCATTGTTCATATGTTTATTATGTTTACCCTCCAACAGGGGAAAAGGGACAATGCAAGAGAGGTGTGAAAAAAGGAGTGAAAAGTGTTTCATTTTACTACACAGTTATTCTACTCTAACTTTACTTAAGAAATGTATGTCTAACTGTCTCTGCTCTGTGGTGTAGAAGTATGCAAATATTCAACACAGTTGGAAATCTGTTCAATATATGTAGAATGTTGATGGAATACTGATATGTGAAATCAATAAAAAATAAAATAAAAAAAAGACTATCATTATGTTTTGTCCCTTTTTAACGCAATGATGCCTCTCTTTAGGTGGTGATCAACTTGGGCTTAGTGTACAAGGTGCAGCATCACTCCGGGGTCATCTTCCAGTTTGTGGCTTTCATCAGGAAACGCAAGCGAACTGTTCCAGATATCGTGGCTGCTGGAGGACGCTACGATCACCTGGTGGGTTTTAGGACCATGGGATCATCTTACAATAGTCCGCAGCTATTCTTTTGAAAAGTAGCCAAAAGCTTTCATTTCACACATGCATGTACATGAGCTACACTCTTCCAAATATATCACAGCTCTCCAGTCTGAATTTCATTTATGCCACACTATGCAGTGTCAGTGATTTTCTCCACCTGCTGTCTTTATGTGCTCTCCTCTCGGCGCTGCTAGATCCTGGAGTTTCGAGGACCAGCTTCCACAGTGCCAGTGCCCTCCGCAGTGGGAGCCAGTGTGGCCCTGGACAAAGTCTGCGCCGCTATGGCCGGCATGGAGGAACCAGTGAGAGAAACAGGCACCCACACACACTCACACCTAGACCTAGACACTGGGATCTGACATTCCTAATTATTATAATGGAGGAGCAGCAGACAGAGCTTCATATTTAATGATGCCTTATTGCAGCAGTCGGCCGCCGCACAGCCACTTTTAGAAACATGTTAATAACTATGATCAGTGTGATTCTTGACGCTGCTGAGTTATTTTTGGAGGTCTATCATTTCATGGATTTCGTATTGAGAATGTGAAACGATGTGCCACGAAAAACTGCAGGTCTGAGCAGGGAGAAGAGCATTAAATAACACTTTTCTCACCAACCAGTTTTTAAACAACCTGCCTATTAATGTGCTCCACACAGGGAGAGAGAGAGAGCGAGAGACAACTGCCAGGTCTCTGAAACTGTGTTTGTTTTCTGTTTTAGCCATCAGTAAGCTCCTGTGACGCTCTGGTGGTCCCAGTGGGACACTCCTCAATGTCCAGAGCCATCAATGTTGTTCAAAAGCTGTGGAGTGCCGGTGTCTCCTCAGACATTGCCTACGATGTCTCACAGGTAAGTGTCCTCACTGAAGGGAAGTTTTTTTGGTTTAAACGTGCACTGTGGATTTTTCTCATAGCCTATGTCAATCACTGAATTTGATTCGATACAACACTTAATAATACTAACAAATAAAAAAACAATGACTTAACTGAAGTGAACAGTAGATGTAGAAAAAATAATATTTGGCTCATTAAAATATTGTCACAAAGGACTTTGGATTTCTGTCCAGCTACCTGAAATTGTTTAGAAACAGGATTCCTACGCAAGTATGGAAAGTATGGAAAAATACGGAAATAAATTTGATCAATTTCCAGGTCATAGAAAGTATGGAAAATGAAAAATATGTATGGAAAAATATTCATGTTTCCAGACTATTATCCCGGTTCTAAAATACTGTTTTCTAAAATAGAAAAGTAGTTATTTCCAAAAATAATTTTAAAAAGTAAGGTAATGAAAAGTATGAAAATTTCAACTGTATAGGAACCCTATAGAAAGAAAAATATTTTAGGTTAGAATAAAAAAGGAAAGCCATGTAAAGATTCATTGTCCCTTGCACATTATAATCTAATAAGCATGAACACTTTTAATCCATCAAATGTGGGATGTGCTGGACAACCAAGTCTGATCGACGAAGGTCCCATCATGCATCTTGCAGGACTTACAGGACCTTGTCTAGTTGTCGGTTGATACCACAGCACACTTCCAGAGGTCTAGTAAGGTCCATGTCTCCTCAGGTCAGGGCACTGCTGTATCTTCATCTCTGAAGTTCATCATGAGGACCAGATGTGCTTTAAAGGCTTTTAGCTTCCAGGTCTTTGATGCAAATCCAAGGAAAATATCTGCTCTTTTTGGCCAAAATAAGGTGCTGCATTGCTGTCAGAGAAAGAAACATGGATAACATCACAGCACAGATAATCAACTATACAATAAAGTGAAGTTCACAAATATTACAAAATCTCTTAAAGTCAGAGCCATGAAGGCCAAGGTCTAATTATATCTGAGCCAAAGGAAGTAGAGTCTATTTCTCAGTAAGTAGCTTCCGGACACGCTCGAAAAGGAAAGTGCCCAGGGGTCGTACAAAAAGCAGTAACATACAAGAGAGGAGACTTCATGGAGGTTGAATCCGGTAGCTTGAAATTATTCAGATGAGCGCCTGAGTATTATGCATGTTGAAACTCATCAACATATCTGACATATTAGATCTCTAAGAACTGTTTCTCTGTCCTCCCTGCTCTGCACTATCCTCTCTACAGAGGGCAACACCAAACTTCCGTTTTTGAGGACCCCCCATCTGTCAGCAGCAGACTTATCAAGACAGCATCAGAAATAGTAAACATCTCAGAGAATGAGCCGCACACTGCGGTTTCATTAGAAACAGGCTTACAGGCCATGTTGGGACAACATGCCATGGAGTTCTGGCAGTAATTGACTCTGTTGTCTGTTAGATGAGTTTTCAGTTTAGTGCCCAATAAGTTTTTGTTGTGGAAATTTTAAATTGGGGTTGTAGGACAGCCAAGTAAGACCCGTGTCTTCAAAGTGAAGTCATTATCTTGTGGTCCAAACCTCCTGATGCCATGTCCCTGTCACATTCTTCATGTTTACGTGACAATCTCATCTCAGCCTTGTGTTTTTGTTAACGCCCTCCTTGGCACATTTAAACACTTCTCCTGGTTTTACCCTTTTACCCTTTATAACCTATTGTTTAATCTTTCCTCTCCTGCACTGCATTAATGTTTTGTCTTATTGTCTTTTGTACTGGCACAGGCCATAAGCGATTGGCCACCTTCATTTCCCCTCGAGTTCTTTGAAGCAATTAGGAAAGGTTGGGTTTGGCTGAAAACAAGCAGCGCAATGTCCAGATATTCAGCTCTGTTTGTGTGTGTCTTTGTTGATTACGTATGCAAGTGGTGCCTGGCTCTGTGGTGAGATGCTGAGAACACCTTGTTCAAACCTTCTCACCCAGTTCCCCCCTCCCTGCTTAACTTTTGTTAACACCTTTCACATACTGGCCTTTTAACGAGCCGAATCTGGAGCTCTAATTCAACCTCAAGGAGACGGTTCCACTCTTTTAGCTTTTACTAGCCAAATATGGCAAACCCCTTCCACATGCCGTCAGCGCCAATCGGCCTCCAGGGAACGGCTTACCTTTGACTTAATTTGTTCTGTCATTGAGAAAGTTGTGAGAAAAGAGCCGTTTTAGAGCCGACGCACAAACCTCAACTAAAAAGGGTTTGTTTTCTGCCATCATTAGCTTGCCCAGAGCAGCCAGATAAGAGTTTATTAGAATTAAATTGACGTAAACAGGCAGACTCTAACAAATACACGCATGCATGTTGTCAGGGAGTTCCTCTCATTCTGGTCAACTGTGAGTGGACTTGCACTCGTACTAGTACTTGTCCAGGTCTTTCCCACCACTTGTCACATCCACCCTGTCATGCACTGATTATAGAGGATGCTCCTGTAGTGGACCAACATTCGATATTAGCTAATTCCAGTGAACTTGAAGGTCTTGACCAAGGATACCTAAGTACAGACTCTTTCATATCATGGAAAAGTTTCTTCATTTCCATAATTTCATTTAAAAAGTCAAACTTTCATAGATTATAGATTCAGAGCCCACAATTTAAACGATTTCAAGTATCTATTTGTTTATTTTTACATAATTTGGGCTTCCAGCTCATAAAACCCACGAAAACAGGAAATACCTTGAAAAAATCACTATTTACCAAGTTAAGTTTTTGCAGAGGAAAAAGAAAGAAATTAGGATCACATCAAATCAATCAAAATATGGTACTTTCAAAACAATATGTCAGTCTTCAATACTTGGTTGGGAATCCCTTTGCCTTAATCATTGCCTCGATGCGCAGTGGCCAGATTTCCTTTCAGCTCTTCTTTGTTTTTGGGTCTGGTGTCCCTCATTTTCCTCTTGATAATACCCCACAGATTATTATAGACTTTTCAATGCTATTCCAGTTTTTTGTGAAGGGTCTGTATGTGACTGCAGGAGCTTGAATAGGACCACCAACCTTCTGATTATGAGACAATTGAGCCGATTGAGACACAGCCGCCCTTGCTTAAGCCAAACTTCACTGACGCTGACTCACTACTATAGAAGGATTTTTGAGGTCATTGTTACATCACTTTTTCACATTTTACAACCTTATTTGCTTTTGCCAAGTGGTATCTCAACCGTGTCCATTCCTTTTACTTTCAGCAGCCACATCAGCCTCAGTGAGAGCGGGGCAGCCGTAATTCATTAAGTATAAAAGCCCTGTAATGTTCTTAAAGCTCACTCATTATTCTTTTAATGTTTGATGACAGAAAACACTCAAAACAGATGAAAATGCAGGAAGTTTCAGCAGTACATTTTCCCAGTAAACACCTCTGTAAACCTGACTAAACTGAAGCGATGCAGGCCTCCTGATTGGTGTCTGGAAGCCTCGGTGGTGACACATCATGACGAGTCATCAGCGACTAGCTCGGCCAGAAATTCTGCTGTGAATGGTCCCATTGTGTAGTTGTCAAAATGATTATTGTTAGATGAAGTTAATGGTACTTTAATGCAACCTTAAATCACCTATAAAATCTGTGCGTGTGAGTAATTCAGCCTTTTGTCATTTTGTGTGTGTGTGTTCAGTCCCAGGAGACGTTACTGGAGCACTGCAGGCTTGCTGGCATCAGCTGCATGGTCCTGGTCTCTGACAAGGAGGGAAACTATGTGAAGGTAAAGCAAACTCAAGAATAGAGCCTGATCAATATCTTTGAAATTTTTGCTGATAATTTCTTGTAATAGACTCACACACAGACTGCATGTAAAGATGTATCAGAATACACCAGAGGTTTTCATTGACTAACCCGGAGGTTCATGAGAATCATACAAGCGTTGTATGAAGCGGCACATGTGAAAGCCATTACATGTCCTCAGGTCAAATCCGTTGAGAAGGACAGGCAGTCTGAGAAACGAATCCCCGAGTCGGACTTAGCGGACCACATCATTCAGAAATGTCGGACCAAGTTCTTTGAGGACCGAAACATCAGGTAAACAAGTTAAGCCTTAATGTACAGCTCAGATGTGTGAATGATGTAAGAGGCTTGTTCTTATATAATGTCGTCCCTGTGCCCCTGCAGAGAAATCTCTGAAAGCATGTCTCTTCAGAACCCTAAAGGATCGCTCCTTAACACCACAGGTACTGTGTTCGTTCTGATTACCCCGGGCTGCTTCTGTAAACAGCTTAAACTGTATATTTGTGACCTTTAAGTCCAACTGCAGCTGGAAACAGTCACACCACTGTTTCTACACAGTCGTCCTTTGACTCCTCCAAAGTTCTCCACGCCATAAAAGTGTTGAATTATGAAACCCAATATTGGGAACTATGTGTGATCAGCAGCGTATGACTGATTCCAGTGTTGCCTTTCCATTTAACTCATTATAAACCAGAGTGGTGTACAATCAGTGGGACAGAAAATTAAGTGTTAAATCTCACACCGCTTCTGGCATGCTCAAACAGTTTGATTGAAATAAACACCTGCTAAAACACAAATTTCCCTTTAGTTTCATGTCATAAAGAGTACCTGATTATAGAAATATGAAAACGCTTCTTTTTTTCTGTCTCCAGGTTTGTCAGAACAGCACGGCAGCAGCAGCTCCATGAACATGAACGTTAATGTCATCAGCCCGGAAAAGGTTTCTGCCAGTTCCAGAAGGCGCTACGAGACCCAAGTTTGTGATGCATTAAACACACTCCCATAAACACTTACTCAAACACACACAGATGGAACATTTCACGTTTACCTGTGGGGAGCATTTGGCACAGGAACCATTTACCTTTCAGGTCGACCTGCTCGGATCGGCGTTTATTATTGTTATTATTATTGAAAGGAATGGTCCGGCTCTGCCAAAAATTCTTGTTGTAGTTATCGAAATGAGTTTCAAATGTTTTCCATTGGGACAGGACTGGACTGGGTATCCGGACTTGTTGTTTTAAACATTTCTGTTTAGCCCCAGAAGAACACCATGAAATACCTCGTTTGTGTAGAAAACAGGGAAACTATCAAAGTTCTGTTGGATATGAGGAGATTTGCAGAACTTGACATGTAGTTTTTGCCACACCTGGAATGATCAGCTAAGTTTTGCTTCAGTTTCAAACTCTGCATCCCTAAAAGATACTTGTTTGCTACAGATTGTCACATACCCACAAAAAAAACCTTCCTTCGTAGAAATCCTTCCTACGAGGTCTTGACTTTTGTTCGTTTACACAAACAATAAGCCTCTTCGCCCGCTTGGTCTAATGGTTATAGTCTTTTTTTGTGCCTCTGTTTTGATCTTTCAAGTATTACTCATAAGGCATTTAACTTCAGTAAATATAGCTACAGCTTGTTTGCTTATGTTTTTCCCCCTTGTTCATTTTTTATCATGGGAACAGCTTCTATTTTTCTTCCACCCTTAACTTGTTTCTCTTAAACTCTCTCTTTCAGATCCAAAACAAATTACAGAATCTCGGTAGCAATTTGCAAAACAAGAGCAATGACATTGAGGTCCTGGCGGTAAGTCATTTGTTTATTTATCCCTCCCAGTTCCAGCTCTCCCTCTTTTTCTCTGCCATCCCACCTTATCTCTTGAATTCATGTGTGAAATCACAGAGCGAGGGGAGGCCTTTTGATAGCTAAAACAGCAAACATCTTTCAGCGCAGCCCTTTTATAGCGATAAAATCCCCTGCTGGAGGTTGAGATGGCTGTGAATCTGTTCTCATTGCTACAGAACAATGAACACTAAACAGAGGGGAGCGCACATGTCTCTTCATGGGATGTAAATGGCTGCCATATTGAGTTTATTTGCGGTTTGCGTTGTAGATTCATGTCCAGATACTCTCGAAGTAAATCAACCCTGCTTGTCTTATTTATGAAGTCGCTATATATTCCAAATACATTTGTCATTCCTGTTGTGGTCTGGACTGCATCAGTGGAGTGAGAGTAAATACAAGTTATTGAAACACAACAGACGTAATCACCTTGATTCCGGTAAGCAGCGCAGGCCTGCAGGTCTTAGTTTCTGCTCGTAAGCCGCTTGCATGTCTGTCAGTCAGACTTTGACACAAAAACACTCATTTTCCAATTGAAACCTGAGGTGCTATTAGCTCTTTGCTGTAGAAAGGACATGGAGTGCTTTCAAGCTTCTGTAGAGAAATGTGAAAGCAGGATTATGGTTATTTGTGGTGGGGCGCATGTAGTGACAGCGCTGTTTCTGGTGTTAAATAATGATTTGGCAGATAGCTGATTCAGATACATGTTTTCCTTAATTTGGAGTTTGATGCTAGTTCTTTGTTTAACAGTTGGAAATTTTTAATAGTTACTGAATGAGAAGGCAAGATATACATAGATAGATGTCTGCAGATCTTCATTATCCTCATTTATTCTAGTTAGCCGAGGTTTATTTTAGTCACTAAGAAGGTCTGTGTTTTATTCATATTTTAGTTCTTACTTGTTTTATCCTCTTTTCATTTTTAGAACCCCCAGTGTTTCCTCTGAGGGAGCCCTCTGCACCGGGAGCGGTGGTCGGCTGCGGTTGCAGGGGCCTGCCATGGGGTTCCTGGTGGAGGGTGGTGTCTGCCACATCCCTCCACTGGCCCTGTGTCGTTGTCCTGTGGCTGTGGGTGGCTCTCTGCTCCTGGTGCTGACGGCTCCTCTGATGGCGCTTTCTTAACTGGTTCATCTGTACTTAGCCGTATCTGGGATAGTTTTTTGTTTTTAACTTGACTGTAAAGCACTTTGCATGACAATTTTTTGAAGGAAAAGTGCTGCATAAATAAAGTTTGATTTGATTTGATTTAATTTGTAGATAGCCTGATATTTGCTGCCCAACACTTAGCTGATACATCAGTGCTGCTCTGGTCATTTAGACAGTTATTTATTGAGCATTAGGTGCAACTGTTGATGTTTTTAGAAAACATTTATTTCCATATGACGATACAATTCTCCATTGTGTGTTTGTTTAACTCTACTTTGTTTTGTATCCCACAGGTGGACCTGCAGAAGGAAACGCTCGTCAACTTCCTGGCTCTTGAGGTACTGGCTTCATATTTGGAGTTAATAAAAGGTTACCTCTGAATAAAAGGTGGAAGGGCGGGGGAAAGTGGAAAGAATGGCCATGAGAGGTCAAGATCGCAGACAGGAAGAGGGGATCCCGTCTGCTTCCTTACAGTCTGATGAGGAGTGCAGTGAGGGAACACCCTGGCCTGAGTCTAACTCCCTTAACAAGGCTCACATGTATAACCCACACATGCTACAGTCAACAAAACGCATACTTAGGAGGTGTTAATATTCACATTCCAAACTCCTGAGCAAAGCTTCCACTATTAAAACTCAAAAGAGCACAAGTTTAAAGAAAGACCTTAATTATATTACACTAAGTAACATGGAGCTGAAAAAGACCCTAACACTGCTGTTATATAAGCAAAGGCTTCCACTCCATAAATGAACGGGCCACCTATACAGCACATGTGTCAAAGAAAACACGTTGAGCATATAAAACTCCTGACAATACACAGTGTGCAGAAGCAGGCGCGCAGGAAAGGCCTGTTTTAAATATGGCAAATTACCCCAAGTCTCAGAAGGAACCAGAGCCCTCTATAAGCCAATGCGGCTGTGTACCTTTGCAGGACTGCAACACTTGACATGTAAAAACATCCCCCAAGGCTGCGGCTGAAGAAGCTCATCCATTCTTCTAAATCACATCGACTTTCAAATTCTGAAGTCTGTAAACAAACATGAGGAGGAAAAACACACAACAAGGCGTGATGTTGGTCAGTCAGTAATCTTTATCCGTACCAGGCTTTGTTTCTATCTGCTACGCAACACTTTGCCACCTTGTTGTCCCTCTTATTGCTCCTTTAACCCTTTGCTTTTTCTTTTTCTTTCAGTTTGAGAGTGAAGAGCAGTTCAACAGCAGTGTGAAGACTCTGCTATCTCGCCTCCCAAAGCAGCGCTATCTGAAGTCTATCTGCGATGAGATCCATCATTTCAAAATCACAAAGAGGTGTGTCAGGTCCCTTTGGTTATATGTATTGGCTACTCCTTTATTGTGCAGCTATATTATTCTTTTACTCTTCTGCAGCTGGGCTACAAATATTGTTTCAAACCCCCGATTTCCCACGCTCTGCTTTGTCTTCAGCGTCAGATTGTTTTGTGGTTCCGTTTTTTTCTACTCAGATGTGAAGAAAAACAAGGAACTTAAGACGTATCGACTTTTTCCAAACAAGCAGTTTTGGACATCGTGTCTCAGCAGGAGCCTCTGTGGAGGATTAGCTAAAGACCTCTTAGCCTTTCTGCTCACTCACACACTTGAATCACCAAAGAGCTGCAAAGTGAGTTAAAACAGCAAGAGTTCGATTATTTTTTAAGCCTTTTATGCCTTTATGGATGGCATAAGACAGTGGATGGAGTTGGAAATTGGAAAGTGAGAGAGGGTGATGACATGCACTTAAGGACTGTGGGTCGAATTCGACCCCTGGTCACCCACTCTGGAGGCATTAGCCTGTGCATGGGGCGAGCAAATTAACCACAAGGCCAAGCAAGCAGCCTGAAAAGGCAAAAATAACACAGTAAAATAAAACATAAAAGTACTTCAGAGAACTGTAAAATGAATAAAAATAAGAACATATAAAACTTATAAAAGCACATAAATGCAGAAAAATTTAGTTATTAAGAAAATAGACGTACACAGCAAGACCAAGACCACAAAACGCACATGCTGGGTTAAAAGTTGAGCAATTAAACCAACTTTTGGGACTGGGTTTTTCAGGTGGTTAATAGGGGAAAAATTCCAAAGCTGGGGATTAATTTCTTCGAGGTTGTATAATTTAGGGGCTACTTCCATTCCTGATCTTCTAGACGGCAAAAGAGAACTGATTTAACAGACCATCAGGGGCAAAGAAGAGGTCAGAGATGAGCTGTGGTGCTTTTATAATAAAAGATTAAAAAAAGACAGTAAAGATAAAACCTTAAAACGAATCCTGAAATGTAGAAGGCCAAGATTTGGGTATTGTTTTGGCATGTACATGTGCCTGTTTCCAAAAGAGCAGCAGTATTTTGGATTTGTTTAGAGCATGCAGAGAGGTCCAGTTAATGCCAACATACAGTGAAATACGTTAGTTCAAATGAGATGAATTTAGATTTTGTACAAATAATAGGATGGACTTAATAAGAAAAACAGCTGGGTGGGGAAAAAAGATTTAATAACTGTTTGATGTTTATCAAATATTAAATCTCTTTAAAAGTTGGTAAACATGGGTTTTAAATGTTGTCACACAGGGGCTCGTGTCCATAACAGGGGTATCACAGATGCCACAAACACCCACATTTGTCTGTCGTCTGCTGCTTCTGTAAAGGTTTTAATGAGCTGAGTCGTGATATCTTTACAGATAGAGGAACAATTTCTGTGTCATTTTCACAAAGGTGGTAAGAGATGCCAAAACTTGCAAAATGCAAAAAAAATATATATATATATTCCGCAGAGTGAAGGCAAAAAAAAAAAAAGGTGGCCCAGTAATTGAACCAGTCAGCAAAATCTGGTGCAAAACAGTGGTGTACATTAAAGGCCTCCTCAAACAGCAGCAAAGCAGACTTCCTTTTATGGGCAGCTGCCACTCCAAAGCTCCAGCCGTGCACACACACACTCCAGGTGTAACAGTGACAGTCTGCTCCCTTCAAAGGGAGCTTTTAGACGGATAACTACTGCCTTACAGAACATCAAATCCGCAGCTGATCCCATTTCCTGAGGTGAAATCTGGAGATGGATTAGCCTTGTTTGGTCCTCTGATGTCTGTCCCGGAACACCATAGTTTGATTGACACTGAGGTTGCAGCACAGGGGAGGCGGGTCAGTTTCATCCATGACTCTGGTTGTTGTGATGCTGCGGTTAATATTCCCAAGATTTTCAGAAGAACGCTTCAAAGCTCAGTAATTCCTTAATGTTTCAACTCCCAGTGTTGTGACGCTTGTGAGAGTCCATTGAGAGCAATTCTGTGAGGGACAGATTTCATCTTTCATGAATGAGACGGCAACAAAAATCAATCAAAGCTTCTCTTTATGCCTTTCTATCCAACTCACCAGAGCATTTGGTTTTAATTTCCTGTTTCTGCTGCGAGTTTGATTTGCCATTTAGAGGAGAGAAAGTTTCAGCTGATAAATGAGCATCATGGAGGCAACAATGGGCATATTCAGCGTGTTTTTATTGTGTTTGTTTAGTAGTTTTCTTCATGTGTGGGGCTTGGGGAACTGAAGCCAGATGAGTGGGTTAAAGGGTCCATGCAGTCACCTGGCTACAACAAGCCCATAAACTGAACATAGCCTGAGGGCATCATCGTTTCTGAGCTTTCCTTACAGCAGAAACTTGCATGTGAAGCAAAACTGTGCGTACAACCTGTATCTTTTTAGCAGTGATTTTTTTATATTGCATAAGCTCATGCTAGCACTCTCAGTGACAATGCTAATATGTTAAAGTTTAGCGAACAAAGTTTAGAAATCATTCAGTGTTTAATGTCCCCTGAGCGTAACACTATATCTGATAATTGACCATGTACAATATTTGTTTTCATTCCTTCTTTATCCACAATGAGTGAGGACTTTTCCACACACTGAGGGCAAACTTTATTTTAACAGCGAGAAACTTCGAGGAGAACCAGACACATGTTGAGCAGCCGTCTGCTGTGAAGACCATCTGGAAGAGGAAAGAGGGAAGAGGTGGATGTAGTGAGAGACAGATGGATAGAGAAAGACAAACACAGCAAAAACAATGGCTCACTCAGACTGGTGGTTACAGTGCCAGTAATAATAGTAAAAAGAAGGAGTACTATTTGCAGAAAATGCAAATTAATAATTGAATTTTCTTGATATTTATGGCGGTTAAGGTCAACAGGCATCCTATTAACGTTAACACAGTTGTGCTCACCTTGTCAGTTTAAGAGATCCTTAAAACCCCTCAAGCTGAGTTTTCAGTGGTCTGTTTTTCACATGTCCCCATTGGAAGGCCTTCATGTGTACTTTTTTTTCTGGTGTAATGATCTTTGGAACCTCATAAGTGACAGATGTGTTTCCCCTTTTCAGGATGGCTGTGGTAGTCTTGTACAGCTACAAAGACGACTACTACAAGATCCTCCTCTAAAAACCAGGAGGGTTCCAACCAGCCTGGGAGATCTGCTGCTTTGCTTCAAGGCTCAGGACACTCCCAGGGACTATTTCCATCCTTGGACCACAGGAACAAGCTTGAGCACTGGCAGTTTGATACCTTTTTTATTTGATAAGGAGGAGAGCCTAAAGGACATGAGTGTTTGTGTTTTTTTTTTTTTTTTTACCATGTTGAATGGTAATTTGGTCTTTTGACCTAAACTCCATGACTTTCCAGTGTATTTGTAATTTTTCTTAAAGTTGGACTGGAAGTTCACTGGACTTAAATGCCTTAATAGCACTGTAGAGAACAAGAAAGCAAGGGCTTTTTAGTGAAGATTATGTGTCATAAATACAAATATTTTACATTTCTACTCAGCGAATGTGTAAATGGTAGAAATAAATGTTTTCCCAGCTGTGATTCTCTGCATTTTTATTTGTATACACATGATAGCGACACAGTACACAGATGGTTAAAAGTCTCAACTGTATGAGCTAATGTTTGTCCCTGTTGTAAGTCATACTTATAGATCCACTTTTTGCATGGTTGAGATAAAAGTTAGAAATGTTTTGGGAGTTTTAAATGTATCTCAAGTCAAACAGCCCCAGCTTTGATAGTCTGAAGGCTTTGTGCTGTGGTATTTGGTGTTTTCAAGGCCTGGGAAACTGACCCCAGTGTTTGCTTTATTGATCCTTCCGGCGAAGCTTCCTCACCTTGAAGTTTATGAGCGAGCTTTGACGAACAAGTCAAAACAACAGCATAGTCTGCATTGAGGATTATCCAGGTTTCCAGATCCGGCCTGCGTGTCTTCTTGGTGTGCTTCTGTGTTTTATTAGCCTCATTGGATGGTGGATGAGAGGTGTACTTGCTCTTCGCTCGTACTTAAACCTCAGAGGACCCCCTTTCCCTCCTCCCCCTACACCCCTTAGAAACAAAATACCACCACTAAACACATCTGCAAGTGCTACTGAGATAAGAGAACAACCATGGCAAGCACAAGAGAACGATCAGCTTTAAAGCAACTAAGAGAAAACAAATTCCCATTTGGTGCAGAACTCCAGAACCAGATGTGCAGGAGCCTGCAAATGTGCAAGTGAAGGAAAAACCACTAACAGATACCATCTTGGATGACATCAGTGCTCTTTGAAAGATGAAGTACTATCGGAGCAGACTGCTTTGGTTCACACATTTATTTTCAAAATACATGGAAATGTTACATTTCATCATCTAGGAAACATATTTACAAGGTTTGACACAGCCAAATAAATAAGGTGGTATAGAATAGAGCAGATAGAAACGGTAAATAGTCTACAATATACAGCAGCTTTGGCTACCAAAAGTTCATATTTCAGAAAAAAAAAAAAACTCAAACTATAGTATTAATAAATAAAGCTATGTGAAAAAATAAATAAGGTACTCTTCTGTCCTACTAATTTAAACTACTTTTTTACACAAAAAGAAGAACAAAGAACTGCTTAAGCTTTTACAGTCGCCTCTTCATTTTAAAGCACATAGTCATGATTCAAACAGACACAGATCTACTGAGTAAAACACTTCACTATAAATTGGTCTCCAACCAATTTTGGCATCAGAATGGTCTTTGTATTGAAAGAATTGGCAATAGTTTGAGAACTCTGATCCAAAACTTTTTTTTTTTTTTCGATTGAACCCACATTTTGTTACGTAACTCTTCTCACATTCAGATCTCACCCCTGCTGCTCGTATCACTGCAGAGCCTCTTCCTGCTTCAGCATGTTCACATCTCTGTGTGCCTAATATGCCTATCAAATTCCTGATTAGGGTCTTTCTCCCTCCAGGAATCCTGCAGGGTGCTTTCCAAACGGGCTCTTTAAAAAGTGCTATGTCTCTTTTACATGCTCTAAAGGTGGTATATGCACCATTATGTACAGTTACTATCCAGCTCCTGTAACACCCCTATGTTTCCTTATCCCATAGTTTTCTTGCATGAAGAGTGCAGAGAAACAATTTACGGTATGAAACTGTACAATAACTATGTTTCACTATCGAGTGGATATGTTGCTCTTCTTGATCTGGTATAGCAGTTTTGTGAGAACAAAACACCAAAAAAGAAAATGTATTAAGGCCAAAGAATTAAGGCTACTCAGGGAATGTGTCCACTCCAAAAGTATTTTTGCACTTGCCGTACAAAATCAATGTTGTTCAGAGTTTCCAGTACTCGGCATCCTCTATGCAAAACTCCCACTATTTTGATACTGTGTGCTCTCAGTTGAAAATAGTCTGGAGAACAACCACGCTTGTTGGTATCACTTCTCCATCACAAAATCAAGAAGAGGCAGAACTTCTGATGTTAACTTTGTCAACAGCAGAAGTAGAGGAAATGATCAAGCTTGTCTCTATGAGGGTATAATTTAGAGGTCCGGAGCTGCTGCTAAGGCCAGGATGATTCCTTTCTGTTATTTTTGAATTATTTATAAAACTTCCTCCAGAAAAAGCGAAACTCAACCGTAAAGCAATTTTAAATAGACAATCACAACCAAGGGCAGCAGAAGTGCCATAGAAGTATAACTTAAATAACCAAGCGATAGCAAGGGCTGAATAGAGGCACACTGATGTGGAGGTTGTTGCAACTGCCTGAGCAAAAATAAAATGCTTTTAGTGGACACAGGCCCTTTTATCGAATCATTACTCACCATTTTTAACATTCACTGTGAACAGTAGCTCCATACACACACACACACGCACACATACACACACGCACACACATCTGAATGAAGCTCTGAAGTGAGGCATGGTACAAAGACACTCTCCAACAGTCCAGATGAAGCCTCTGGCGTTATTTTCTCTCCTCTGCATTCAACCAAACAACGTTCTCCCAGGATCCACATCACTCTGCTTTGACTCCGCTCTGTGATTTTCAAAATGATGAAGCACAGCTGAGGGGCTGATTCCTTCTGGATGAGCCCTAGAAAGACGAAGCCTGTTGGCCTCTGTATTGCGGGTGAGTTTTGCAGAGTGAATTCAAATGTTTCCTTTCATAGGGCTGTGGTTTGTTGTCTGAGTTTTCTGAATGGAATGACTCGGGTCATCTGAAGGTAGGCTATTATTTAGGAAGCTTGTCCTTCCTGAACTTAATCGGGGGGGAATGTTTAGACTGGCATCTTCAAAATATTTCATTCTGGCCTATAATAAAAACAAGAGAAGGCCAAGAACAACACTACAACAAGTACAAACACTGTAGAAATATACAAAAAGGGAGATGGAAACCACACTTTCTAAAGCAGGGGTTTGGCCAAGGGGGTCTATATAAAGCCTGCTGACTTGGGATGGTTTGGCTTTTGAACTCAATTTTGATCTGAGAGGATTATCAGTTCCTTTGGCCTCCCTGCTGATGAAGATGATTACATCCAAGAAACACTGCTGAGCAAAGACGGGGCAGCGTCCTCTAAACCCCCTTTAACTCCAGCCCAAACCCCTGTCCTAAAGCTTTTTTATGCTCCTCTTATTGCCTCAGAGTTCCAGTTTCAAAGGAGGCAATAATGAGCAATAATTTTACAAAGTTCACAGTCAAAGTCTGATTCTGACAGAGGAGCCTCTGTGGCTGCCACCTCCTCTGGTTTTAAAGCAGAGCCCTGAGTGGCCATGTCCTAAATAAGTCCACCCACTGGTCCGCCTCCCAGTGCCTCACTCCTCTTGAAAGATCCAAAAACAGGCAAATATGGTCACAAAATAATAGAAACAGATCACTCTCCTAGTCTCTTGGAGAACATCCTCAGTTGAACTGTCACACAGAGAAAAAGTTGAGGGCAACATGGCGTCCAAGGTGTTTAATCTTTGATCCAGCAGTGACAGAGAGTGGGAGGGGCCGGACAGCTCTGATCTGAAGGGTCCGAATGATGTGTTTGCTAACGTGGCATCCAGTCGTTGCCCATGCTCAGCTTGGCCCTGGGGATGGTCATCTTGTCCACGCAGGAGGAGCTCATTTCTGGAGAGAAGTGGATGATGCCGCAGTCGTTCTTCACGTTCTGAAACTTGTTCTCCTTGGAGGGCTCCATGTAGACGACTGCGTTCTTATTCACGTGTTTCTTTAGGATCACCGTCTGAGCAGGAAAAGGAGAAAGAACATGATCCCATGTTGTTGAGATGACATCATAATTCAGATTGACAGCGAGTAGGTGATGAAAGCTTACTTTGTTGATGTCAGCTTGTGTTCATTTTCTGACATAACAAACTCATTTTATGGTAGATTTTATGACGGACCTGACCTTTTAGAGGTCCAAAGAGCAAAAGGAAGCTACATTAATCCTAAAGTCATGACAGCTTTAGCACTTGTTGTAGCAGAAGCTGGAAGATCAAGAGCCAGAGCTTCAAACTAATGACCTACTTTATGTGATTTACAGATAAAGTCTCACCTTCTTTGGTGCACTGTAGCAGGACATCTGCACCCACTTCTTTTTCTTGTTTATGAGCAACGCCACGATGAGGAAGATAATGATGGCCAGGAGGAGGCCTGCTAAGATCCAGGCAGCTGATTGGTAGATGAGGGCCATCTCTGTTTGGCTGGGGTAATTCTCACCCAGAGCTGGCTCATCTATGGGACACACACACACACACAAATACTCAGTGCCCCCTCCAGCAGAATATTAGAGCCACATTAAAGAAAACTGAGATTTGAGTGAAGCAGTAACTTTAGGAGTCAGTCAGTCAGTCCTACAGTCCAGCACAGGGTTCCAACACAAGTATGGAAAGTATGGAAAAGTATGGAAGTAGTTTGATCAATTTCCAGGTCTTAAAAAGTATGGTAAATGAGAAATAAAGTTTGCAAAAATATCTATGTTGACAGACTATTAACACAGTTCTAAAATACTGTTTTCTAAAAATAGAAAAGCAGGTATTTCCAAAATTAATTCTAAAAAGTAGGGTATGGAAAAGTAAGGAAATTCCAACTGCGTAGGAATGATCAGTCTTGTAGATCATAAAGAAAAACCAATATTCATTTCAATCTGTTTCACAGCCAGTTGAAATTCCCTCACACTGTAAAATCAGCCAAAGAAGACCAAGCCAGTGCTCATTTATCGTTATTGTTTAGTCCAGCTTTCACTCATTAATCAAGACCTTCCAAACACCGAACATAAGAATAAACAGTCACCGAAATTGGCAAGGACAGTGCGCACAATGATACCATCAACTAGGATGAGGTTTTCACTAAACAGAGTGTCAAACTGAATAAAGAGGAGAGTCTGTGTAGGTGGTGATTACATGAGCAGGTACCTGTTTCAGCAATAATGGGCGGTACGGTGACAGTGGTGATCCACATTGCACTCTCCACTGTCACAGTGACCGTGGTCTTGGGAGCGCTGGTAGACACCATAACGGGCACTGCAGTTGTTAACTCTGTTCAAACAGAATATAAGATCCAACATCACTGAAGTAATCAAAAACATTCAAACATTTCTCACACAGTTAGTGTAAAAACTCCCCCTGTGTCATGACTGATAAGCTGTGTTTACAGGAACTGTTCTCTTTACGTCCACTGTGCTGCTTTGTGAAGGCATTACTCAAAAAGCTGTGTTTTCCACTGGGCCAATAACACAAACAAAAGCCCGGTGAAACAGCGACATATCAGACTGAACAATGGGAGCCTATGCTGAGGTTTTCCTCTATAGGAAAAGCTGACATGGAGCTTTGCCTTCCTGTGCTGCCACAGAAAGAGTGTTGCCGGGCCGATTCAGCCGGGGACAGGAAACACGTGTGAATGTGCGGATGCTCAAGGAATGTTTTTGCTCCGAGTGGACCGAGTGTGTATGTCGCATGGAATGTAGTTTGGATGTTTGCCTATGAAGCGCCAGAGTGGCTGCGTCTAATGCACATGTTCACGCTCACACATTCAGTCTGGAAACCGGCATTCCCTCGGATACACCCTTTTTTTTGACTGAATTATGACTTTTCCCAACAACAGCCTGGGCCTTGTTCCTGTGGTGCCACTTACAGCTCTGGCTCTTGGTTTATGGACACTTTTTTTTAAACTGTCTTAGCCATATCAAGACTGCATAAACTCAAAGTTGCTCGCATTTAAGTCACTGAAAATACTCAAAAAGCAGCCTTCTTTTTTGTTCAGAATACTCACCAAGACAGTGTGGGCAGCACTGGCCCTTGCGTAAGACAGGCACCCTGCAGTTGGCAGCCGGACAGCGCTGAGAGAAACACTGAATGGTACCGTTGTTGCAGGTGCAGCTGGTGCAGGCGTTGGCCTTCCAGGAGTCTCCAGCCAGCAGCACGTCTCCATCACTGGTGATGCAGTACTCCTGCTGGCTGTTGTTCACCGGCAGCAATGGGCTCAGCGTTTCTTCTAGGGTTGCATAATGGAAGCAAAAAAATAAAAGGTGAAACATAAAGATGGAGGGTTGTGTGCTAAGTCATGATGCAGTCCCATTTTATTTATGAGCCTTGGCAGTCTATTGAAAGGTCTAAATTTAGCTTGTCGAAAAAAGTTGCTTTACTTACACATAACTTCATAATGATTCCTGCTCCTGCATTAACCCCTGCTGTATAACATCTCAATCCAGCGGGGTTACATTCAAGATAAGTCACTTTACTGTATTTTAAACACAAACACAAGTCCCTTCATATGGCAGATGTCAGCTTATCTTTCTGTCTGATCAGACGCCCCCAAGCCTGAGATCTGTGGCCTTCTTATGACCACAGACTTAGTGAACATGTGCACACCGCGCTACCCTGCAGTAACTCATACATCATAGGGCCTGTCAGTGTGATGTGTATTATTCCCACATTCCTGGTGACCAGGCCCATACATATATCAAAGGCCAGCCTCTGACAATCTGCTTTTGTGAGGGGAGATGCAGCGATAAGAGGGGCCGGCATTCTCGAGGAGCTGCGCTCAGGCGCAGTCATGCATTGCTGATTTGTGGGCCTCATGCTTGGGAATACTTGGGATATGTTGATTCTGAGCGTAAAGAGAGAGGCGTGGGTGTTTGGATATGGCTGTAAATAAAACATGCGTGCGGTTTAAGAAGATATTTGTGTCAGGATTTATTCCCATAACCGGACGGATAACACAATTTGAGTGTTACATTCTTGCCCGGCCAGATCGGAGAATCAGATGAAGCTCTTCGGGTGAAAGCAGTCCACATGTGCTACTGCCTGCCTGGAGGATCCCTATGTAAACTCAACCAGTCTTGGCTGGTTTCTTTATGAGTCTGTGAGCCTAACATAAAACTGCCTGACTGAGTGCAACATACAGAACCTTCCAAAAACCCCATGCTGATAGTACATTCAAAACAGCTTTATACTTCTCTGCCCTCAACCCAACTCCTACCCCCTGCATGGTTTTCTGAAATGACCCTGTTGCCCCTCTTGCCTGTATTACTGTTTTGTACCTGGGCATACGTGGCAGCAGGTGTCCTTGTTCCTGATTGGTGTCTGGCAGAGAGCAGGAGGGCACACTTCAGTGTCACATAGGACACGTCCCTTCCTGCAGGTGCAGCGTGTGCACTCGTCCAGATTCCACGTCTCCCCTTCCACGTAAAATTCCCCACCAGGAGCTCTGCACACCACCATGTCCATCCCCTCAGGCTGACCGCTGCCTGACTCATCTAAAGTAAAGGGAGGAAGGGAAAAATTTAGTGATCTGCTATCAGGTTCACATCATTCAGGCCGAGGAAAAAAAACAAGGAAAAGTGACACAAGGATTCAGAGAGAAAAAACAGAGTCATAGGTTACTAGAATAAAGGTGCATGGGAGACCTCTCTCCATTAAAAAGACGCCCCCGGCAGAGTGGGATGGTGTCCAAATGGTGTTTTGACACTTAGTTTAGCTGAAAAACATCTTTCTGTCCAGCAGAGTAGCAGACATCTGTATAAAGTTATCCTGTTGTCCCCTGACTGCAAAGTGTGTGCAGCTTCTGAAAGTTGTAGACATTCTTTCACTCCTAAATATTTGAACAGCTAACTGAGTCACTCCACCATAAATATCCTGCATGACTTGGACAGTTACGGATTAAAAAGAAAAAGTGTGGGTGTGGGTCATTGTGCACTTTCAGAGAGAAACAGACAGACTGTGTGTTTGAGATTGTATCTGGAGAAAGAGTCTTAAGCCTAAAAAGCTGCCTCTATGATCCAAAGCTTTCCCTTAATGAGCTATTAGAGGACTGTGGGCTGTGTGTCACCGAAGGTCCACGCTCCAAATTGAATTCAACAAACCCTGGATATCTATTGGTTATCAGCGAGGGCTTGCCCCAATGAAGAAAACCACATTAAGAGGTCTCCTGATCGATATGATAAACTGGAGTTAATGTAAGCACTTAAGCACATATGCCCTGCCGCAAACATGAATAAGCCAGATTGTTGTCTTTTATTAACTTGGAGCACGCTATGATATCAGAAACACAATTCTGTCAGGACCACTTTCATCAAAAATATTAATCAAAGGCTCGCATTAGTTGTATTTGACAGTGTGGCTCTGTTCTGAGAGCTCCCTGCCCTTCCATGTACTTATATGAAATACAAAAGCCTGCACCTTCCCCTGTTTCATGTGCATACATAAAAAGCCAAAGCCGGGACAGCAGCGGCAGTAGTAAAATCCCAGAACAGAACAAAGCCGACAACGGTGACAATGCTTATGGCGCTGGTCAGATCAGACACAATGTACATGAAGGAGCGGGGGTTGGAGGAAGCAGCAAGAGAACACAGGCTGAAGCAATTTGAGTCGGACGCCTTTTCTGACATTTGCCAGTTGGATTCGAGGAAGGTCATCAGCTGAGCTATCAGGATCAGCTGATTTACTGCAGTCTGAGCTTGACTTTTGTATTCTGCTTACACTCCATTTCACATTATCATAAACACAGCTACCACAGCAAAATAAAGGAGGAACACTTTCCTACATGAGAGTGCAGTAGATCTTACTATTCTATTTCATTGTGAACTGATTTGTTCGCTGGTTTATTCTCCTATAGTGAATGTTAAAATTTAGACGTAATATCTCAGCTGCTGCCCTGTTAACTTTAAACAGTGTAAAGTAAAAGATAACAAAATGAATTTGAAAACATATACAACAGCTTAAATGCCTATTTGTTTGTGGTGCATCAGTCAATATCGGTAGGTGTAAAAAGATAACATTTATTATGATTTGGTGTTATATAAATACAGACTGATTGACTGCTTGATGTAAAATCAGGTTGATAAAGTGTCCTGCTGCTCTTCTGTCTCTCTTGCCATCTCTGATTGGTCAGTGGGAGATGTTTTTCACACCCAGATGTATATGGTGTTGAATAGAGCTGGCATAATGTATAAGATTAGATTCAGAGTAGTAAATGTGACTGAGTAATGTCAAAGGACTGAGTGCTGAAAACACATAGGAAACAGTCCGACTGATGTTGCGTTATTGGGGGAACTGTCTTGTTAAATGGAGAATACATTTTTAAAGTATTATTCTGAGTGACTAATTCTTTCTGGTTTCAGTAGTTTTGGCCCTCTTCTCGCTTATTTTCCATGTGGGATGTGCTAAACAAAGCAATTGCTGTGATTTAGGAACAATGTTGCAATAAAGTCATGGAAGAAAGCATTGTGAATTGTAGGTCAAAGCCTGAGCCAGGTTGGTCTATCAACTTTGATGGATGTTTTCAAGGACAGCCAAAAATTCATCAGTCCCCTACTGTCTCTTTAAAAGGATTTGGGCTTACACGCGGCTTTGTGAAAGCCATTTGTCCTCTTTTGCGCAATGTTCTGCATTCTCAGATGTCAGTAATTAAGTTGGTGAGTAGTACATCATTGTTTGAGTGGAAATAATGGAAAAAAAACAAAAATATATTTCAATAAAGACAAACCAAGAATCATTCTGTAAAGCCAGATATAAAATGAAGTAACGTATGAAATATGGAGACATACCCTCACACGTGGGGCAACACTGGTCTGGCTTCACCACAGGATTAGAGCAGCTGGGCACGGGACAGGATATGAGCACACACATCTCTCGTCCAGAGTGGCAGTAGCAGTCACGGCAGCCGTCATGCCAGCCGTCACCTTCCTCATACCGATGCCCGTTAGAGGTGAGGCAATAGTCAGGCATTGGAGCGGGGGCAGCTGTGCTCGGGTCGTGGCCGCTTTCTAAAGACACAGACATTAAAGGTACATTACTGAGGTGGCCAAGGGCTTGTGAAACAGCTGTTAAAAAATCAACACAGCCTCCTCAGGCAAGGTTGTAAATTCACTGTGGAAATTTCATTAAGTACGTTTATGATTTACAGTAACAAGGGCCAGTGTTATTATCGGAGGTCCAATTTCATTAGAGGCTACAGCAAGAGCGAAGTGGTTATTTTTCCACAATTAATATTTGATCCTCTTTCATGTGAACTTATATTTCTATAGCCAGTTTAGATGCGGCCACAAATGAAGCTTAGCAGAAATTCCCCAACATTATGTTCACAGATATAGAACGAGAAGTCTCAGCTGTGGGACACAAAGAGCTTATGAGGGGAGAAAGTAGCCAGTAACTTGGTCCCAGCATGTGTTAAACTCAGCATAGCTCTTAAAACTACAGATCTTCTTGGATTAGAAACAAGGGCGGACACAGCGGAGTACACCATGATCTTGCAGATGTTTGGATGTCTCTGCTCTAATATTAAAACATGCATGAAGAAGTCATACCTCCAAAAACAGTTCCTGATCTTTAAATGTTTTTAAAGGCCAACAAAGAGACTGATAGAGGAGTTTTAAATTAGGTAAACAGGAGTGCTTTGCAGTGGGTGCTGGTCTGTTTGTGTCACCAACCATACAGGAAAACCAGGAGTATATTTGAGTCTAACATATTTTTAAAACAGCTAAACTGGCAAAATAAACATCACATAAAATGTGGTAAGGCATAAATATGGCGTTGAACAGTTGCTTTATGTGTTGGGGTTAAGGGGGTCTAATTAGAGCTGCGCACTCAGGCTCTGGATAAAGACAACACCAATAAGAAGCAAAACAAGCACATATAAAAGTCTCCACAGCGGAGTAGCCAGAGGTCAGAGGAAATTGAAGTAGCAGCTTAGTGGCAGAAATTCAAGTCCTCTTACAAAGCTCTTTTATATCAATTCATCTTCTCCCCTCAAGTTTCAAATAAAACCTTTTTCTTAATTAGGAGGTTATTCTTGCTGCAAAAGGGTCAAACACATCCAGGGTAAAAACTAATGAGTTCTTTTTTTAAGTTTATCTGCCCATTACACTCAAGGCGGAGGAGAGATTCAGTATTCTGGGATCTTGAGTGTATAATTTTGCATTTTATAAGACATAGTTTTTGAACCTTTATTGTGCAGCATTTTGCAGGTAATTATATCGACACTAGAGTTCCCTCACCTTTACACATGCAGATGGAGCAGCCCTTCTTGTTTTGTTGATAGCCATCACTGCAGTGCTTGTCGCAGGTGAAGGGAGGACACTTGACACAGCGACACATCTCACAGCCATGCTTGTTTCTCCTGAGGGCAACAAGAACACAAACACACACGTTAAAGCAGAAGCATATAAAAGGCAGCAAACTGAGGATTCTGTCAAAAAGAAGCTTAATTAGGAGTGACTAAACTGCAGTGCCCCAAGTGACCACTGGAGGCTAACTCCAATGACGAGTCAATGTCAAGTGCAGGCCATAAAAATGCTCAACGTCAGAGCAAATGTGAACATGTATGAGGTTTGGTATGGTATGGTATGGTATAAACTTCATGGATTGTCCTGCATATTTAAATAGCTCATCTCCAAGTTACGGTCAATGTTATTACTAATGAAGCATAGCTGTAGTTCAGGCAGGACACAGAGTCAAGCTAAAGGCTACAGTCGACTGATCTTAAGCCAGTCCTCAGTCAGCTGACAGCTCAGGTGATCGCCCTCTTCACATCCTATTGGCTAATGTCTAAATTGTGCCCTATTTCAACTGCTTCTTCTGCCTACTCTGCCTGCTGCAACCACTCTGCAACCCATCTCCACCCCTGTTCCACATGTTTATGTTGTGTCTGATCTTACCAGTGTCATATGTATTGTCACTGATGCTTGCTCTGTTCTGTGGGAGGGATTTTAATTGATTTATCTTCATCATATTTATTTGCTGCTGCTTTCTCTGCCCTGGCTTTGCATGTATGTACATGAAAGGGAGGGGAGGGGCTCTCCCCTCTTATAGCTGTGGCATCCCATGCAAGCGCATGGAAGGGCAGGGAACTCTCAAAACAGAGCCATACCGCCAATGTAAAAATGTTTGCTTGTAATAAATAATTAATTTTGACTAAAGTGGTCCTGACTGAATTATGGATATAGTCACTCTGAGCAACAGGTAGCTGCTTTTGGCTAGTTGCCAGGTGTCTGCGGTCAATTTAAACCGTTGTTCATGTCTATATTGTTGTTTTGGGGGTTTACTGATGCAAATATTAGACATCTCTGTGGCTGAAAATCTTATACTCCTGGTGTCATAAGCTTGTACTAGTGTCTGTGGTCACCATCCCCTATTAGCTTGTGTGTGTGAAATCCTGATAAGGCCATCTAAAGTTTCTAGTTACCGATCAATAGACTAAAGCTATATGAATACATATTTTAATAAAAATTAAAACGCTCCTCAATCTGTTGTCTCATACATGTTAATTTCCATCATCTAAATCATACTCAAATACAAATATTGTTATTTTATAGTATATCTTAGGTCTCTATCTTGTGCTTTTATAACATGCATCCCACAGCCTCCAAGCGCCACACATGACGGCTACACAACCACTCTCCAAATCACTCAAATGTAAACATTTGCACACAGAGCTCTCACCGTCTGCTTCAACACTGTTTACCCCCTTTGGAGGCACATATTTGTGCAAAGCTGGGTTTAGTGCTCTTCTGTGCATGAGTATCAAAGAACCCTCCGCTACTGAATGTAATGTCGTAGGTAAGATGCCTCCTGTCTGCTACGCCACCAGACTTTGAAAGGTTGCGGTGAGCTGTTCAAACTCGGCTATCCCATCGCATATAGTGAGTTTAGAGAGACCATCATAATGCACTAGAGATATGACAGACTCTCAAAGTGAAGCAGCTTTGTGCTGTTTTCCTCATGAAGTGGTCTGATAATAGCTTTCACAGAGAAACACGAGATAACTCACTATTGTGCGCTTATTTCATCCTGGCCACAATAATATACACAAAATGACCTGAATGCAATGTTAAATGAATGCAACACTTTATAAAATCTAACGTACAACTGAAAACCAATCGGTTTTAGCAAAAGTTGTGTGTATGCCAAATGTCTGTGTGGTCAAGGGCCAAAAAGGTCAGGAACCACGGGCCTCGAGTTTATGTAACAGAGCCAGATTAAAGATGAATTCAAGTCATGGATTCCTTTGAGATGAGCAGAGGTCTGTAGTGCAGCATAGTGTTGTGAAACCCATATGTCCAAGAGTAGTATAATCAACATCTGGGCCTGCTTACCTTCTTTCTATATAAGCTTCCTTTAAAGAAGGGCCAAATAAAAGGCCAACACGTGAGATCCCCGTGGTTTGCACATCATACCAGTGCAAAGACTTTGAAAAGAACAGTCTTGAGCCAATTCAGATGCTTCCAATTCACTCTATTGCCATCCCCATTGCTCCGAAGGCCTTAAGCAGACATATAAGAGCACCAGAGAGAAGTATCGAGATAGGAGCTACATGGACATGTTGATTCAAGACTACAGGGGAGCAGACAAAATAAAGAGAAATAGGATATGGCTCTTGAAAGTAACAAGTGAAGAAAAATCAACTGAAATTAAGCTTTCGTTCAGATCAGAATGTATCGTTCAGAAGTATGGACTGCAGAGGCTACAGGAGCTGGAAATAGCACACTTAGGTGCAATTATCCTTGTTATAAAACATCGATGAGCTGCAGCTTGATGTATTAAATAAAAGAATGACCTGTATCTTGTTCGGGCCAATCTCTGCCTCTCTCTCAGAGTAAGTGATGATGCCTATTTTACAAGGCTGCAGCCTCATTAGGCACGGGTAATTGCTCTATTAATCTTCATCTGCCACGGAAGCAAAAAGAAGCCCACAAACCCGTGGATGGGTGTTGCGTCCCATAAAGAGGATAGAGCATGTCAAGGCTCAGCAAACAGAGCAGCCTATCTATGCTGAAGCAGCAATAACAGCGAGTGAAACAACAGTGAGAGGGCTTGGTCAGTGCCTCACTGTACAAATACAGAGACAGAGAGTGCTGCGACCTTAGAGCAAGGCTTTGTTTAAAGGTGGTGTGTGGAATGCCAAGCAGCGCTTTGGGCTCCAGGGGGATAGAGGGGCTTGGGGAGACACTGGGGGCCAAGCTCTGGGACTGCTGGCTCTGCACAATTTCCAGTGTGCTGCAACTCTGATGGCCAGGAGAACGCCATTCATAACCTCAGAGGACGAAGTGATGATTTCCAAACCACAAGGAACGGAAAAAAAGACTTCTATCAGTGTATCCACAGGAATGTTCGGCACATGGTTGTGTGTTGTTAATAACGCAGGCGTGATCTGTCAGTTTCAGATATGTACATTACAGTTTCCCAAAAGGATGTCATCAATGAGACCAGGATAGACACAAAGATCCTTTGTGCCTTTTGTTTCTTTGCGGTGGCTGCATGCAGTGGTTCGATCTGAGAGGACAGATCTGCATTGTGAAGCTGGCAAGCTCTCAGAGGATTTCTGACATCTGAGGCTGGACCTTAACAGCTGCTTTTGAAGGATAAAGACAGGACTTCCTGTTCTTTTTTCTCCACAGGGTCCCAGTCATTCTCTCCTCACTTCTCTTCTCTCCTGTGCAGGCATATCAGACTCATCTCGAGCTGTGGTTCCACAGAGAGTGGCTGAGATACCAGAAGATTCCTTACTGTAAACATCTCATACAGGCCGCTTTTGTGCTGATGTCTTTTTGATCGTTGTTTTGAGACAGAATGATGATTTATGAAATGAGAGTGGTGCCTGGGGAGCAGGAGTCCTGGTAGAAAGTACTTCCAGATGTTTGATTAGGTTAAATGGGATTGAGAGGAGGGGATTTGTAGGGGGGCTGAAAGGCTTGTGACTTTACAGCAAATTACTCACCATAAACTTGCACGCTCGGTCTCACAGACCTGGGATTGACCACCAAGGTTGGCCCTTTGATTTCAGGTGCCAAACTTGTGTTGCAATATCCTGTTTTCACTCCTTTTGAGCAGGATCAAATAGGTACCAGCCTCTGGGCAGTGATTCAAAATACTAGTGTTGAACTTCTTTTGGAGTAATAAAAAAGTAGGGTCTCTTTACAGAAGAGCAATGTACAGCATGTAGCACATTTGATGCCACTGACAGTCATATAGATGCCAAAAAACAGGGATGATGAATGAGTGTAGGATGATGAAGGATGACAAATGTGAGTTCACTAAGGACACTTACACATATCCATAAGGGCAGGTCTTAGTGCAGGTCAGAGGTCGGCACTTGGGTATGGGGATGCTGCACTCACACACCTCACAGCCAAAGTCATCCCTCTCATATCCCATGGGGCATTGCAAGGAACAGTATGTCCCCAGGTCGGGGCAGGAGTCATCTGAGGGAGAAGAGGAAGAAGTCATTTTAAACATGGGCAACACAATCAATCAAAAGTGACAGGAGACAAGTTACATTGGAGTCCCCAGTGGATACAACCTTGTGACATAGATCCAGTGATCATTTTGGTAGCTAGTCTAGATGTAGTGTTTGTCTTTGGGCTCAATGACTTTGAATTTAAGTCACATTTTAGTCAATTTGGCCCTGAATATTAATATTAGTCCAGTTTTAGTCATTAATGAGTCATTACATTTCATTCATTAATTTCATGTTTAAATGATTCACTCTTTCAACACCTACAACAGTATAATATTAAGGTCCCTTAATATTAGTGTGGGGAATATTTTCTTGGCACTCTTTGGGCCCCTTGGTACCAATTGAGCATCGTTGCAACGCCACAGCCTACCTGAGTATTGTTGCTGACCATGTCCATCCCTTTATGACCACAATGTACCCAACTTCTGATGGCTACTTTCAGCAGGATAATGCGCCATGTCATAAAGCTGGAATCATCTCAGACTGGTTTCTTGAACATGACAATGAGTTCACTGTACTCAAATGGCCTCCACAGTCACCAGATCTCAATCCAATAGAGCATCTTTGGGATGTGGTGGAACGGGAGATTCGCATCATGGATGTGCAGCCGACAAATCTGCGGCAACTGTGTGATGCCATCATGTCAATATGGACCAAGCTCTCTGAGGAATGCTTCCAGCACCTTGTTGAATCTATGCCACGAAGAATTGAGGCAGTTCTGAAGGCAAAAGGGGGTCCAACCCGTTACTAGCATGGTGTACCTAATAAAGTGGCCGGTGAGTGTATATTTATCATTATAACCCTAAACAAAATGAAGACTGCATGGAACCTCCTAAAATTAACCTTTGTCCAAGCTATGGACATATAGAAGCTTCTGTAAAAATAAACTATTTATTTATTTATTTATTTTTGCTGTACTAACAAAGTGAATGAAAAGCCAGGTACAAAACTTTTTTTTTACCTTTCTGGCCTTTATAGATGAACCATTTTATAAATGAATGAAAAGCTGTATGTCAGAAGATATGCATTGTATTGATTTAAACCCTCATACTTTAACCTCTGGGTCCAATATAAGATGAAAAAGGTGTACTTACTACTGAGACACTGGCAAAGCAGACATCCATTGTTATCTTGTTGAAAGCCGTAGGGGCAGTCAGCGACTGACAGGGAGCAGTTTTCCAGCGGAGGACAGAGCATGGGGCTGACTGTTTCATAGGAAGGCTCTAAAAAACAAAAACATCGTAGAAGACAAAAGTTTTGAAAAAAAGCTTCAATATTCAGCCTGAACACACAAAAATGAATAAAGCAATGATTTATTTTGTGAATTTCTCTGAGTTTGCTTTAAGTGTTTAAGGACCCTCTCAGGTATAATACCTCCGTGCTTTTGAGCCAACAGTAATAGCTACCTATTTACTCTGCTCCTATTTTCAAGTAAACAGTGATTACAGATAAATATAGAGCAATTACAGCAGGGTGGGTCACACCGTGAGGGGATTTGGTCTCTATCATATCGTGAGGAACTGTCTCCCATTTATAGGTTGAATGTGTCTAGATCTACCATTAGAAATAATTGTGTCCCCTGGACTCCCAGATGATGCCAGCACTGCCTGGACCCTCTTGAATCAGAGCCAGCTTGACTGTGAAGCCACAACAACAGTCTGGAAAAACACAGTCACTGTTCCCGTCAAACATCTCTCGCCACGTTCGGTGGGAGGAGCGGCCCAATGAGCTGTAACTAATTACACTTACAAAAAAAGGATCCACTTCAATTATGCAGCGTCCCGTGTTAAAAGTGCAGCCCCACACGCACAGGTGGGTCTCATTTTTGGCGGGCAGCGATAATAAAGGAACACAAAGAACCCTGCAGCTTGAAGAATGCTCGGTGGCCTCCTCTTTAATGAGCCCATGCCGACATGGCCTCTGTGGCAAAGCTGTGGGGCCAGAGGAGCCTCCTGCATGTGGTATGTGGGCTAAAGTGTGCCTCATAATGTATAGACTTATTTATCAGATGTGATAATCATAAAAGACACGCCGTTTTTTGTTTGGTGAACGACTCTTCATACCTTCACAGAAAGGACAGCACTCCCCAGGGATCTTGACGGGGTTTTGGCAGCTCTGTTTGCAGGCCATTGCTGTGCAGTGTGGGTCTCCATCCACACACTGGCAGAAGGTGCAGTCATCCTCTTTCCACTGCTCCTCGTGAGCTCGCAGCTTATTATTCACCCAGCAGCTGGCTTTAGTGCTATCCATCGACAGCAACTCCACATCTGGGAGGAAAGAAAGAGACATGTGTGAAAGAATGAAGTGAGAGAGAAGGAGAACCTTTGATCTGTTTCTAAGCACATGTATAAGTCACATGTATAGTTTAGTTTGGCTACCATGAATGGAATTTAAACCCTCAGCTACAGACGTATGTATCTTATACAACATCCTCCACTGTAATTGAATTAACAGGAGACTGACTGAGAGCAGAGCTGAGGGAAGCAGGATACTCCACAAGGGAGCTAACAAGATATGGAAACTGGCTCGTCACCAAGAGCTACGGAGAGTACACAGTCGAATGTAGATGACCTACCTACATGTAAAAAGGGGAGAGGCCCCTGGCTTTGTGACAGTATACACAGTTTAAGGATTGACGTAGAAATGAGACAGATACGTTTTAGGGTATCGTTGTGTTATCCCTAAAGAGATGTGATCATTGGAAAACACAGCAGGGGTTATGACATTAAAACTGCCAGTCCCATTAGAGCCCACTCACCTTTTTGCTAGAAATACATCCATATGAGTTTCAGCTGTGATCCCTAAAGCCAGAGGCTAGGTCAGTATTTGATACTATAACTTTCACTCCAAACCAATGAAAGAGCCTTTAAAAGTAGATCTGTAGCTATTAGTCTTAAGTGGGAACCGTTTGAGACGGTTTAAGAGCCAATCTATGAAACTGTTCTCCTTATTCTGCACAGCATGAGGTGGCATACGTGGTCTCAGCCTGCTCTAAAGACCCTTTTTCCTTTACTATAAAGTGTTTTACTAGCTTTTGTTACAATTTTTAGAGGTAAAAGAGGCAAGTTCAAAGTTGGTCTCAGCCTCATTTATATTCTCTGTGTTATAGTGCTGATGTGGCTTTGGTAAAGTATGTCAGGGGGTTAAGAGTGCTGTACTCTTTGAAGAAAGGGTCACATTTGTCCTATATGATCCAAGATGAGGTTTGGCTGCGGAGGTCCATCCATCTGGTGATGACTGATCTTTCTCTTCTCTACAAGCTGCCTCTCATTTTCAAAACTTGACCTCCCCTATACTGTACCTTGACCCTTATGCTAAAACTTAAGGCTCCCGGGAAGAACTATCAGTTTCTGCCAATTTCAGCGCCCCTGTCGACAAAGTAGTCCCTGTTATCTTTTCCTGATCCTGAAATGTAAAACCCCACTTCCAAAAACATCAAGACACTGTATAAAAGGTTAGAAAAAGCAGATTTTGATGGTTTGGAAATTATTTAAACTCTTTATTTTATTTGATTCTGGAAAAACATTTCAAAAGAGTCAACAAAACCCTGAAAATGTGACTCCACAGTTAAACACCCAAAGGAACATCTCCAACCAGGTTAGTAACACAAGTGGGTATAAAAAGGTTTTCTAGAAGGGTTGAGTCCCACAGAGGTGAAGACAGGAAGAGGTTCACCACTCTGTGAGACTGCAACAGTTTCAGGAAAATATCCTTCAATGTAGAACCACAAAGAATTGTGAATTTCATTATGATGGAGAATTTGGAGAAACATCCTCTCAAAAAAGACAGAAAACAAATAAAGGATGGCTGTGATTTTTCAGCCCTTTGGGGGCCCTGCATCAAAAACAAGCGTTACTTTGTAGTGGAAGCCACTGTACCTCCTGTCTAAAGAGAGGGACCACCTGGCTTGTTATCAGAGCATAGTTTAAAAGCCAGTGTTGTACAGAGATGCTTTAGTGCTTTTACACATATGTGGGGAAGGCACCATTAACGCCGACCAATATGTGAAGTTATTTGAGTATCATATGCTGCTTTTAGCGCTGACCTCTAATATTTCAACAGGAAGATGCCAAACTCCATAGGGGGAAAATCCAGGTTATAAAACTGGCCTGCCTTCAGTCCAAACATTTAACCCACTAAACATACAGCACTTGTGTGTGATGAGCAACATCCTTATCCTAAACTGCTTTTTGGTCTTTTCAGAAATGTTATAAATTTTATCTGGCTAAGTGGCACAAACTCATAGAAGCAATACTTTCAAGTTGCAACCAAAAACAGGAAATATATTTGCAAATGACTCTTGAGTTTCTTCTGCAGTTAGTCAACTCTTTTTTTTTTTTTTTGGACACAAGAACAAGTAGACAAAAATATTTGAACTTACTACATACAAAAACTTCAATTTAGTTTGGGAGTTTGATAGCTGGCCATCTGTTTTGTCTCACTTAAGCTTTCACTTTCTTCTTTGGTCTGTTTTTGGTCTCCAGGAAGTCACAATAAAATTGATAATTAACTTTGAAATCCACTAAATGGTGCATGAGAGTATCTGTTGCTGAGTTTGTGGATAAATCAAAGCCTTCACTGAAACCAGCTGCCTGTTGCAGCTGATGAGATTTGTTAAAAGGACAAAAGGCAAATTTATGGACAATAAAACCAAAACAATTAGCAGAAAGTCACCAAAGTGCTCAATGAAGATGAGAGGAACAGCAGAGTCTGGTAAGCATTTTGAGTGATCCTTTTTTCATTACAGTCATTTAGTCAAGAAATATTGATTAGTACAGCTTGGTGTGTAATGAGAACCAGATAGCCTTAAAAATATCTCTTAATCCAGATTAAGAGTTTTAAGGGAAATGTTCTCTGCAGTGAGCCGTGCTGTAAGTAGGAGCAGCTTTCCATAAGAAGAAGATGAAAGCATTCCATACCATTTAAATGCCTCCATATTCCAGGTGTACTTCCAGCATTGACCTAACATGATCCTCCTGCAGTCTTGCTCTTTCTCTTCTTCACTCTTTCTCTTGCGCTCCATCAACTCTAGCCAGTAATGCAGCGGCCAATGTTGGCTACTGTCTCCATCCACCGGCTTTTGGCAGGCTGTAATGTGGTTGCCATATGTGCTATAACCCTGTTTCTTTAACTACCCAAAGTGCACGTATCAGAGCTCCCTACCTGGCTTTGAGCACATATGTTTTTGAGAGTGGGTCCCCCCTATTAAGCTGGAGCCAGATATAACATGGCCGAGCCGAACACTCAAAATGAAAGCTTTTATGTTCTTCAGTCTCTTTAGGTGGAAACGAATCCATGGCTGGCGCTGTAGTGCGCCTCTTGTATGCCCGGTATGTTAACAACTGTGGAGGCTGGTTATATGAGGAAGCAATTAAATTAGGGTCACTGGAGGTAAGAGTAAGGCAAGGTGGATTTTGATATCACCTTTACAGCCCGCAAGCTGGCCATACAGGCTCTCTACTCTACATAACACCACGTCACTCGAAGCTCATACACAGGTGTAGTTTTAGTGTAGTGTTATGTCTAGCGGGGGAAAAGACTCATACTGTCATTTTAACAAAATAAGCAGATAAATGCGTTTACCTATACAGACAGGGCAGCACTCGCCATCAGGGATGTAGAAGTTTTCACAGTCCAGCTCGGCGCACTCTGCCTTAGAGCAGAAGGAGATCCCTCCCCGGCACTGACACAGCCAGCAGGGGTCCATGCGGTACACCTCACCCTCAGAAAACTCCTTTCCGTTGTGGACACACTTGGGAGACACTGATGAGAAAACCAGGAAAAGGAAGAGTCAGACAGATGTGGTAATCGTTGAACAGAGCACCATATGGAGATGATAATTCTTAACACACTCAGGGGTTGACAAACAGAGCAGCAAGGCCCGTCAGGTGTCCATCACATTTGGCAAAGATTAGCACAAGGATTTTCCCCTCGTGCTGACTGTATGCAGATTTGAACATAAATGTCAAGCTTGATCAGTGAGAGTCCTTCACAACTGTCCACAGTCATTACAAAGCCATAAACATGCATTCACTTTCTGCTAATGATGACCAAATGATGATGAGGTAGACACTGATGGCCCGTGGGGCAGAATGGCAATCATCAGACAGCAAAGCCAAGTCCATGTCAAGGAATTTCACAGAGATTTATAAACATCTTGAAAAGGCGTTGGACTCCTGCACTGTGGAGTAAAAGAAAACAGTGGTGGGTCTGCCGCTTTGGCAGAATCTGGGCTCAGAGTTCTGGTGGCAGGTGGAGTGAATCAATGCTGTGGTCCGCCTACCCAACAGTGTCTCAGCACTTAGAAGCTCTTTTATCTGTGTTCACTCTTGAAAAAACTTAAATGAGCTTAGTTACAGCACTATTGGAAAACCACAGTCTGGTCTTTTGTCTAGAAAACAGGCCTAATAAAGCCAGAATAGGTATGAATGAACCTTCTGTTGATTTATATGCGTGTGTTTGATTGCAAAGTGAAAAATCTAAATGAAGCAAGTAAGATTGATCAATTTAAAATACTGTCGGTAGTTTTGCAGTATGTGGTACCCAAAGAACTAGCATAATGCATGACAATGGTTTGGAGGACTCAACATTTTAAGATCTCAACTAACCACACTATAACTTTTGATCCACCACACACCAACATGAAGGAATCAAAGCACTGCGGTTATGTAAGAAAGCCTCCGAGCTCACAGGGGAGCAGCCGTACTAGTTAAACAAGTAGATGTATTGCAAAGATGTCAGCAGATGTGGGGCCAGTGGTTTCCATAAAAGTAAGCACTGGTTACAACGGCATCTGCACGCCATGCCTTTGAGCGCAGACTCAAAGTGTCTGTGCAAATGACCCCATGCCTCCCGAAAAAGCAGCTCTGCACCCTAACACAAAGCAGGTGGGCTAACTGAGTTGAAAGAAGACAGGGATTTGTTGATCTTTTATTCTCTTCCATGCCATCTTTCTCTTCCATCCTTCACTTTCCTACTCGGCATCCCTGCCATCCCGCTTCGCGTGCAGCAAAACCAAGCAGAGAAAATGCAATAAGCACTTTAGCTGGCCGAAATCAAAAGGCACGGCAACGTTTTTTAACGCTCACAGAAGCAATAGGAAGTCACACGAGGGGATGCTCACATGTGATTTCCGCAGTGTTTGTTAATGGTAATCCCTAAAAACAACTTGCAGCACAGAGTCTAAATTCCTGTCATGCTTTGTGATGTGCAGTCTTCTCTAAATTGAGGTGAGGATTGGATAGGCCATAAAACGTTGACCTTAAGCCGGTCTAAATCATCAATAATGGCCTGTCTTGCTGGTGCTCCCTGTGGTTTACAGAGGAATGAATCAAAGACCCACAAAGAGGAGCTCAGACGTTTCCCATAGAAGAAAACAAGTGATTGATTGAAAATCAACTTTAACAGTGATACTCTTGATCAGTTTTGAATAACAGATGACAAACAAGAAATATGAGCTCGACTTACTTTAATAACACCATCATTAATCAGTCTCTAAGGACATGGTTTCTGTGTGTTTAGAGCAAACTCAAGCTGAGCTCCCTGAGAACCAAAAATGAAACAAATCCAATCATAAATCTCGCAGGGACATGTGCAATTCAAAACCCTCTCTGTTTCCAGAGCAGACAGACGTGGTATATATTCAGAGTATGTGTCAGCTTAAGTGTTGATGAAATGCTGGCATCAGTGAGGAAGGATCAAACAAGTTTACTTGTTACATCAGATGACATTAGATTAGTCAGTGCTGCCAGGTTTGGCCTGAACTCAGTGGAAAGAGTCTATCGTCAATGGAAGCCAAAACACACAGGTGGGATTCATTGTCACTGTGCACACTGACCCTGACTAAATGTGAGGCCTGAGCCAAGAGGGCAATGGAAACAAGTTAATCAGTCCAAGCCTGACACACGGAGACAATGGGGGCCACGCTGAAGGGTCTTCCATCAAAGAATAGGTCAACTATTTGGAAGTCGCTTCAACTTTAAGATACAGTATTTGTAGCCAAAGCTTTAGGGGCCTCTGCAGGACAAGAGAGGTGACGAGGGGGCCCAGTGTGTGTGTCCTTGTCCATGCCCCTGTCTGTACAGCCCTCTGACACGGCGCGCAGTCATGCAGGCCTAACGGACGGTAGGGCGGTACAAAAGGCATCAAGCCCTGGGCCCAAAGAGCAGCAGACACTTGTTATCAAAACACTGATCCCATGGCCCCCGCGGCTGCCATTCAGCCCCCGCCGGCCTGCCGGACTTGATTACCCTCCCCACTGGCAGACTGGAGCACATAAAAAGCATTCCCATCAATGAACTGTTGAACCTTTTCCCTTTGGACGTGTGACCAGACAGGAACCCTTTGACACTGCACTTCTGTTGAGCAAATTCGTAGCCTAAGCACTTTTCTGGTCACTGGGCTCGTTAAGTCCATTAATTCCAGGACACGGCACACATTTATGCATGTGGAGGAGCCAGAATGGGAATTTGTTCTGTTGGTAAAACAGCGAATATTTGTTGGGAGCGTAGAGCAAACAGGCCAATACGGCAGGTCCCCTCCCTGCCTTTCTGACTCTCCTGGTTGCCTCTGGGTGCTGAGGTCTTTCTATATGTGATGGACATCTGCTTGCTCTCTTTTCTTTCCCCCTGCAGTTCATCTATATCTCCTCCGCAGCATGTGAGAAAACACTACACCAGCAGTCTGCTTTAAAAGACCAATTAAACTGTATTAATATCTCTTCAGGCAATGGGATGATTTGTGGGAACACCCTTGAAAAAAATGTCTTTGAACTGTGGTCTTAGCCCTGGGAGGCATCGGCTTAGCTCGATAAACAGCCCAACAGTAATTATCCAATCAGCAACTTTTCTTTTCATGTGTGGACATTTGGTCAGCAGGGAAGAAAGCCTCACTCTGAGGAAAATAATTGCTTCCTTAGAGGCGAGGAATCTCACACCAACTGTGCTATTGCTACCCTCAATGGGGGGGAGGGCAATCGAAATGCTTTGTGTAGTGTGCAGTCACCTTTCTGGCACTCGAAGACATCACAGCAGTCTCCTGGCTGACCGCTGGCCTGGCTGATTGGCACAGTGCGCTGTCCACTCGGGCACTGGGGCTTGTGGCAGACACGGAGGTCGCAAGTGCACTGAGGTGGGATGGAGGGGCAGCAACCAGCAGGGGGTGTGTAACTTGTGGTCAGGACTGAATCCTTAGGGCAAGAAGGCACCTGCAGGGTGGGACACGTCACTCCTGCACACCTCAGCTCCTCTGAAACATACAAACGTGCAGAATTTATATATTGTGACACAAATACATGCAAAAACTCTTGCAAACACCCTAAACTTGTCATAGCTCTGACACTATGCTTAAAGAGGAAGCTTTTTTCTGCTCCGGCATGTCAGTGTGAGTGTTTTCAGGTCAGCCTCCTAAGTTGAGCTACTAAAGAAGAGCGCAACTCGTGTTACGCTCTAAAAGCTGACTTCACACAGTCACCCAACATGCTTAGTCATCAGCTCTCCACTTCACTCTGTGACAGCCTCACAGCGTCCTATCAGAGAAGTGTGAGCAGTGCCGTAGACATCACAAGCCTCTCCGTGAATCCTCCGGGCCGCCGATCCCACCCAGACTAGCTAGATGAGCTAACAATGTAAACAACCCTCATAATATAAAACCAGTCATTAAAAGCTGCCCTCCTTCAACAGAGCTCTCCTTCTTACAGTTCAGTATCTCCTCTTCACTTAGCATACCAGGATTTATTTGTCTATTCATTCGCCTGAGTCAAAATAATGGCTTTGTTGCCCCCTGTGAGGTGGGGAAGAGGTGCAGAGGTACTGGAAATCTGGGCAAGGGGCTCAGGGGTGTATTTTGGAGCTGGTTCAGGAAAAGAAAAGTGGAGCGCCCCTCTGTACAGACATTGTATGAGAACAGTAGCTACCTTACAGAGATTGGATTACCAAACCAAAGGGATGTGTTTATTTTGGTTCTCAGAGTCACTGTGGTGTATACAGAGAAAGCAGAAGAGAGAGAGACAGGGGGGCGCATACTCAAATCCTGTCCTGTAATCTGTAATCGTCAATCACGAAGTAATTTTCAAGATCCTTTACAAAAATTACGGTAAATGCACCATCTGTCGCACTTTGACAGATGAGAGCGAGAAGGGAAAAGAAGCATTAAACAGTAGAGAGATTACGGATGAGAAAGAGGGAAATCTGGTAATTAAATGTTATATAAATCATCACCGACATTTAAGGGACAAATGTGTCAACAGATGACTTCCTCTCAAGAGAGTTTAATTAAATAGACTGATTTAGTACTGGAGATACTTGACAATCTTTGCATACATATGGTTTTTGAGAAAAGGGAAGGATACAGGCTGAGGTTGCGTAACATTGCTCAGGGTTTTGGTAGCATTTCCAGAAGCTGAGTTTTGTTGATAGAGTTCCCAGACTACTGCTGGCTCCAGTCCCTCAGAGGATATGCCTCATCCCTGATATTTGAAGACATGTAAGTGGATACCTCTGGGTTTGCAACATGATGTGGCAACTGAACTGGGGACAGCTTCTTGTTGAGACTTCGGAGTACCCTGATAATGCTTCTCCTTTACCCTACCTCAAACTCCTCTGCATCATTTTTTATGATCTTTAATATTAGCTTTCAGATAAACTCCCTGACCTGATCTGATTCCCCGCAGGCTTCACATTTGAGTTGGTGTTTGATGTCTACCTGACCCAGAATAAACAGGTCGGCTCTGAGACTGTTGCTGCTGTGTTTTGGTGGGTGGGCGTAACATTTCTGACAGATGAAATTGAGGATAAGGGAAACGTTGGGTTTTCTGGCTCCAGATAAATAGAGCCGGAGTGTGAGGTATCTGTACTGTACTGTTTACTCTAGCAACCTGGGAACAGTGAGGACTGCCACAAAGCTCTCATTGATAAACTTTGTAGCTGAATGGTGTCATAGAAAATGAGGGGAAAACCCCTGAATTAAGGGAGGCTACAACCCTTTTAACGGTTTTTGGCCTCGTTCCTGTGCTGCAGTTAAATAAACTTCACTTGGATGCTCTGATTGGCGAATGTTTTACTTCCAATAAAGTCTAACGTAGTCTGCTGCTCATTTGAAGACCGGTTTTGCATATGAAAACCTAACACTGTTTAACGCCATAGAAAATATCCTGGGACGATCTTGCACAACGTTCTGCACTGAAAACCCCTTTTTCTGTGTATTGTATGTTTCCCAGAGGAGGCTGATTACTCTTTCACGAGTGATAATGGCGAGGGTTTGAGTGGGCTGGGAAAGCAGCTGGCAGACATACTATTGTCATTCAAATGAATTGAATTGTATCCATCTGTGGAAATGGTCCAGCCCTTGCAGGTCCAATTAATATAATTTTCTAGTCGGCGCATTTATAAGCACAATAGGCAGCAGAGTGGTTGGAAAAAGTCAGCAACAAATGGATTTTATCCTGTGCTGTTTGTGCTCTATCTCTGAGCAAAAATGGCTATAATTAGTGAGTCAGCAACCACTGAACCAATCTTTGCATCACAATGGTGGTCATACTCCAGCCTGCACAAACACAAAGGCCTGATTTGGTATGCTTGATAAATGCTCTTTGCAGATTAGAAAACATGTGCTTCTGTGCGACTGTAAGATAGCATAGAACGGGAAACCTTTGACCTCGCTGAACAACATGCAACAATATCTAGAGAGTCACACAGACACACATCCACACACGCACCTGATGCTGGTTTCGAAGAGGTGGGATACGGAAATTGCTTCATTACCACAGAATGGCCTCTTTTGAAAACAAAGCATATTTCTGGCAATTCAGCAGCTCATTGAAGAAAAAAAACACACCTCCTATCTAAATGGAGTTTTTCTTCCCTTTAAGCATGCATACAAGGAGCGCAGTCTTTTCCCGAACCCGAGCGGCTCGGCCAGGCAGAGGAGGCTGTGTTGACAGCCTGAGTTTACTCATGGAAAAAGCACACAATGTGAGTTCTGTTCACCGACTGACTTTGGAAGCAAGTCAGATGAGAACAAAGCTGTCTCAGTCCAGCTGCCCTCCGTGGGTTTCTGGTCCGTCCTCAGGTTTTATAAAGTTGCTCCGCAAAGGGACACATCAGGGCCGTGTCTCACGTAAAGCTGTGGGGGCCTGGCTTGGTGCCCACCAGCAGTTACAGCTGAGAAAGTCAGCATTGTTGGCCATGTGTTCCAGCATGTGCGAGTATATGTGTGAGGACTGTGCAGCAGGTTTAGGAGGAGGTCTGGGCCACAAGGAACAGACAGGGTCACGCAGACAAAACACTCTATGGGAACTTCACACTATGGTCTGAAGCTTGGGGTAGTCAGGTAGAGGCATGCAGTCGGCAGGCCTGCATCTGCTGCACGCCTTGCTCTTTGCTCTTTGGCTAAATATTTGCAGATGAAAAACGTGATTTTGGTGTCGTAAGTAACACCGCTGCAGCTGTGAATGACTATGTTTGGGTTAGGTAATGAGAATGTCCACATAAAGGTGCACATTTGTACAAAGCGTTTTCATGTTTGTGTGTGTGCATAGCAAGTGGACAAAGCCTGTGTGCATTCCACTGAAACACACCCTTCCCTTGCCATCAGATGGCCAACAAGATAAGGCCTTTGACAGAGCACACAGGGGGACTCCTTTCAGGAAAAAAAGGGCCTGTCCCTCAGAGAGAGACTAAAACCATGCATAGTCTATTGTCATATGTGGCACAAAACGCAAATGTAAAAGAGAACATTCTCTGCTGCAGGGTAGACTGCACAAAACACAGTTCAAAAAAAAAAAAAAAGAAAAAAATGGAAAGGTTGTCACGTGCATTGTCACTGAGAGGACTCAATGCAAAAAATACCTTAGCCCTTATGTAATAAATGTAGACACAAGTCTGTGAGACACATTAGGCACAGACAGCTGTTGATGAAACTGTGGAAGAAGCAGTTGAGTAATGTATGGATTGTAGCCATACGGATTTGCTCCCTTGCAGAGGGAAGGGAAAAAAATTGAAGATGATAGAAGTAATGTGTCTGGGAACAAGAAGAGTGGTTTTAGCTGCAGTCAGGGTGTCTTTGATTTGTTAATAGCCATGGTCAGGCCAATAAGCTGAGGTTTTAGATCCAAATTCAGGGGACTGAGAGAAAGTAAGAGCGGGATATTCAAGACTTGTGTGTGTGTCTTGGCTTTCCCTGCTGGCCTTGTGCTGACTGGTTTGGTCAGCGGCTGACCAAGAGTAGCGGTCTGAGGTTGAGAGCAATCCCAGCATGCCTTAAAGGGAAGTTCTTTGTCTCAATTTCCACACAAGAGTTTTGTTTCCTCTTTGAAATCACAACCTACGCTCCTAAAAAATACACACACACTGGGAAACGAGCAGCTTGCAGGGTACAACAGGGCCATAGAGCCACTGAGACGTCTCACGCCCCCACCAGCCAGCCGCGGTCTGGCTCAGCCAGTAATAGCTTTGCCACAAAGAGGCTGCAGCCGAGCAGAACTAACGGTCCTTTCACAAGCACAGATTGAAGCGGGACGGAGGTGGCACAGGTGGGTAGATTTGTGGAAGCAAGGTCAGTTGGTGCCATGGCACCATCATGGACACAACTTCTCTGTTGTGAACGCTCAGTTATCTTTGTGGGAAAATTTCAATATTATTTCATAAGTATAAGCAAATGTAAAAAAGTTGATCCAGTCCAAATACATGTATAAAAAACACGGCCTTTAGCAAGACAATGTCAATGCACCAAACAAGTACCTGCTCAAAATATTAATTTGCTACAAGTAGAGTATCATGAAATAATTTACAACACTATAAAATGTTAAAGAATGATCGGCTTGACATGAATATTATGTCTTTTTTTAATGCACTGGTCTTGTATGGATTTTCAGTAGGTTGATATGCATGTGAAGTGAATAAAACATTGTCACCTGCATTGTCAGCACCAGAATCCTCAGTCATTTCATCAATTTATATGGCTGAAATACTGGTCATTTATTGTGTCACAGCAGAAGCAAAGCCCCCCGCTACTGATAATGGTTAAAGCTCTGGCAAATGACTACTGCTATAATGTGATAATGCTGTACTAATCCCATGTAAACAAGCACAGATGATAGATGGGATCGCCTGTTGCATCGCAGTATTTTGATCTTGAAAATAAAGATCAGGTTATACAGAAGCTATGTCCAGCACAAGTGTTAACTTAGTCAACTTGTTATGCAGGTGGTGCTAGCTCTGCTAACTTTAGCCACTCTCAAAAGAACAAACTGGCACTCAAAAATATACAATATCTTTAAACTAAACCATTCCTAATTATTTAGAGGAAGTTAACTTTAATAGATACCCAAGCTTGTATCATGTATTAATAAAATGACAACCTAAAAGCTTTAGCAAACCTCGGCTTTCAACGCTCACTGTTCCCGAGCAGATGTTAGTAGTAGGTGATGCCATGGGGATGAATCACCTAAACACTTTGAAATATGCACTGACTGCTGCTGCCTGTTCCAGTCAGTGGACAGCAGCAGGGAAATTCCTCCGAAATAGCAGTGAGAGGTCTTATCATGAATGGAGTATGCGAGCTTTCCTGTGATGTAAAATTAACAAACACCACCCCACTGAGATGGCCACAGGAGCTGTATTTGACACAATTACCTCAACAAAATAGCTAGTCTAAGTTGTCATTTCCTATCTTCCTCTGTCTGCTTTCCTCTACACTTATCACATCCTCTTTTCCTGCAAGACAGTAATACGTCTGGAAAAGAGTTCAGCTTCTGATAGGAGGTTTTGCAATGGTGCATGAACCCACAATTAAAAATATCCCACTGAAACAGCAAGAGGCAACATCTGCACCGACTGTGATGAGGTGAAAAGATGTTGAGTTTGAACAGATCACAGTGAGTCACAGAAAAGGGATGAGGGGACAAGACCATTGAGTGAATCAGAGAGAAAGTGAGAGGGCAAACTATAACCATGTGTAAGCTCTGAAGTCTGAGACAGAGAATCTATCTACTGACTGATATCTGTGTGTGGACACAAGGACTGCTTCAATGCATGTGAAGACAAGTCTGATCGCAGGGCTTTCATTCCTTGGATGTAGGGTTACTAGATACGTACACACACACACACACACTGGCAGGGCATGCTAACACAGATCTTAATAACTGTTTGTGTCCAGAGACAACGAGGGGTTGATAGAAGCAGTCACTCTAAGATCCTAACCACAGAGTCCCGGTGTGGTTACAGAGGAAGCTCTTGCTGGTGACAGACAAAGGAAATTCTCCGCCGAGACATCTACACAAACAAGATAATTATCACACACAGACACACGCACAAACACAGATGCAGACATGCACGCTCAGATGCCCATTCATATAAGTTTATCACACACACAGGGTTTGGGATATAAACATATGTAAACATAAGTGTGCACATGCATTCTTGCAGACACACACACAAACACATCCTGGTTTCTTACTTAATGAGGGGCCATCAGAGGGGCGGGTGTGTGTTTCAGTGAGAACTCATAAGCTGCTGAAAAATGTTGTTTACAGATTTCTGCTTGTGTTAGTTTAGACTGTCATCTGTTGAGCTCAGGCTTTGGGGTGAGAGAGATACAGAACAGAGAAGACTAACTGTAGATCTTTCATTGGGACACCACCAACTTCAATGATGAAACGTTAAAATATGGAACATTTGGTAAACACACTTTCTGCAGGATTTACAGAGGAAGCTGCTTGAAACAAGCTCCTACAGACACATACATTTCCTACAATAACTTCAGTGTTACTGGCAGACTGAATTAGCTCAAATATGCATTGCACATTTTTAGTAACGGTGATGGAGGCATAAACATACCGCAAATACAGGGGCTGTACTGTATTTCTTCTTTAAAAAGCAAAAAAAAAAAGATCACATAGATTTAAACACATGCAGTAGGGGTCACATGCCTCAGACCTTAACCTGGTTTATACTTCTGGACTGACTACACCTGAGAAGTCTGCACCATCGCTCTACAATACTTGTCTAATAACCATTTCTGAGCCAATCATATTGTCAGCAGCTTGTTTGTGTACAGGGAACCATAACGGCTACATCATACCAGAAATAATGTAAATGCAGGAGATAAGATGCTACCCAAGGAACCAGACACAAAGCTCATAGTCTTTTAAGGGGAAATATAGGTGTCTGCAATGGTCTAGGGCTAAGCAAACTTATGGCATGTGCTACACTGTAGAGTAAATGCGACACAAGTATAAATCAGGCTTCTATCAGTCACTTCACCTCTTGAGTTCACATCTCAAGGTTTTCTAGTTTATGGCTAAAGCTTTTCCAGCTAGACATCATTCCCCAAACAAACACCAAAGTTCAGTGAGTTCACTCAGAAGAAGCCCTGTCTTATTTTGTAAACGTCACTCAGAAGGCAGTCACGACTTAGAGCTTGTCTATCTAAAAGACACCTCACAATCCAACCGAGGAGCTTAACTCTCTCTGCCAATAACGGTTTTCACTTCCAGGTGTCAATCAGCAAGGCTGCTAAGAGCAGAAGTAAACAAAGATACTTGTATGAGCTCACATAGTTCAAGGGATTTTTTTAATCAGTGAAACACAGTGAAGGCATTCATCTTATACTCTTTAGGGACTGTGTATTGTGCCTAAGAAACTCCTGAACTCCATTTTTCCACTACGAGTCTCTTAGCAACTCCTTATACTTGAAATTGAGACACAACATTGAGTTTTACTGCTTCTCATCAGTCATGATATGCATCGGTTAATGTTTACACTTAGCATCTTAACTTTTTTTTTTTATTCATATTTGTATCTTGTTTTCCTGCTAGTCATTTTTTACCCATGTGACCACCCATTCCCAAGAAGATTTGAAGTGCCATGGATGTTTTATAATGATCTATGATGCCGTCACTGCTAAGAGTTTGAAACTCATACTCTTAAGCTCTTGTGAAATCAAAACAGACATTAAAGTTTGAATTTATTACATATGTTTAGCACTAAATGTCACAGCTATAAATTCTTTTGCATTCTAGATTAATAATGGCACCAATGAGTACAATAAATATGAGTCAGATTTAAGGTTCTTTATGATACTAAAGGGACTATTACTTCCAAGAAAAACATTAAAAATGCCAATGACTCATTCTTTACTACTAGTTTAGCATCAAATGAGACAATGTGCGAGTTTTTTATCTAATAAAACTAATGAAACTCTGCATTTAATTTATATATCCTATCTGCCTGACATGAACTTTTCCAAGTCACTGTCTACAGCCCAAGTTTTACGAATGAGCTCTCTTCACATCCTATGCTTGATTTGACTTTTGAATAAACATGCCACTCTTCCAGCTGTCCTCCTGGAGAATCTGTTCATCGCAGCTCATTACCCCCACATGACAATTTTCAGTCTGCCAGTTCATTTTACTAAACCACTTAACTTATTTTCTGCTTCAGAGGTTAGTTGATATCTGTAGCAAGTCCCTTCCCTAGCCATTTTACTGACTTGAAAGCTCCTGTGAGGAGTTTTTGACTTGCCACAAAGCTAAGGTAAATAAATGCTAACGTTTCCAAGCGATAACTGTTAATGAAGCAAACACAACCATCGACTTAAAATAACCCATTTCCATATAGTAGCTGTTAAAACTTATGATCATTGCTACAAGCTAGCTGTCAACAAACTGAGTTACGGCACGGTACACAAACAACTTTTGTTATCTGATAACACTTTATATCAGGGTACTTTTAATAGTTGTCCTAAAAGCCACTTATTAAAATTATACATTAATCTGAATAAGTGTTTATAAAAACGTAACTGGCATATTTAGTATTCCTTATTAGTCACTTAAAGGCTCTCATTAGAATCTTATAAACAGTTAAAATACGTGAAATAAACACCTATATAATATTAATTCACATTGACTTTGTAGTAATTTTGACACACGTTATTAGATTTTCAACGTTACCTATATACAACAATAATTTGGCAAAAAGTTCCTACATATGTGTAACAAGTTTATAATTAATACGTGTGCTCATGACAGCAATATAAAGTGTTAAGTTTCCAAGAATGGGCACCTTTAAGTGTCTTTAAGTGTCAAGCTTTAATGAACACGTTTTGAGCTTTAGCATTGTTCATAAGTCTCTGATAAGGTCAGATAATTGGTTTATTAACTATTTACTAATGCTTAATCAGAAAACACAACTAATATATGACCAGGAAAGAGGAAAAATGTACTTATGCAAACACACGTTCTGACAGGAGCGTTATAGGGCCCCTTTTTTGAACTAGAGGTGTTGCAGTAATCATAAATGACACGGTTTTTGTTTGTCAGTGTTAATATCACTTCTTTCACAATTATAAAGCTACAGAACAAGGAGGATAAAATCCAGAGCTGATTTGTCCAAGAGGCTGCTGATAAGTGAAGTCGTGGCACACTTTATATGAATGACAAAATCAAGCATAAAACATGTTGCAGTATCATTATTCCAGACTCAGCAACAAAGGTTTTATGTTCACACTGGAGAACTTCATCTGACTAAAGGCACTGTGCTAGTGCTGTGTGGCTGTCTGTTCCAGTTGCAGGTCACTTGAAGTTTACCTGCAGCTTCCTGGCACTGGCTGCGGTTGATGTAGGCGAAGTGGTGGTGGCAGCTCTGAGACTCACACACACAGCCCTCAGCGGTCAGGTTACACCCAGAGAACATGCAGGCTGGGTTGGATGGTCCCACGTACTTCTCCCTGTGTCTGTCCCTGTGCTCATGCCTGCGACCCTCTGGAATCAACCACACACACACACACAAACAGTCATCAATGAGTCACAGACATTGGCACCACTCAAGGGTGAGCGGGGACCCACTTGACAAAGCCTTCGCATGTGTGTCATCACTATGATATGTAAGTAGCATTAGTCACCTCAGAGCCACATCTGTTATGGATTAGCTCCTCTCAATAGACAGCATTATTCCCTTTGAGTCTGATTCAGCGCATGCATCTGTGTTTCAACATGTGTGATGGAAGGAGATGGCTTACCTGATTTGCTTGCCTTCATGCAGGTTTCTCGGTCTGGGTAGGTGAAAGAGCCCAAGCAGGAGTGACGGGCATCGCACACACACTGACCTCCAGCCCGGTCACAGCCTGTCATCAGGGGACAGCGCTCATCCTCTAGGCCGGCCTCTGGATGATCAGGGAGCACTACAGAAGAAAATCAGATAGGAGAAGAAAGGAACTTTTAACTTTGGCTGTTTTGCCCACTTTCCTGGAAATCCAACGACACTGGCTCGAGTTACCGATGCAACGCAATCACAAGCTCAAATGTGCCAGTAACCTACATTTGTTTCCCAAAAGTGTATTGAGGTTAGCCAGCTTACAGCCTCTCTTGCAACACATAGCCCTGGCAGCAACATTACTGAAGTGTCCAGTGTATTTCTGGGCTGCCATCCCTCCTCCCTCCTCGTCGTGCCACGCTACTTCAGCCATTGAGCCCATTTGTTTGCTTTTGTTCCACAGCATGGGGCCCTCCCAGGGTTTCAATCTCTGCTGGCTCCTGGAACGCCTCTTCTGTACCAAGGCCACTTGCACCATACCCACATATTGTTCCTTCTTCGCTCAGTGAGGCCTATACCCCTCAGATGGCACCTTGGGGCTCATTCCAACTTGGATGAAACCTCATGATAGGGAGGAATGTGTCCAGTTAGTGCCATGTGAGCTGAATAAGCAGCAGAACCCCGGGATTAAAGGGCCCCAATGTACACATGCTCCAGAGTGTTTCTTTCTCATGCAAGCTGGAATAAAAGCATGCATATACCTCCAAATCAGCTTCCTTCACAGTTGTCTAGCCTGGTGAAAGTGGCAGCAGAGTAAACAGGATGGGACTACCTGTAACAATGAGTAACCCTTTCCCATGCATTTATATTGCTAGTCTTAATCAACAGTCTGAATTGTCCAGTCTGGACAGTCTCATCACACCCTAAAGTAGCTCCATGCAAGCATTCTTACTCTTCTGTAATGGAACAACCTAAATTGACCTCTTAAGGAGAAGATTATTACCATTCTCAGTCAGGGGTCAAAGAAACAATCATGGGATGACCCAAAGTGACTGGAAAGATTTGGAATTCAATCTGTGGCTTTGCTTTAAGATGTCGTAAATCCCAGTGCAGCACAAATGTTGATTCACATTCATCCAAAACAGATTTTCACTATAGGAAAAAAGTCTCTCATTGTAAAACATATTGCTGTCAAAGTGAATCAGTGTGATTAAAGAAAGCCTTCCTGCAAACATTCTCCCCAAATTCGGGTTCAACACGTGTATGACTCCTCATTGATAGATGACTGTCAGAAGCACTACAGTGAACACTAGCCAGTCAAAGAGGTGAAGGTGTTGTAATACTGCCTTTAACCTGAGCCAGCCTGTGCTCTTAATAGCTCTCCCAGACGGCAAGTGAGACTGGCAAAGCACAAGAAGCCTTTTCAATAAAGTACACCAAAATTTTCCCTGTGATTTCCTTTCACCTTAAAATGATCCTCAACTCCACATTTTTTCCATCCTGGGGCTTTCCTGTGCCTGGGAGGGTGTTTTCGTTTGAGGTAGTGGAGGTGGCAGGGGTGCCTGTCTGTGTGGGATGCTAAATCTGGCATGATGAAAAAAAGGTAGAAGTCAAAACAATCAAGAAAAGCTTGACACTAAAAGCTTTGTCCTGTTGATTTATTTGCTTCTCAGCCCAGTTCAATCTTAGCTAGTCTACTTTGGCTTAGACCCTTTTTGGTCTGACCCTGGTCTAGTCCAGTCTTGCTATCTTTTATCTGGCTTGGCATGACTCGAGCCAAAGTCTGCGGCTTCATCCCCCGGGATTCCTCTCTCAGCTACTGAGACTGCTTGTCTTGGCATCCCGAGCCAGGATGGGAAAGCTGACCTCTAGAGGCCCTCTGGCTGATAGCGAGCTAAAAAGGAAGTCTTTGAAACATTAGATAATACCAGAGGAAGGGAGAAGTAGACGGCATGTGAAAGAGTGCAGCGGACATAACGTCCCGGTACGACTGACATTCTGTTACGTGGTATGTTAAGTGCCTCTCGAGCTCGGGGAAAGTTGGCGTGGGTGGATAGACACAGAAACACAATAGGAACATCAAAACAAGTTATTCAGCTGCAAAGACTGAGTAATTCTGCATGACTGACAGCTCACTGAGCATATTTGATAAGGTGAAGAACATAAAGGACTTTTGACCAGAGCAGGTGCTGATGTCCTTACATGGCAGACTTAAACCTCTAACTCAAGATGCAAAGTTGTTTCTCTTTTCAGGAATTTTGTCAGCACCAACAGTAATAACATTTCCTTAACAATAATGAATGGATATAAAATCCTAGGTAGATTTTTGTTGTATTCTAATTTTTTGAAACCTTTATTTAACCAGATCAGGATCTCATTTACAAGATCTCTAGTGATGTCATATTGTATTCCATTTGTACCATATGTCAATTTAATCTATCATGTTGAATCATATTGTATCCAATCAAATCTTATTGTATTGTATCATATTGTATTGTTAGAATTCATATTGTATCATGCATACTGTATTTCCTGCATACTGTTTTGTCCTGGCTCATTTGTTGATACCTGATATTTTTTGGCTTTATCAGAGGTGAATTCCAACATCCAGGAGTTGTGTTTTGAAATCTGGGAAACTTGCTATAGTTTATAGTTATAAACCATAATTTGTGATACTTTCTGATTATTACACCATTAAAAGTAGTTCGATGTCATGGCAAAAAAGCCCTTTATTTAATTACTTCCTCTCTAAAAGGGATCGGCGTGTAAGTTATGTAACATTTCCAGGTCAAGATGGGTGTAATTGGAGCTATTTCAACAAGTTTTTCAATTCCATCCAACATGCAACAACTGAACTGAGTAAGGCATTCCCAAAGAACAATTACACACCATTTGTCACCTCGGGGTGACAACAGATTTTGACCACCCAGAAAATGAAAACCGTGAGCAGAAAGCAGGGGATCAGAAAACGGAAACATTTACCCCCTACTCCTGATTGCAAGTCTAATCACTTTAAGACTCTTGCAGCTTGAGGAGGGAAATCTGGGATCAGCCTCCAGCAGCCTGCCTACTGCGGCCCCTGGAAACACACTGGGAGGTGTTGATTTACCCCCACCTAGACCCTTTGGGATACTGAGCTTTGTGTGTGTATGAGTATCTGATTTAGAGGTCAGTGGCATGCTCCGAGGCCTCTGGACCCACAGGAGCTGAGGCACGACTCAATCAGAGGAGCCATTAGGTCTCCAGCTTGTTCCAAAGCTGTTAATTTGCAGAGATATCCTCCAGACGTTGCCTGACTCGTACCTGTGGCACAATCAGCAGCAACAGAAGTGTCTCCTGGGATGGCCTGGGGGTTTGAGACCCCTGGAAAACCCTTGTGGAGCCCTGACTTGGACCACCCCACATAGAGATAGAGCAGGGTCAGGGGATCCAGACACCCACAGAGAGCTGCTTTCTCTCTGTTAGTCATGTCAGTCCCTTTCAATCATCCAGAAAGAGGCTGGAGACAGCGCAGGTGGAGGGGCAGGAGGGGGGTCCTCATGGCAGTTATTTATTCCTCAGGGGACACGGTTGCTACTCCATTTACTGTGAGGAACCTGACACCCTCAACATTTCTTTGAAGTCGTAAAAGTTGTTGAAATTGTGCGTAAAATGAGCAAAAGGATGGGCTCTGCTCTGCAGGAAAAGAACAGAGCAACACTGTTGAGTCACAGTCAACATCTACAGGGGACTTGTGCAATCAGGCTGTCAAACTATTATATTTGAGTTACACACTCAAAGCACATGGTGTAAACAATAAAGACAAGTCAGGGCAGCATATTTATCATATTATGGCAGAGTCCAAGTCCCAAACACAATCATCATTGTTGTCACGCCATGGCTTTTACACAACTGTGCCCTCACACAGATTCAAACACTCATTTTTGTCTCATCACCTCCCACCCACTCTTTTTTTTTTGAGTACATGTGTCTTTGAGCTGTAAAGCAAACAGGACAGAGCCTTTAAAACGCTCAAGAGTCATTTGGTGCCAAATCGCTGCTGCCAAACTTATTGTCATGCCTCAGAGCTGAGAGTGAATGAAGCATTGAGGAGAAGAAAGAGCAGCTGAACATGACTCCTCTCTTGGCAGTCAAGAGCCCCTCAGACCTGAGGGGCTGCTGCAGGCAGCCAGAGACAAGGTAAACACTGACACAGTCACTTCAGGCAGGGTTTGAGTGACGTTTCAATAGTCATACCCTCCAGCCACTTGAAAGAGATGAGAGCTGAAAGAACTGACACCCACAGCTCTTTTATTAGACTATTTTACAACTCCACAATGACACTTTTAATCACTGAACTGTCCAAAAGTAACATGCTTTCGTTTCAGACAGGTACCCACCTTTACATACTCCTATCTCAGGGACTGTAGCTGCTCCTGTTTTGTTGACAGACGCGCAGGTCAGTCCCAGGGCGCAGTAGCCGTGCGCCCAGTCCTGTCCACCGCAAGTCTCCCACTCCAGCCGAGCACACTGGTCACAGCACCCACACGGATCCCTGGCCAAGGTTCGGCCACCGTCGCAGGCGAGAGAGGCTTTCACGGGACATGTCCGGAGGTTACACGGCGTGCACTCGTGAGCCGAGAGCGCCCGCACCAGAAAGAGGACGTTCAATAACACAACGGAGCACTTGCTGAACATGTTCAAAAATCCCTAAAAGTTTTCCCAGAGTAAAAGAGTCCGCTTCTGTCGGATTATAAATAATCACATGAACCCTCTGCAATGTACACTTCACATGTAACTCCAACAGTTTCAAAAGTCTCCTTCAAACTTCTGTGGAAAGTCTCCCCTCGGGCATGCACCTCATTACACAGCAGCTCACTTAAAAAGCTGGAAAATACCACGAGGCTTAAGTTTGCGGATGCGTTTCAAGTGGAAGCAGAATCCAAAAGCAAGGGTTTCAGAGAGAGCAGGTAAACGCACATCTGAGGCGTCTCATGTGGTTCAGTAGAAATCCCAGATCCAGAGAGGCTGTGGACGTCCACTGAGGATCACTGCTGCTGACAGCCACGCGCGAGGACGCAATCTGACTCTTCAATTGACAAGCAGGCATATAGAAATTAGCGGTGCACCCCTCCCCCTGACTGACAGAGGCAAGGACCAGTCACAAGGAGGGAAAGGAGGGAGGATTTGAACTGATTTATCTCCGCTCGGCAACTCGTATCCTTATTGCGCAATGATGCAACGTTGAATGCCCTGAGTGCAAGTAGCTGTTTCTTTTCCGTATTTCGTGAGTCACTGCAACTGGGATTGTTTGAACAGTTTTTTTAAAAAATAGTTTTTAACCGAGTATTGTTGCAATGACAAAGAAAAAAATTCAGTGGTTACTCAAAACTACTGAAATCATTCAGTCTTTATTCCCTATTTTAAAAAGGATTTACAATGTCTTCAGTCAAGCCGCCACTTTGGCTTCCAGTTCTTGAGTTTTTTTAAACATTCTTTGAAATGTAACCAAACAGAATACAACTGTAACCTGATAAAGACTTTCTTGCCTGGAAACAAACACCGCTTTATGAAAGAATTATTAATTCAGTCCGCAACAATTGTATTGCATCATGACTCTACAACACACCGATCAGTGGGGTTACACCATAAAGCATAGCCTATTTAATGTAAAGATTGACTATTGTGAAAAGAACATGGAAATTTCATTTTAAGCTACGGTGGGGTGTTTTCAGACAGTTTACAATCAGACTGAAATTGGTACTGAAGTCTCCTTGTGACCTACAGGAGCAAACCATGTCGTCATGGAAAAGACTGATTAATTATACACTAGGGTGACTATACGTCCTCTTTTACCCAGACATGTCCTCTTTTTGGGGGGCTGTCCAGGTTTGTCTGGCTTTGTCTGGGGAAGTTTATAAAATCTGCGGTTTTGTACGTAAGTTTCCATATTGTTTCACGTAGGTTTACTGAGTTAGAAGTGTGTAAAAGACACTCAATCCGAACCAAAAAACTCTTTACATTAACTTTGTGCAACTCCATAACTCTGCCCCCGCAAAGTTGTGTCCTCTTTTTGGGAAGTCAGAATATGGTCAACCTATCGAACCCCTATTTTTTTTTTTTTTTTTTTTTTTTTATCTAAGACAGTTGATAGATGGTAAGTCTCAGAATGCTGGTTGGCAAACTCAATTTTTACGTTTTGTTTTTACATTTCAGTAATTTCTAATGAAACAGGTTGAGAGTCTCTGCTGGAAAATGCTACTTACTCATACAAATTTACAAAGACATTCAAGGTACCTCTTTGTCCATTAGGGGCACCGTAACCCCCATTAACAAAAAGTTCCTCCCAAGAGCTTTAAACTAAAATGTTTCAGCTTTTTTTAAAATTTTAATCATTGAAGCCAACCTCTAAGTTCACAAATTTCCCCACAAAAATATGTACAGGGTGCCTGCATTCTTAACATTTCGTTTTATTTGATATAGTTTGTCCGTGGGTTGGTGGAAGGACTCACGCTGTGAATGCTGCAAAAACAGTTAGACTTTCTGAGGGCAAAGTAGAGTCTAGTTTCTCAACAAAGGGGCCAAGCTAACCAGCATCCTCTGTGGGTAGAGGACAGGCACCTCGTATGACCCCACTTTAAAAAAACAAACTATCCCTTGAAAGAGTGCAACACCAGAGCAATCCCTCAATATCCTGTCTGTGACACTCGCTCCTCTATAAAGATGATGTCTGTTTTGTAGTGTATTTTGTTTTGTGCTGATCTTGTTTTCTATCTCTGTCTAACAATACAGCCATTAAGTCTGTCAAAGCCCCACAGTCAAACAAATGAGGCATTATCAAGCCCGTATATCAGTCCTCAGCTTCACCTCCAGGGTGTGAATTACTGTGTGCTTATTTGTGTTTGTAGGTGTGCAATTGTGTGTGTGTGTGTACAGGTGGCTTTGGAAAGGTAAAAGGTCATCGGATGTTTGTTGAAGCAGTGTTCGTGTGCTTACACTGGCAGATTGCTAGTGTGTGTGTGTGTGTGTGTGTGTGTGTGTGTGTGTGTGTGTGTGTGTGTGTGTGTGTGTGTGTGTGTGTGTGGGCAGTGGGCACAGCTGGAGGCTGATGTGTCAGTGTCACGAACACTGAGGAGAGAAAGAAGCACTCACAATGATGCTCATTAAAAACACTGCTTGTGCCATTTTTCTATTGCACGATTGAGCAAGAGTGAATCAGAGGAGTGCTTTTTCCCACAGTGCCATATCATGTGGACTTTAGTGTGATGGTAACACTTAACTCTGCTTTACATAAAGCTGGAAGCCAGCTCTGAGAAAATAATAAGTTACTGGAAAGTAATTGATACAATAACAGATATCGTGTAGCAAAAACAGTGCAGAGGGTCTAGTGTTTTTTACTGTCACTGGAAACATTTCATCTTTAAACCCCAATCAGATGTCATCCGGGGTTGATTTTCCTCACAGTGTCAACACACAACAGCACCTCCTTCATTTGCAACATCTGCCTGGAGCCGCCTGCTCCAACACAAACACAACATCCAGGAAACCAGCCCCACAGCACGCATAATCAGCCCTTGCAACACAACTCAGCTCTTGTCCTTCGGCTCTCCCTCCACCCTCCCTTGCTCTCTGTCCCCTCCTTAAAGCTCTTGTCAAACGGGCCGACCTGCTGACCGCTGGCCGGACACCCACTGCTGGTTGACGACAGATCAGACTAAAGGACCGTGGAGAGCGCTGACCTATTTGCCTGGACGATGGGCTTTCATACGGGGCCAGCTGGCCACCTTTAGAGGCCCCCATCCTGCTATCATAAACCACAGGTTTGTTTTCTGCCAACTGAAAGGTCACAACAGCACCTTCTCCTCTTTCTATCCGTACCGGTTATTCAATGTTTAAGCTCTCTCGGGGATCGTAACAGGTTGTTTGTCTCTTAGAGCAACAGCCGCAGTGCCCTAAGCGGACACCAAATGGTTGACGGCGATTTAGTCATGATTTACATGCACTTTTCCTGTGTCACTGCTGATTTTGATCATACTTCGACATTATTGTAAGTAAAATAAGTAAAAGCATTTCTGTCTATCTGTCCCTATCATCTCTGACTCTCCCTTTATTCCACTGGTGGAGTAATGTTGCATCTCTCTGAGTAATGCAGCAAAGAGTTTGGCCCAGACCTGCTCATTACATAAAGCACTGTTTCTAAACCCGAAACTTGTGGTAAGCATCATCATAATTTTTTTTTGTGGTGCACCAATGACTCGTTTGGAGTTTGCCATGCCAAGACCCTGGTATCATTTGAGCTCTGGCCCACATTCACCATCATTACATTCAACGCAGACATATGCTTCGTGTCAATGTTACATGGACTTGGCATGCAGGAAACTCCCCTTTCATCAAGTCTGGCACTGAACACCCCAGTGACACTCTCTCTCTCTCATAAATGTCAAGTTTTTTTTATCTTAAACAAGTGCCAAATTAGACCCATAAAAAGCTAGTTAGTAATGTTGAGTGCCAAGTTCATTAAAACCCTTAGAGTAGTCTGCAAGACCACGTGCCGGAGTGTGAGTCTGAGGTGGGGCAGTGAAGGGCGTTTGACACTGCCTGAGTAACCGTAGTATATGTGTGCTAATGGTGCTCTGAGTCACAGATCCCTGGGAAAAACACAGTCATCTAGGCTGTATGCTGCCCTGTCCTTTACTCTGAAATCCTTGGTGTGATGGTTGTGATCCTGGTCTGTGGAAGTGAAACTGAATGTCCCCTCTCCATCATCTTTCCACCACACAGGCAGCTAATTTACGCCTAACTGCCGTGGAGGCGTCAGGCCCATGTCAACAAGGTGTTTCTGGGGATGTAGATGGGTGTAAATGATGTTTTTAAGGTGACCTTACTAGCAGCAGGAGAACAATGTGTGATCTGGAGTGTTGAGAGTGTGTTGAGAGCACAGCATGGGGCACACCCGATTATAAACCCCTGAGATATGCTCCGGGGTTTTTCCGCTGAAGGTCAGTGTATAGCTCTGGTTATCACTCTGGCTTGGCTTATCTGTGGACGCATGGTGCCGGACAGAGCCATACTTTGCAGATCCAGGCCAACGGGTGTGGATAATGAGGAGAAAGAGGGGGGTGTGGGGATATTATGGCGATGCATACTGACAGTTGAAAGAGTTTCAAAGCTCCTTAACACATCAAATAAAGAACGGAAATATGGAGCATTTAGCGTGGAGACTAAGCATCACACAGACTGATGAATGGCTTGTTTAAAACTCAGAGCAGATGAGATCATCTGTTTTTTACATATGAAGCCAAAGAAGAGAAAACAAAATATTTAAAAAAAAGGCGTGAAGAGACAAAACTTTTCCAGAAACATGCAAAAAAGATTAAAAAAAGTGAGATACTTTTCATTTAAAGGAGACTAAATAGAGCGATAATAATCAATAGAGATGATTACTTCTCTTTTCCATTACTGCCATCAAGAGGGACTCACAAGGGTTTTTCTTTCTCACTATAAACTCTCATTTATTTGGACCTCTGTTTAAAGAGCCCAGAAACAGTCTGAGGAGTCCATGGGGAGGAAAAAAAACCCATGTTGCAAAAGATGAGAGCTGGTTCCCAGGCCTAGTTTAGGAAAAACAATGCACATCACTTCATTATGTCCTGTCTTTTTCTCTGTCATTGTCCCTTTCTCTTTTTCCTCTCTTCTTACTCTGTCTGTGTTTTCCCCCCCTCTCCCTCTCTCTCTCTGTCTCTCTCTCTCTCTCTCTTTTTCTGTCTGTGAGGGTGGTCCAGTTGTCGTTTTCTAGGCGAGGACAATGATTATGTGTTTTGACACTGTTAGGTCTCCTGCAGTCTTCTTCTCTCAATCCCCAGAGTCATCACAGCAGCTTAGACCCAGCACAGAGATAACCCCCTCCAGGTCTTGTTTTTGATCAATATGGTCCTGCTTGGATGTTTTGGGGTTCAGTGAGTTCAACCAGCCAGAACAGTAAGGTATATCTTCTGCAGTTTGTGAAATGGCTGATGGGGATTGTGAATTAGTATTAATAAGTATTTTGTCTGGTCCTCTGAAATATCTCAGACTCGTACTTGTTGATCCAGCAGATCACTAAGTACTTCACAGGCATTCATGAAACCCAGAGGATGTATCTTTATGCATATGTAGATGGTCAGAGGCTTGACCAAGGAGGGGCAGAAGGTGGCACTGTCCCACCAAACCTCCCCAAAATCTTAAATTAGAAAAGGTGGTTCTGCCATCAGTGTGTATATGCCGTGTGAATGGATGAATGTAATAAGAGCTTTGAGTGGTCAGAGGAGTTGCCATTTACTTTAACCGATTACATGAGTCATTGATATTGGTTAAGAAAGAAAGTCTTTGTTACATAAAGTCAGGAATAATACCATTCAAGCCACACAATGTTGACACACAACAAGTTCTGTTACCAACCACATCAACATGATCCAAAAGCTCTGTAATGACACATGAGGTTTCTGGGTTCGATTGGCATCAGAGTTCTCATGACTCACACAGGACCCTTCCTAAAGTCATGGCTCAGATCCTCTGGCTGCAGATTATGCCCAGTTCTGGGCCCCCCTCTCTCTTTCTTTCTCTCTCTCTCTCTCTCTCTTTCTCCCACCATCCCTCTCTAACAGGCGATCCTGTGACCTTGTGGAGTGAACGGCCACCAGCTTGTTTGACAATTATAAGTGGCATACTTGCTCACCCCTGTCGTTCTCCGGTGGATCGTTAAGTGGACCTCTCAGAAGTTTTCATCTGAAAATCTACGTGATGATGGTGAATTCCTCAGTGGATTGGAAGCTAAAAGACCCCTTGTGTCCTATTCCTGCAACACCTGCCCGGTGTAATCTTCCCTCTCATACACAGGATCATTGAGACCATTGAACAAGAGATCCTCAGGGGGTCTACGGTTACAGAAAACAAGAGGAGGGCGAGGCTGCGACCCAGATATCTACCTGCTCTCAAAGTAGGTACTTTCAGTGGGTTTAGCAACAGATCTTTGAATGTAAATGAAATGAAACTCACAAATATGTGATTGTGGCTCTCTTGCGAAAAAAAATTGCTTGTTTTCACCTCCTATTTTAGTGTACTGGGACACCTGTCGAGACGCTTTAAATGATTTTCAGCTCTTATTTAGTTATTTATCTCACATTGGCACCCATGATCACCCCCACTCCAGCACTGCAGCCTCTGCTTGCAACACTTCACTATTACAGCTTTTCCTCACATATAAAGTTAAGACACAGCTGGTGGGTTTTAAAGAGTATTTTACTCTCCTTTTGAGTCCTTGATAACCTCTGAGGGAATCATTTGGCACGTAAGCTGCCAAATAATCTAATATAGTAATCAACTTATCCAGCTGGAGTAAAACATTACTTAGCAGAGATCATGATTCAACCAAAGGTGAAATTAAAGAGCCGGCGAAGCAAGAACATGACCTAAAAGATGCAATAGCAGTTGGAGGTATAAGACTTTGCTGAGTGAAGTACAAGTTCTCCTTAGTTTGGAATATAGTATTGTTTTCAGTTTTAAAATACCTTTTATCATAGTAATGAAGACTTTTTTTCATGTTGAAAGGAACAGTCTCTAATATTGCATTAACAGAATCTGCATTAAAGCCTAATGTATTGACATGGGACTTGGATTTGCCATCAAAGAGTTCTAGTTGCTTTTTGTAGGACAAATTCTCTTTTCTGTTATTGCTTGGGGTAGCTCTGACAGACTGTGTAGAGAGAAAATGCGTACAATGCATCTCCCTACCATCCCATCTGATGTCATCTTTTAACAATTTATTTTATACTCATGTCTTTGAACATGCATCTGCATGCAGAAGCACCTAAACTTTCACTCTGAAACATTATCTCGGAACACCAGTCCCATTCACACTTATTAAGCCACTCATTGGTCTGAAAACAAAGGCAACACACTTCAAAGGTAAGTCATGGCTGGAGGTCCTTTGCAAACCACTGGCTACACTTGCTCCCAGAGACCTACATGTTGCAAGTTCAAGGTGGGGTTTTCATGCCTCTGTTGGGCCACATCTGCAATGAGATCATTTTGCCCCCTGACCCGACCACCAGGGTAAAAGTGGTTTAAAGAGGATTAGATGGTAAAGATATTCATTGTAACAACCAGGAAGAAGAAACAGTGTTTGATTATGGCTCTACGTGCCACATGTCTTGCACTTCCATGGCGATAATGCAATGTGAAATCACATGCTGGGAAATCAATTTTACACTATTGCTGAGTTTAAATATCTAAGCACAAAGGCGCAGCCACCACCTCATGACGTGTAAATGTCAATGGATAGCCAGAGGGTTAAATAGTGGTGGCACATCCTTGACGTCTTGTGTCAACCTGTGTCACTGTTGTTTTTCAACCATCTAGATTTTGTCCAACTTTGTTTTCTTTTTGATTAATTGAGGAATTGAACCAATTGGTAGAAGTCAGAGAGGCTCAGATTGGCAGTTTTTCTTAGAGTCTGGCTTAGCCCCTGTCACAACAGCTGTATCACATTTTACTCAGTAAACAAGACAGCTAAATTTTTTAACTACTTTTTAAAGCAATGATCACGTAAGAGTAGAAAAACATGCAGGAGACTCTTCACGTTCACTCATCAAGTGTGAACCCTTGATTTTAAATAATTTAGTGTTCTTTAACCTAACATTAATCAAGCTAATGAGGTTTCTTATCTTGCAGTTGCAGTCCAACCTCTTCATTAAATCACATTAAGGCTCTGCACAACACACATACACCTGTGTCCTTGTTCTAGTAGCTTCTGTGTGGTGTCTGGGCTCTGAGGGGAGGATCCTCAGGTGAAGGTGCCAGATTTACAGGCAGACCTCCAGCTGGTGGAGGAATGTCACAACCTGTGTTTCAGCTGTAAATTCTGACATAATTACAGTGCCACTTACTCAAACATTGAGGCCAAACAACCACCTTGTGGGGAGAAAATAATCATGTCTTAATGTTATGTCTGGGACACAGATTTACTCCTGTTTTTGTGGAGGGGAGTGCAGGCGGCAGGAGCAAGAATGTAAGAAAAATGTGAGTTCTCTGACCTTTATGAAGGTGAGGCAGCCAGTTGACATCATTACCATAGCTGGCATGTGCATGCTTGCAGTCACATGGGCTAAAGCAGAGAAGATACGGGTCAAACGGGGGGGAGCTGCATGTTCTGTACTGAAAAAAATACTTCTGTGAATCCATAAAGCTCATGTGTACTTGAGATGTAAGACATGTTTAGTTGCCAAAAGGTGAGAGAGGAAAGAATGCACACCAGAGATGGATGACAGTAGTGCATGCTATTTTTGTGTTTCAAGTCAGAAAATAAGAATAAGAAGGAGATGGCTTCGTCACCTTCACAAAATATGAAATAAGGATATTGACTCAATTTTGGATCCAGCCTCAAAGTGGCTGTTCAATGAACTGCAGGTTTTTAATTTTATGCTTAGCTTCAGCGTATTTTGTAAGAGCTGTTTGATTTGACCAGACTTTGGAATCACAGTTTTTGTTAACTCTTACTAGCAGCTAGTTAGATTACATCAACACACAACTCTAAAACATACACAAAGATTTCATTTATGGCTAAAATGACTGTTAATCAGGATTAGAGATGAGGGAATAAGAACTAGTTCTAGATGAGGGCTGGTCGTTATCAGGCCTTCAAAAACATCATCTGCCTTTATACTTCTGGGTGTCCTCATTCAAGCCTTCCAACTATAGGTCTGCATGCTCGGCAAAACAATGCCATGATGCATCATGAGAGGCAGCCAGCGTACACAACAAAGGAGTGAAATCATGACAGTAGACAGTAGACAGGAACGGTACAAACCTCTGATTGTTGGGCTTACAATATCAGCCAAAAAGACAGAACAGGATACCAACTTACAATAAAATTCACTCACTACATGAAGCCTGTAGTTTTTCTGCAACATTCAGGATCTTTTCTATTCCAGAGAGAAGATCATGTATTTTCAGAGTGTCTTGCTCCAATCCATCAAAAACAAAGTAATCTGCAGTGATTTACAAACACAACATCATTTTTGTTGTCAGCTGGCTATGCCTAGTGAAAACTACCCGCTTGTTTTAGTCTGTCAACCAATCAGAGGCTGTTTCTACGCAGTGCCAGGAGAGCAGTGAATGCACTAACTCATAATTGTTTTGGCCTACTTTCTTCCACACAGAAATCCACATGAGTCAATAAGGGAGTCAATTAGAAATTGGACCATAAAGCAAAATTAATAACAATATTAGTATCAATAAATTCTTATCAATTCCCACCCCTTGCTCGGATGTCATGCTACTGTTAACAGTATGGTTAGCAGCAGGAAAGTGTCTGAATTCTTTGAGCCACTTGTTTTAGATTTTGCTGTTTATTTAGCATGTTTTGCTGTCTTGAAATATGGCCTGATGTCCCACCAAATTTGCACTTATTTCAGCTGCTTCTGTACACATGATTAGTAAATTAGAAAAAAAAGCAGTTTATGTACGAGACTTAAACTCATTTATCACCACATCAAAGATTTTCTTAAGGATTTGTGGTATTAAACAATCGTTTCAATTTCTCTTCAATAGATTTGAAATGTATTCTGTAAAATAGACAATAAAGCATGGTAAGCTTGACATGGCAGCATCTGGCTCAAAATAATAAAAAAAGGACAAACTATCAGAAATTTGTCAAAAACTAATTGGGGACATTATAGGGGGTGTGTCTAATCATATTTACAGTCTATGATGCTCAGCTCTCTGAAAGCTGTCATCTCAGCGACAATTCGCTGCAGCACTTGACCTTTGGGTTAAAGTCCTCTAGCTTGCTGTGCCTTTATTTGCGATTACTGCATTCCTTTATTTAGAAAAACTTTAATTTTTTAAAGAGGATTTTGATGGAATAAGCTGGAGTACCACACAGTTAAAGCAAGTGGTGTTGAATTT